CATGGAGACGGACAGGCACTGGCCCTAGGTCGAATCCTGCAGGCATTGCGACGGCTCCGCTCGAGCGACAGTGCCAAAAAGAGAGACACAGGGCCATCAAAAAGTGACACCGGCCGGGGGGAGACGCTCGCCGCCAGATTTGCGTGGCGCACAGGGCGAAGGTGGTTTAGCTGAAGTTGGTGGTAATGCGTGATGGTGTGCAGCCGTCTGCTAGCAGGCCATGGGCGCATGAAGTTGCGTGTGGGATGCGCGGTCCAAGCCGTAGAATTCCGGCACAAGCACCCACGAGGGCGGAAGAGCATTCTAGCAGTCTCCCCCAGCTTTTGCCATTGCCAGTTCGACTCTTGCTGTTCTTCGCTGATCTCGCACGATGGGGGTCACAGGCCAAAGCGAGCTGATGCAGGTTTCGAGGCGGGTTGGGGCGACCAGGCACCTCGTCTGCAGCGAGTCCCGCCACAGGTACATGTACGCAGCGCTCCGTACCTGCATTGTCCCAGGCAGGGTGCCTTAGCATGAGCAGATGCTGTAGGTACGGCCGTGCAAGGTACCTGTACCGGGGGCTGGGTCTGGTGCATGTGCTCCGTTCCGGCGCGGCGTGCTTGCGCTTGTGCGTATCCAACTGAAGTACCTTGCGAATAGTGTCCAGGAACGGGCATCCAGTCGGTGGCTCTGTGGGCAGATTTGCGGTGCTGCCTGTTCTGCTGCGTTTCTTCCAATGCACTGTGGCACCAACAGCGCGCTGCCGTTGGATGCTTCTGCTGTAGATTCACCAGCCAGGACGGCTTGCCCCTTGTCTCTCGCATTGCCTGCTGCAATGTGCCCATATTGCGTCGTCTGAGAACCAGTAACCACTTGAAGCTCTATCCGCACGTTGATTAGCAGTACGCAATACGGCCAGAACGAGGCATTCGGCAACTGGATGACCATCTCGGCGCAAACGCCAAAACTTCGCGCGCCGACTGCCGCCAAGCAGCGTCCACTTGGACAAGTATGTACGACTCCCACTAATATCGTACGGAGCACCGCGACAAGCTGGGGAGTCGACGATGCCGACAGGGGCGCACCGCTCCATCCTCCATCCACAGCCCTTCCACCGTCCAATGCCTACCCAGCTCTGGTGCCCGTATCGCGCATGGCTCCGTACGGAGAACAAAAGTAGCTGCTCCGCCTGAAGCCTCAGATCCCCGCGGCCGTCTGTCCTTTTTCGAGCCACATGCAGCCTGTTCCCGTATCGAATGGCGCCTGCGGTAGAGTATCGGCTTGGCAAATCAAACGGGCAACGACCTGTCGAAAAGCCTAGCCAGTCGGTTCCGCGTGCCCCCTCGTCTGCCCTCGAGAGATGGCGCCATTCGCCTGCTCGCCCAACTGCTTTTGTGCTTGTTTGCAGCATTCGTACTAGCAAGAGCCTTTCGTGCAGTTCAAGCCGCTCCCCCCCTCGCTATTCGCGGCATGGGAAAACCCCAAGCAAAGCCTCAGCAGCCGTATGCTCCGTGGGGTGGGGACCCGGATGGCGTTTGATAGCCTTCTGGTCGATGATCCCTGGGGAAATTTTCCGGAAATGCTCTGGCCCAAGACCCTGAAGAAATTGAGCTGCCGTAGCACCTTACATAGTTCCAGGTTTCCTGTACGAGGCAGCTCGCAGCTCGTGGCATGGCAGTCCGCGGATATGAGGCATGCTTCTCCGTACCTCACCTACATGTGATAGGTAGCATGTACTCTGCAGTGAATGATGCTTGCTCTGTCCCTCGGACGTTCTGATACTCTCGCCTCGTCGGTCTGCCCGGCAGTCCTGTCCTATGCTCTAGAAATCGGCAGCATCGCTTTCCGCTGCGTCTGACACTGCAAGTAAAGCACGAACAGAAGCACGCCCTCGGCCCTTGATCGCCATCCGATCCCTCTGCGCCGCCCGCCGTTGTCGTGCCAAGCAAAGACTAACCTCTGTGCGAAGCGGCCGGCCGCCCAAATGGTTGACTCGTAATCACTTCGCACTGGCACATGCTTGTTGGTACAGGCCGCAACGTCGCCTTCTGCCGGGTGATCTCTCTCTGCTACGTATCAACAGCACAAGGTGAATGCGGGCGAGGCGGCGGGATACTGCGTACGGGTTAGCCATGACAGAATGTGCTTTACCGTGCCAGAAACTCGCGGGGCTTTTGCCGTACAGTAGCTCTCTCTGTCTGGCTTCAGTGTGCTTGGCTTGGGCAATGTGTGTGCCTGGCCGCCCCTTTGCATTGGTGTCGTTTCTTCCTTGGGTCCCCACCGTCATCTGCGAAGCATTTTGGGAATCGGTCCTCGGTCCGTGCCTGTTGCCCTGATGGTACTTTTCGTCACGGACGGCGTTTTGTCAACTTGCTTAGTACAAGGATGCTGCAGATAAGCTGATACCATACAAGCAGTAGTAGTTGTACGGCCGGCATGGAAGGGAAATGCACTGTACCATTGCATTAGCAGTTGGCGTTTTGTCGGGACCGAGCAGCAGGAGAGGGAAGCAATTCCACGACAAGATGAAGGGGCGCTCGCTCGGGCCAGGGCAAGTTGCGTTGATGCGCTTCTTCTCCTGGCTTCCTGTGCTGTTCCTTTTGCCCCTTAGCTGACGAAGCTGTCAGGATCTTTGATTCGCCTTGTGCGACCACGGGGGGCTGCAGGTGAGCGTAGCAATGAGAGGTTCGGCAAATGTCATCGCCAGGCACGAGCTGATCCTTGTGGCAGCTGGGAAGGTCTCTCTATATTTGTCTTGTCTCCGCTCAACTCACCTGGATTCGGTGGTAATAATAGCAGTGTTAGCCCTGTATTAGTAGCACCAAAGGGAACCATCACCGAAAGCCGTGGCAAGAGATTCAACCCAACAATCAGACAGTCGAGTGCGCTCTGTTTTTTGCACGTCTGTGCATTCTCACGAGGTACGTGCGTCTGTCTTGTATCAGAAATACTCCGTTGGTATTCGGCCCATCGGTGCAGAGCCTGGCCTAGAAGCTCGTGCATGTACTTCTACACGCAGCATGAAGCTGCAGCGAAAGCAATCCTGCGAAATGCAGAACGACCAACAAATAGCCGTTGCGCCGCGCCGCGCATGACAAGGCGATGGTGTTGCTCCGCGGAGGAGAAATTCAGGGGCGTGCGGGTTCTAAAACCCTCCCCCCAGACCCGGGAGTGACGTAATTGCTCGTGCACAATGGATGCTCAGGACAAAAACCCACGATGCTGCACATGCAAGTTGCAGCGATGCGTACCAGGCACCACGATGATTACCCCGTGCCTTCAGAGCGTTTGCTTGGCATGTGGTGCCCTCCACCGCGCATGAGAACGACGGTCTGCCTGTCAAAGTTTGCACATGTGCGGCGATATGGATATTCGCTGCCAGTCGGAGCAAGTACTATGTATCGTTCATTGGCGCTCCCTCGCCGTTAGCGGAAAGACCAAGAAGCAGAGGCCATCACGATGAAGGCATCAAGCATAAGCACCTGGCAGGGGACGAGTTTGCGTGGGGAGAGCGTCGATAGCGTATCTGACTCGTCAACTGCAGTGGCTGATGGCCGGGCAACTCAGCTGTGACGGGACTTGGCTCTGTTTGTCCAGTCTGTCTGTCTCTTGGTTCCCAAAAAGCAACAAAAGACTTGTCGTTTCTGTCCGTCTGCTAATACTCCGTGCTAGTCCCAGCTTCCCTTTCGAATCAGAAGCTATTAGACGATCGGCGCCAGCCATGCCTGTGCGATTGGCTGCCATCTCGTGGGTGGGCTCTTTTGTTGCTGCAGAGTAGGGGTCTGGACCGGGAGACTCTCGCCAGAATGCTACAGTACGGAGTGCTGGGTGCCTTGAAGCCAAGCCCAAGGGTTCCGTTTCCCGTATCGAGGACGCCATGATGGCGCATCGAACCCGATTCTCCCAGCTGCATGATGGGTTCGATGGGGATGATGATCCCCGAAGCAGCGGCTCAAAAGACAATGACATGGACATTTCCCCTGTGCATGCCATCCATCGAGGAGACAGCTCCATGCTATTACTGGACTACATGCTGAGCCAATGATGGTGCTGGTCCGAACTGTTCCCGTCAGTACGGACCAGAGCCTACCTTGCCGTGTTTCGAGTTATGATTACATGCCAGAACTGCGCAATAGCCGGCTTCTTCGTACCGATTATATGGAGTCGTCGTGCTGATGGAGAGGCGCGGCAAGATTAGTCGGGTAGTAGCACCGAGCACTGCTTGCTGCTACTACTAGGACTCTGTCCGAGATGATGACGGCGCAGGCTATTTTCAGGGTGCTGTGTGCGCGCAGCGACAATCACGAAAGCACCGAGTAAGGTGTGCACAATCCAAGCTTGCAGCCGCCCCCCGTCTGACCGTATCACAGCTCGTGACACCTTACCATTGAAGAACTTCCCAGCAGCTCCGATGTCCACCTACCTGATCAGCACTGGGTATGTAAATCAGAGATTTGATGCCACGGCATAGATCGGTGTATCTCGGTATCTCTCAACAATCATTGACATTCTCTGGGCCTGAAGTGCGTGCTCGTCTCTGACCCTGAGCTCTTGTTCTGGCCCGTCCATCTGGGAACTCGCAAGCCGCTTCGCGTGCGGCTGGAATATGATGCAATTTGTGGTTAGCCGCGACCCCGGAACTGCTCCTCTCAAGCCTCCACATCCAACGGCTGCATCAGATCCAGACCAGAGGACAGCCGAGCCTAGAATGAATCGATTAATATTGGAGGGGGAAATTGGGAGTTGGAAAAAGGCATGATGCGAGTCGGCTGCGTGGCGTTCGCACTGTCTGTCAGGCTGGCGTCGACCGAAAATGGATCGGAATCGCAAGCGCGCCATGATTGGCAGACAAGGGCGACAAGCGCCCAAACGGAAATCGTCGACAAGAACTAGCTTGATCTTCTAGAAGTGCGGCTCATTGGACGCGCGGGCGGAGGGTGATCGAGTCAAGTCGAGTCGAGTTGGGCCCAGCAGCTAAACGACTTGGCCTTCGTCACTGCGGCGACTCGCTCAGAGCACGGCACTTTGCGCTTTGCTTTCTCTGGCCAATGTGGGTTGCGCGCATGTCTTGGAAGCGAGGCATCGCGAAGCCAATCAACCACCCTGGCCGTCTCTGCAAGAGCTCTCAACACCGAAAGGGATGACCGAGAGGAAGACGGGCATCGCATCGTCGGAGCCCTGCCGCGGTCAAGGCTTCCTGTGTTCAAGATGTCGAGGCAAAATCCTTCATAGGCACTGAGTATCGTATGTACATGCTCGTCGTGTAGGTTTGGAGCCGGGGCGACGAGATCGACGCATGTACAGTCAAATTGGGCGCTGCCGCAGTTACGGCCCGACACGATCGGCATCGCCCGGGAACGAGCTGATGATGCGTGCAGTTGTCAAGACTCGGTATGTGTGCATGGAGTACCAGGTATGCGCGAGGGCATGTCGGCAAGGCGTGGGCGAGCTTGCAGCCGCATTGCAGGCAGCGAAGAGCCTTTGTTGAAGGAAGCGCCGCAAGATGCCGAGCTGCTTGTTGTACTAGCTCGCTGCTGCTGATGCCACCACGGCTGCTGATGCCAGTGCCACGATGCCTTGGGGTCAAATCACCGCCGGTATTCCAGCATCCGCCGCCCTTTGCGCGCCCGCTCGAGCGGTCCTCGTGGCCGTCCGAGTACAACAGGCCCAAGCCGTGATCTGATATGATACCGGCCTACCCAAATGCGCAAGCTGGCGGACGGCACGCGAACGCTTTTTGTGGAGAGATCCGGCACACGGTGTGTCGAATCCTGGTGGTGCGACGGACGGGTCGATGATGGAGGTTGGGAGGGAGGGATGCTGGTGATGGAGGGTAGGATGGGCTCGACTGCATTGATTGATTGCATCGAACTGATCGAATGGCTGACGTGCCGATATGTCGCCAGTGTCACCATTCCATGCTGTCAAATGCATGAGATGCCCTTTTGCCCTCCGTTTATCCAGCCCGTCTGATTGGATCACAGCGACTATCGCATCGCACAGAATAATTTCACGCCCCGCCCCGTCTAACCGCGCTGCCCAGTCCGTTAAAAAGCCGACTTCTATTTTTCCTCTACTTCTTCTTCTCCTTCCACCATCAGCTTGCCGAGCTTTTCTTTCTTCCCACACACACCTTTTCGTTCCTCGACGCTCTCGATTTGCGTCCAAGTCTGCACTATGACGTTTCTCGCAACCTTGATTCTGCTCTAACGCCGGTCATTCTCACCTTGCAGCGCGCGCCAGACAGAGGAGGGGCGTTTTGGGCCTTTATCTCGTGGTGAAAAACTTTTCTCTGGCCGCCTCAAGGTGAGCCGGCAGTTTTCCCTTCTCCTTCTGACATTTCGGGTATGCTTCTGAAGCTACTCGGCTATGGTTACCTGCCCATAGTCGGCGAGCTTCCAGAAGACGGACCGCTGTCGAGCACGAAGACCGAATTTGCCACTCCGGCGGCTTCCATGGCATCCTCGGGCTTGGAGTGCCGAACACGCCAAGATGCCGTCCAGATGCGGACGGCCTCACCGCGCGACCGGCTATCCTTTGCGACGTCGGCTTGCCATTTGCTAAGAGCTCTGACTTGAGCTCGATCCAGTCACGATACTGACGACCACCTCTGGTGGCATGATGATGATATGGCTCGTTGGCCATTTCTCTCTATAGCTGTGTACCTCACATCGTGATTGTGTTGCCAGATACGGCGTTGCCTTTATGGCTTCGCCTATCGACATCTCCGTTCATCTCCCATTGACCTAGATGTTTTCGCACTGGCATAGATCAATTTTAGCTCGTTGCTGGGCACCCGGCTTGGAGATGTCGTTTTGTACATCAAAGACAGGCCGGGAATCAGCTGTAGAAACATTCCATCACCGTTCATGCAATATCTCGTAGAGTCTCCTGAGAACCCCTAAGGGCATAACCGAGGTTGTACGCACGAAGCGGCACTCCCGGTTGATACGATCGAACATCTCCGGATACGTCGTACAAGACTTATCACCAAAGTACAGGATCTCATCCTGGATCTCTGCGCTTCCTTCGTCTGACTCGCTCCGTCGCCATGAGTCGCACAAGCTGGCATTTCCTCGGCAAAGACCGACGAGTACGGAGATCCTCTGACAAGCCACACCTTGATAGACGACACACCCGAATAGCAATCCGTGCTTGCCGTGCTACTATCAACTGCCGTGGTAGAAAAGTCAATTGTGGCATCTCTTGCCCATGATGTCATTGACGACCCTCCATTTTCCGTTTCTTTTGACATCTGACCGCCAAGCTTGTCTGTTTTGGAGCGACTTTTGAGAATCGGGCGGTTTGGGGGCCTTTGATACTAAGAAAACGCGGTGAAGCCTCTTGGTGAGACATGGCCATCCTGACGGTGGACGATCTAAGCGCCGCTTATTTATCGGTCGTAATAGTCTTGACTGCCTGTGTCGATCTGGAGCATGATTGGACGGTGATGAATGGGAAAGTCGCTGGTGCTCACGAATTCGCATCTTGGTCTGGAGAAACAAGTAGTGGCACATGGACATTGGCGCCACCATTAGGGTTTGGTGAGGACGCAGCTCTGTAAGTCATTACAGCTAGACTAAGTAATACAATGTCTGATAGGTCCATATTTGATTCAAACAGGTTGATCGCCGGCAAGGTATATGCCTGCTCAGCCGGGCGGCTTGTGTCGAGTATTAGTTAAGCGGTGAAGAGCGAGTTGGTTGGGAGGTACATGAGACGGGGGAGTGGACGTAAAGACCGGAGGACGATGGTAGACCGCTTGTCACATGTCCAACGCGTGAGGAGTCGCGGACAGACTTCAAAAGGTTGAAGGGAGCACGGAAGTGCGTTCTAAAGACCATTATACCGCGGGCGGTCGTGGCTGGTCTAGTTGTATCACGGAAGGGTTATAGTCTTTCGCCCGTACAATTCAACTTAAGAGGCCAAGTGTGTTGACTTTCCTGCTACAAGAGAGGCAACCGGATTCTAGATTATATTAGGCTGCGACTGAAGCTGGCTCTTCATGTAAGCGGCTGCAATGATATGGTGCTGAATGACTACTTTCGTCAAATGCCTGAATACATTCTTGATGAACTGCGTTAGACAATTGACTGTGTACGCCTCTATGCAGAGGTATCTACAGGGAGTAGATGATGTATAGAAGACCCTTCCTTACATGATGACGGTGGCCTGAGCTTCCTGTTTGCTTGCATGTCATGTAGCATACAAAGCAGGACGTCTCGTCTTGAGTATGCTCGTTGTCTCTACGAGCACAGCTGAGAAGTCACCTCGTCAACATTTCGCCTCCACCCTTGTCAAATATGGAACTATAGATCCATTAGACGTTAAGAGCTGCTTCTGCATGCTCAAATCCGACTTCATTGTGTAGTAGCTGAACTGCGTAGATAGATGGATGACGCCAAGCGGTTTAATCGTGCGTCAAATATGGGGAAGACGAGGCATTACACTCTGCCATTATAAGTAGATTTGGTCGCCATATACTGAATCTATTTACTCGTTGCAAACTTTGCTAAATGCGGTACTCTAACCAGCTCAGAGAAACATGTTACACATGTTGTTGCTGAACCCCGACGTGACGAGCCCCTGACCCTACGTCAACATTCAACCCGGCGGTTACGCTACGTACGTATATCGCCATTATACGTATTAGAAACCAAGTGTTACAGGTATCAAACCAAAAAGCTCTGTAATTCGGGGCTTCTGCCGTCAGAGTTGCCATTGGTTCTGATAGAACAATTTCGACCCTTTTGATCATGAGCGTTCTCTCTCGCAGCTCATTCTACCATTAAACGGTCACATACATTATCATAACACATATGATAAGATGCTAATACGCTGGGAGAAGTCAAAAGGCAAAGAGACGCCAAACTGAGACTCAGTTGCAGCATTCTTGCCCTTGCCTTGCGTCAATGTAGGCCCCTCTAGGGGATATTGATAGCAAAAATAGCTGCCGGATATTGCCATAACTCTCGACGTCGTCCGGCTTGAGCGACTTTACACTATGTGCTCATGATGAGTTCCTGAATTCAATGAATTCTTTGGTGCTCTACGCGGTGCCGCACACATACGACAGGTCAGCGCAAGGCTTCCACATCACGGCGCGGTGGGAGCATTCTTTTTTCAACTGCTGAGTAAACCTGGAACTCGATATAACCAGATTGGCTATTCGAGGGGGTTTCATTCAGTTTGTTTTTGCCGCAAGGATCCTAGATCATACCCAATTCTTTGTGTATTGCCTCCAGTGGACCTCAAGGCTTATATCGACAGTGTTAGCCTTGTGCCCGCAATTAAAACATCTCATATAGGCTTGGGCTAGAATTACTATCTGAATATTTCTCCTACCTAGGTACTTAATGGTGAAGCTTGGTTGGGTCACACTCCTGGAACTTCCCGGGGGGTTTACTTCCCTGCCAAGTGCTGTCAAGCTCTACTCTATATGCGACATTCCGAAAGAGTGATTTACTTCGATATACGATTCTACTGGACTCTCATGCGACGTGTGTCACATATACAATCTGTTACCGGTTTAAACCCTTTTCCTTGAAGCATCGATAACCGAAACTGGACGTAGGCATGTGAAAGTTGTGTTTCTATCAGGGGAGGCGGCTATATGATGGCCTCACGGCTGCGAGCAATGGCCAAGCTGCAATTTCCCCATTTCTACGTATCTGTCAATGGAATGCCGGACAGTTATAAGTCCATTAACTTTCTTGATCATCCTATGATTGGGAACATTGGTGAGATACGTTAGCACTTACACGAAGCTACCTTATAGATGTGCAGCACCAACTCCCCCATATTTGAGGATATGGGGCATCTTCAGCTTCTAGCATCGGCAGTTCTAATATGTTTATACATGTTGATGTGTCTTAATATGTCCTCCCTAAGAGTTTCGAACTGTCTCGGCCTGATATATGGCAGACATCAGATGACCTCCTGTAATGCTTACCTTGCCTACCCACCTACTAAGATTCTGGGTAATAGCCCCTTGCAAAGCAGCAAGCAGAGCCGAGGCTTTGTGACAAAGCAAGAGCCGCTCTTCTATATGCTTGATGCCTTTGTCAGCAGAAGATGGAAAGCCCTTCAGGCCTTTAATAACGGCGGTGAAACCGAAAAACTTGCAGTAGTGGAGTTTGCCTTTCATACCTCGGGTTGCTCGTGAAACATAATGAAACAGAATCCATAATACTCGAGCGCCACAGCAGGCAAAGCCAACAACAGACGTTCAACGCACAATGCCATTCGTGCGCCACAGGGACCCGACGCCACTTAACCACGTAGCTCGCGCTTTAGCCGGAGAATCTGGTCCGGGGACCCCAGTCCTTTCCGCGGCTGAGCGGTCTGTACCTACAGACAGTGAGCGCATGCTACCAGAAGCGAATGAACGGAATAGCTTCAGTAATACAGCAGTATTAATAAAGGGAAGAGAATAAGCGAAAGAGTGTAGAAGAAGAAGAAATAGAAGAAGAGAAAGCAAACCTTCATCTCAGTCAGCGTCCTGTCTACCGTACCCAGTACCACGAGGACCATGCAAGCTGAAGAGATCTACTATTAGTACAAGTATTCGCTACCCCTCCATGCATGTAATTGCGATGATATCGGTGAGGGACGACGAGGAAGCTTCAGGTTGCCTTTCGCTAAATCCTATTGCTTGGCACGGATTAGTGAGGATGAGAAATACGAGCAAAATGAGGCAGTTGCAGCCAGTGCAGATCTTTATTATTATAGCGAGAAAAAATATGGAAATAGATTAAAATCGACAGCAAAAGGTTGCAGCAGCTTTTGCTTGCATGCAGAACTTGGACCCAGACACGAATCACATGCCGCCTCTACCCCTCACCACCACCCCAACTTCAGCGGTACTCGTACCTTAAGTCGCGGGCTTTGCAGTTTGCCTGTGCTTGTACTTCCGACTTAGAAGCCTCCCTTGACTTGATTGCTTGAGTGTATTGGGGTATAGCAGAGGATAGTTTTGCTGATGAGTTTGCATTGCATGCGCCACTTCGGGGCTTGAAAAGTCAAGTTACCACGGAGCTTTTCGTGTCTGACGTACTTGTATCTTCTTGTCTCAGTTGAGCAGCAGTTGACCCCGGAGATATCGCGTGTGTCTCTCTGCTGCCTTGTCCTGCGCACGAGGTACAGCGAGGCTAATCAATGGCGGCGATCTGCAAAGATTTAGCTGCGTCCAGTTAGGGTACCTGTGCGGTCTCAGCTAACGCAGCAAGAGCGAAGTACAGGCAACACCGACCTGGCCTGGCTCGTCCTCTGCTCAGGTCTCAGCCTTCAATCCCATTCCAACCTCTCGCTCCTCAACCGCGTCTCCTCAAGCCGAATCTCCTACAGCATCTACAATTCCGCCACTTCCGACCTCCTCAGCCTCCCTTGAGCCTCGAATCCTCCCTGCTTACAGCGTCTTCGTCCACATATACTATCCAATCTCGATCCCGTTCGCTGCCCTGCCTTTGGCATCTCGAAGATGCGCTCCGCTTAAGCTACCGATACGACATATGCTCCCGCAGCTAAGGATCTACTTGACGCTGCGCAATCGGTTGCTTCAACCACCAACCCTCTCGGATGATGGGCTCATCGCAGCAAGATGAGTCGGAGAGGGTCGAGAGCGAACCCGTCCCGGCAGACGGCCAAAACCTGCCCGAGGCGAAGATGGAAGACGACAATCCAACGCCCACTTCCGCAGGGCCTGACCAGCAGCCGGGCCACGAATCGTCCTCCTCCGCCGCCGCCTCTGAGCTTGCCAGCGCCGATCGAGTCTTTCCAATTCGCTCCGTAATTCGCCTTGACCCGATATCCCACGAGAACCAATTCCCACACCTGACCGAGGCCGACAAACAGGGGCCCGGCATACCAGTGCATCTCCTCAGCTCTGCATCCCGGACAGACTCTTGGTCCGATGCGCGAAGGTCAGACGCCGACCCTATGTCACCAACCTCACCCTCCGCGTCAGGCGACCGAGCTGCCCAGATCCGCCAGAAGCGGGCAATGAGCGGGCCCTACAGCAGTGTCCATGCGGACGCCGCTCGCCATAGTTCAATCCCTATAGCGCTGAATCTATCCATCTCAGATAGGGACGACGAAGATGGGTCAGAAGCACCTGCTGATGAGAACGCTGGAGACGACGAGGCATTGGAGCCGACCGACGCGTCTGTCACGTCGGAAGATCGTTCCCTGGAGGAGGATACCCACGTTGCGACACGCTTTACACATGTCATAACGGACGAGGGGCATGCCGTCATAACAGGAAGAGATGGAGCCTTGCAAAGATGCGAAGATGAGCCCATTCATATCCCAGGCGCCATCCAAAGCTTTGGCGTCCTGCTGGCGATGCGTGAAGAGGGTGAAGGTCAGTTTGTTGTGCGGTACGTTAGCGAGAACAGCAAAAGGCTTCTGGGTTATACGCCCCAGCAACTTTTTCGACTCGAAAGCTTCCTCAACATCCTGACCGAAGAGCAGCAAGACAACCTCCTAGACCATATTGACTTTATCCGAGACGAGGATGCTGACCCGGCCGCCAATGGACCTGAAGTCTTTGGCTTGTCGATCAAGGGGAGAAAGGATAAAAAGAGCGTCAAGCTCTGGTGTGCCATGCACATCAATTCTGTCCACCCTGACATGATCATTTGCGAATTTGAAAAGGACGATGATCAAGAGTTCCCTCTCCGGCCTCCGGAAGAGATGACCGAGCCCACTACTGCCGATACCCTGAACGGCAACCCCACGCTGGAGCAGATCGAAGAAAGCACTGAAATTTTGAGCAAGCCGCTGAGGATCTTGCGAAGCGCCAGAAAAAGGCGAGGCGACCAAGGTGCAATGCAGGTCTTTGACATCATGTCCCAGGTCCAAGAGCAGCTTTCCTCGGCCCCTGACCTCGATATCTTTCTGAAAGTTCTCATTGGCATAGTCAAAGAACTCACAGGCTTTCACAGGATCATGATATATCAGTTTGACTCTGCTTGGAACGGCAAGGTTGTGGCCGAGCTGCTTGACGCTTCCAAAAGTACCGACCTGTACAAGGGACTCCATTTTCCAGCATCGGACATCCCTGCTCAAGCACGCAGTTTGTACAAGGTGAACAAAGTTCGGCTACTCTACGACCGAGATCTGGAGACTGCTAGAATCGTATGCCGGACCAAGGAGGATCTCGACATACCCCTGGACATGACGCATGCGTATTTACGAGCCATGTCCCCGATTCACCTGAAATACCTGGCCAACATGGCTGTGCGGTCGTCAATGTCCATCTCTCTCAATGCTTTCAACGAACTCTGGGGCTTGATGGCATGCCATTCATACGGGAATCACGGCATGCGAGTTTCTTTCCCGATTCGCAAGATGTGCCGCTTGGTGGGCGATACAGCCTCGAGAAATATCGAGAGGTTATCGTATGCATCCCGGTTACAGGCCCGCAAGCTCATCAACACTGCCCCGACCGATAAGAACCCCACTGGATATATCATTGCGTCCTCCGACGATCTGTTGAGGCTCTTCGACGCAGACTTTGGCTTGCTTTCCATTAGGGGGGAAACGAAGATTCTAGGCGTCATTGAACAGAGCCAAGAAGCTTTGGCCATGCTTGAATACCTTCGGATGCGTAGACTGACATCGGTGGTTGCGTCGCAAGATGTTAGAGAAGATTTTCCAGACTTGCAGTACCCCCTTGGCTTCCAGGTAATCGCAGGACTGCTCTACGTCCCCTTGAGTGAGGGTGGTCACGACTTCATCGTGTTTTTCCGCAGGGGACAAATTAAGGAAGTTCGATGGGCGGGAAACCCATACGAAAAGACGCTTAGAGAAGGCACCGTGGGCTATCTCGAGCCTCGAGCAAGCTTCAAGACATGGAATGAGCTCGTCATCGGCAAATGCCGCGAATGGGTGGAGGAGCAAATTGAAACCGCAGCGGTGCTCTGTTTGGTCTATGGTATTTCCCCCCACGCGATTCACCGTTGAGCACAGCTTTTAAACTAACTCTCGCTGGCATAGGCAAATTCATCGAGGTCTGGAGAGAAAAAGAAGCTGCTATACATAATACTCGGCTGACGAGACTTCTCCTGGCCAACTCGGCGCACGAGGTCCGCACGCCGCTTAACGCCATTATCAATTACCTCGAAATTGCTCTTGAGGGATCCCTTGATCAGGAGACCAGAGACAATCTCGCCAAGTCGCACTCAGCCTCAAAGGCGTTGATCTATGTCATAAACGACCTCTTGGACCTGACTAAGACAGAGGAAGGCCATCATTTGGCTGTCCAGGAGACCTTTGAACTTCTCCCATGTGTCAACGAAGCTCTGGATCCGTTCCGCATCGACGCTGAGAGAAAGGGAATTGACTATCAGGTCGCGCACCATCCTGGGCTGCCTCGCTTTGTCATGGGTGATAGCCGGCGGGTTCGTCAAGTCATCACGAATATCACAGCAAACGCGATAGCGCATACGACTTCCGGATATGTGAACGTGGATATCTTCGTGGCAGGAATTAGGGAAGATCGCCAAGTCCTTATCGAGATTGCCGTTGAAGATTCGGGCAGCGGCATGACACCTTTGCAGATGGACGGCCTCTTCCGTGATCTTGAGCAAGTGGGCACCGAAGAGTTGGAGCTGCGTTCGCCTTTTGAAGAGAAAGAGAAAGCGCAGCAACAGATGAAGACTTTAGGGCTCGGCCTGGCTGTCGTTGCTCGTATCCTCAAAAATGCAGGCGGCCAGCTGCGGTTGAAATCCAAAGAAGGGGAGGGTTCCCGATTTGTGATCCAGTTGCCGTTTCAGCTGCCCAAAGAATCGCCAGAGATGGAGGGCGAGGCTTCTACGAACGGCATCGTCTCTTCCAGCGAAGCGATTTCGGCGGCCAAGTCAGAGCCTCTGGCGAAAGCAGGTGAGATACTCCTGATTGACCCCAATAAAAACACAAGCGAGGCAGGGTCTATGGAACGGCGGAGCATTGAAAGCCGCCGAAGTGGTATAAGTCAGGATGGGAGCCAGAGGAGCCAGAGGAGCGACGCGGACCGCCTGATCGATGCCATCAAGACTTCGTTATCTATACAAGACAAGGAGCTGGATTACTTCGCCGCTGGCCAGCTGCCCACAACCGCAAACTTCGCCGGCACTAGCTTTCCTGTTGCCTTGAAAGAGCCTCTTGTCAACAGGCTGACACCTGTTGACGAGGATGCTGGCGCCGCGAAGATCCGTGACACGAGAATGCCTGTCCGCGCGATCAAAGTTCCAGACGAATACATCGACATACCCCCTGCGGCCATGCATCACAGGACAGGGAGTGTCTCTGAAGCCGATACCGATGCAACAGAATCAAAAGGCCCAACGGGTGCCATTACCAGCGCTGCTGCAGATGGCATCATCGCACTTCGCGTGCTTGTCGCCGAAGATGATCCCATCAACATGAAAATTCTCAAGAAGCGACTTGAAAGGAGTGGTAATACAATCCAGCATGCCGTGAACGGACAGGATTGTGCAGCAAGATATAACGACGGCTCGTCTGCGTTTGACGTCGTCCTGATGGATATGCAGGTAGGCAGCGACCATTATGCAGCATCATATCGTGAAGACGTTACAACTAACAAGTGTATCAGATGCCGATTGTCGATGGCCTGACTAGTACTAAGCTAATCAGAGCAATGGAAACATCAACCGAGCACAAGGGCCACTCGCCCCTGGCCTCCCGATGTGGTCGCATACCAATCTTCGCAGTGTCGGCCTCTCTAGTCGAAGAGCTCAAAGACATTTACGTCGAGGCGGGCTTCGACGGATGGATCCTAAAGCCCATCGATTTCAAGAGGCTCGCCACCCTTCTTCGCGGCATTTACGATGACGAAACGCGCAAGTCGTGTATATACGTTCCCGGAGAGTGGGAAAGAGGGGGCTGGTTCACGGAATCCTCCAAAGAAGTGGTCGTGAGCCAGTGATCCGCCTGAGAGAGGACGATGAATGTGTCGGCATCAGAGCAACTGCTTTCTTCCTTTTTTGTTTTATTTTCTTTCTGTTGGGTCTAAGTACACGGGCCTGTGTCAAGGGAGGGAACAAACAAAAGCATACACGGATGATACCGATTCGGCGGCGCCGGGGTGTTTATTCCTTTGGACGTATATGGTTTCCCTCTGACTTTTTTCTTTTTTTCCTTTCTGCATTGTATGGGGTTTTTGAATTTTTGGGCAATAGACGAGCCATGAAATAGATACAGCAACGGGTACACGACCGAAAAAGAACGAAAAAAGGGGGGAGTAATGATGAAGGGCAACACAAACGCACACGCGATGGATTTCTGGAAGGAGTTGGGCATTAGGGAGGCTTTTCATAGTCGATACACGATACCCTATGCATTATGTTTGGTTTTTTTTCGCCTTCTTATCTTGGTTGTTGCGTTCTCTTTCTCGCTTTTCGTTGCGTTGAAGTGGATTTCTACTCCGGCTGGGCTGCAAAGTTTCCTTTCGCCTGTTGGAATTGGCCTGGGGGTTTAAAGCAGCAAAACGAACTGCCTCATGGGCTGTGGGCGGGAGAGATATGCTCGATATTGTATGAGAAAGAGACAACTCTTGATGTATATGATAGGGAAGTGTATATGGTAGGGAAGTCTTGATTGCTGAGAGGTGGTCAATCCTTGGACATCTTTCATCATCTTCATGCCAGAGTCTGCGCCATCCAGAGTATACCAAGTGCAGCCAGTAGTATATTTCACTACGACCTTAAAACAAAGCGCTGCTGATCAAAGACGCGCATGGGGAGCTTCAGGCGACCATGCCCAGCCCTCCATCATGTGTCTCAGATCATCAAAAGAGAGAAATTATTCGCTGTTATCCGAAACGTAGAGCCCGTAGGCGCGTGCCAGAAGGTGTAGACAAAAGCGCTGTTAATCTAACATTACACGCAAAAATACAGGTTAACAGAATTTGGGTAAATAAGATAAAGGCAAAGGGACAGGAGGGTGTGAGCCGGACGTATCCATCATGTGTCGCTGTTACGCCAAAACGATACAGACTTGAGCAACCTTTTCCAAACCCCTGGTCCTGCGTCTCCGTGATTCTCTTCCTGAACGTTATGCTGACCGACGATATCCAAAAACACCTCGTCGAGCGTCGTGGTGCTAACGCTGTAATGCTCGATCCCAAGCCGCGCCTTGTTCTCTTCCAAGAGGACAACGAGTCGGCCAATGGCGCCCTGACTGATGTCGCGTGCCACGGGCGTCACCGTGTTGTTACTAGGGTCCTCGGTAAGAGAGAGGACCTGGCTCGAGAGAACCGAAAATCGCAGCTGACCGTGGTACATCTTCGACTCGAGCTTGGCTGCCGGCAAGGTCTCGTGAATCCACGACGTTATGACGTTCATCTCTTCGTCTGTTGTCCTAGGAGCCGTGCTCGACACGAGGTGGACATGCAGAGCGTCACCGTAACGATGCCTCAAGTCGTCTGGCGTACCCAGAGCTAGCATCCGCTTGGCTAGAATGCCGACTCGACCAGCCAAGGCATCGGCCTCTTCCATGCTGTGCGTTGTGAGCAGAATGGATCGGCCTGGAACCGTTGCCTCGAGCGTCTTCCACATGACTCTTTTTGACGCGGCGTCTAGACCTGACGAGGGCTCATCAAGCAAGAGAACACCGGGGTTGCCCATGAGAGCAATTCCCAGACTGAGTTTGCGCTTGTTGCCGCCCGAAAGTTTGGCCGCCATGCGTGTTGAGAAGGCGTTGAGGCCAACGGCTTGCAGGACTGCGGAGACGTTGTGTTCGACATTGGAAACGCCTCGAATCTGAGCATAGAATTCAAGATGCTCTCGAACAGTCATCTGGTCCAAGGCGTCGATTTGGGGACAGACGCCGAGATTTGCCCTTGCAGCCGGCAGATGCTTCGCCACGGACACATTGTCGATGAAAACATCTCCACCGTTGAGGTTTGGCTTTAGATCGCCCCGAATTAAAGAGATTGTCGTGGACTTGCCCGCTCCGTTCGGGCCCAACAGAGCAAAAACCTCACCACGCTTGACGCCGAAGCTGACATTTTCCACGGCGTAATTCTTGCCAAAGGATTTTGTCAGATGAGAGACTTTGAGACCGTCATCTGCTGCCGGGTCCAAGATCCTCAGCTGCTCATTCACCACTTCTTCATCTGACTCAATGACATCGCGTGGCTGCTTGTGCCTATTGAAGAAAGCTCTCACAGAGGATCCCACATTCCCGCTGTCTAGCCAAAGCAATAGCCCGAACAGAATCAAGCATTGGATGATGAGATACAGAATGGGACCTCCGTATTGCTTCAGGCCACCTGGGGTTTTAGAGAGGTCGATGTCATCGCAGGCCGTAGCGAAGAGGTTCGCGGCGAGAAACATGGCTCTGGCCACCGAGCCGATGGGCATGAATGCTGAAATGACAAAATGACAGACCAGCAAAGTCTTGTCAATCTTGTCAATCTCGACATACGTGACGACGCAGACATAGGCGATCAAGTATCCGAGGAAAAAGACCGCTTGCCCGAAAGCCGCCCAAGCAAATGTGGCCAGCTGCGACCTGGTAAAGAGAGACACCAAGTAGGACACCAATATGGAGGCCAGGCCATAGAAGAGGAGCACTACAAAGATGTATTCAATATGGTACCAGATGTCTGACAGCCCAGCCCACACAGCCGTTACTATCGCGGAGCTGGCAAGGACCATGACAAAGTCGAACAAGAGGTAAGCCATCCACAAGGGAAAGGGTCGGACGCCGTTGGAGTACTGTAAGCTGCGCACGAAGCGCCTGCGTTCGTTGCTCGGGTAAAGAGCAAAGAATGCTGGGTAGCAGGCGAGGGCCAGACCCATATAGATGACCAGATTCAGGGCTTTCCCAATGGACGAGTTGTAAGGAGTATCAAAGGGGGCCCAGGACGTTGCAATCGTCGTGTTGGTCAACATCACGTCGAGGAATTGCTGGGCCGTGAGGGGGCTCGTAACGATCAGGTTGGCAACCCAGGCAATCGTGGGATTTGTGCCGGAGTCGCCGAGCCACAAACCCGCGGTGATGTTCTTGTTATGGTCCCGTAAGTACTGATTGAACTCATTGTATGTGTCGACGAGATGAAGGTTATTTAGGGACGTCGTAGCGATGGACACAATAGGACCCGGACTGCTCGCAAGAATGGGCTGGAAGAGAGACGAAGCCTGTAGCGAGTTAAACTTGCTAGCCGGACCAGCAAGGAAAGAAAGGCTATCGCCGTTTTTGATCTGAGTAAAGGCGTCCGCAGCTTCAGAGGTCGAATCTGAGTCGATGGGTTTGCATCCCGTCGGGCTATGGCCCTTGACGAAAAGAGACGTCAATCCTGCCGCCATGACGGGGAGTAGGAAAGCAACAGAATATAGCGCCCAATTTCTCTTCAAGACCGTCCAGCGTTTCTGAAACAGGATGACCGCCTGTTCAAAGTAGCTCACCCGTCGGCCATTAAGCAGCTCGAGACCGATTCCTGGCCCCGTGTGTCGGCTGTGGCCCTGCGAAGAGCTGTCATCCTTGATAGGTATTTTCTCCACGATGGTGTTGGTCCCGGCGAATACCTCCTCATCCTTAATCTCCTCCGCAACCTGCAAGAAAACATCTTCAATGGTCGGGCCCGAGAAACGATAATCCGTTATGTTAGCCTTCTGGAGTTCCTTGATGACCTGTGCCGCCAGATTGGACGTGGGGGCAGTATAGGTAACCAGATCAAAGGCGTCGTTCTTCTTCACCCCAGCGATATCAGGAGAAAGTTGATGATCCGGATTCTTGTGCACGCTGACCCGATAACCGCCCCCGAGGCGATCCTTGAGCTCGACAGAGGAACCTTGGGCCCGGAGAGTGCCTTTCGATAGGATTGCGATGTGATCAGCGAGAAGGTCTGCCTCGTCGAGGAAATGCGTGGTCAGGATCAAAGTTCTCTTCCCTCTCTCGGCGAGCAGAATATCCCAGATCTTGCGTCGAGATAGCGGATCAATGCCACTGCTCACCTCATCGACACAGCAAACTGCGCTCCCGCCTACCAACATCACTCCAAGCTGTAATTTTCGCTTCTGACCCCCGGACAAGGTTCTGGCGAGAGCCTTGGTTTTGTGGACGAGGTCGATGGACTTGATCAGTTCGCTAATCTCCCCTTTGCTCGCAGGCGCGTTGGGTGATTTAAGCTTGTCGAAGATGACGAGATGCTCCTCAACAGTCAAATCGTCCCACAGGACATTCTTCTGTGGCGCAATGCCCAAGCCACCGTGTCCATCAATGGTGATATTCCCGCTGGTTACTCTGTTCAACCCAGCAATGGCATCCAAGGTCGTGCTTTTGCCGCTTCCGTTGGCACCCAGAAGCGCGACAATCTGGCCCTTGCTGACGCTGAAACTCAATTGCTTGACGGCTATAACAGGGTCTGATGGCTTGGAGGCCAAGGACTTTATCCTCTGAGAGACGGACGGTTGGTAGACCTTGGTGAACTCATCAAGCCGCACGGCATCTTCACCAAGACTGTTGTCTCCCTGCTTCAACACTTTCCGGCCTGTCGTAGCGGTACCATAAAGGTGTTCTTCCACGAGTGCAGCGAGGAGAGGGTAGATGAATATGTGAGCAATCAGAAAGAGCCAGAGAGCGATGCCTGGCAGCTTCCATGGGCTGCCCGGGGCTATCTCGACAAGGTTGGCTGGCATACCGGCTCTCTCGAAGCGAGACATGAGCGTTATGAAGTAAACGTAGGCGCAGGGAGGGAAAAGCAGAGACAAGATGAGCACGGGTGCCGTGTGAGGCAGTGTAAGAGACTGCGCCAGGATGCCCAGCAAGAGGACGGCAAGTATGGCGGCGATACCACTGAGCTGGGCCTTTTTGAAGAAAGAGGCGACGAAAACGGACGACGACGCGAGAGCAAGACCTGCAGTGATGTGGAAAAAGAGGACGATGGCCAGGCTGGTATAGGCAAACACACCGTAGCGGATGATGATGGATCCGATGACCCAGGCAGGCGCATAGACGATTGAAAAGGAAAGATGATGAGAAATGATGCGAGCGGCCAAGGCTTGCCACGGCTTGCTGACGGGCATCATGGCGTCCAGGAGCTGCGACATACCAGTCTCACGCTCTGTGGCGATGTGACCACTTAGGTGGTATGTGATCCAGATGATGGAGGCGATGAAAGCGACTCCCATAAAGCTCACGATGGCCTTGTGAAAGATTGCTCTGATCTTGAGCTGTCTTTCCTTCTGATTCAAGGTGGTATAGGGCATCTCCTGGGTGTTGGCCATGGCCTGGGCAGCCTCGGTATCGTTCAGGCCGACGATGATGCTATCTATGGCGCGCTGGATGGGCAAAAGATAGACCTCTTCGGCATTGTCAGACCTTTCAACGTTGATCTTGACGGGACTGGACTCCATCTCGGCATCCGTGCGAAGGGTGTAGTTCCATATACCGCCGTGTCCCTCACTGGGAGACGAACGCATGACGACAGCCCCAAAACAGTTGGAAACCCCGCGCAAGCTACTTGGGCACTCCGTGAAGAGAGTGTCTTCGCTGCTTGCCCTGACGACATTGATGTGAGGCCCCTGTGCTGCTATTTGCTCTTGAAGGTGATCTAGCACGATCCCGATGTCGCCCCCTGTGAATCCGTTGTCGACTAAAACGACCTTGTGCCGCCCGCTGTCGAAAGCATCGTCAAACGCTTGCGCGAGTGTCTTGACAGGATGGACCACTCCGAAGCCGAAGATTGCAGGCGGAACGAAGAGGTACTTGGCGAAGGTGAAGAAGGCGGCCAGGACGATGGGCAGGAGGAAGGCCATGAAGAAGACCTTTGTGGTATGGCGACATAGCAGGTGCCGGAAGTTTTTGGACATGAGAGTCCAGACTTGCTTGAAGAAAGCCATGGTGAGAGTGAAGGGCTTCGACGACCTTGAAGTTTGGGACAGACTCCGGTTTCCCTAGCTCTCCTGCCGAGCACCCTCAGCGGCATAGGGACGCAAATATCGACCTTGGGTAAGGATACAAACGTAGAACTGGACGACGAACCGCCAGCAGGAAGCAAAAAAAGACAGTATGGCGATATCAAAGAAGGTTATTCCATATGTCTGTTCGAGGGGGGGAAGAAGAATGCTAGAGATGGATCCAAAGGTCGGGATTCGCGTCCATGGGGCGTTACAGGTAGATTTGCCCGTCTATTCCGTATACGGTGCCGGCGTTGCTGCTGAGATTCGACAAGGAGCAGAGGCGAGACGTCAACACGCCGTGGCGCCGAGACGGTAAATGGCCCTTTTAGATATCCGGCGATGCGTCGGGTTTTTGACGTGGACGGGGTCGATATCCGCAGCCGATGGAAACGCCCTGGCAAGAAGAGGTAAAGATGCAGCGTATGCGAGGCGCCACCAAAACGCCGACTCGTTGCTACTTGACGGTCGAGAACTCGGCAGGGGCTGTCGATGCCTGTTTTGAGCTGCTCTGCGCCGTAACGCAAGGGCCTTGACTCCTCTTATGTTCTTTCCAGACAAGACAAGCTTCCGCCTCCCTTCTCACCGCGACTGCGATTGCTGTAGAAGCAGAGCAAGAGGAGGACAAACGAGTGACAAGGAAAGAATCGTCCACCTTGCGAAGTCGCTACTCGCGCATGCTGCTGCGTCCAAGATTCACGCCACTCCGCAGAGGCGTCGACGCCTTGATGACAAGAGAGGGAAAAGAGAGCGAAGAGGAAGACGAGAGAAGCCAAGCATTGCGCCCTTTGCAGAAGAAAACAATCGGATTGGAAGATCGAGCATTGATGAAGGATCCACAACTTTACGCGGACAACTTGCAGAAGAGGCCAGGGGGATCGATTGAGCTGCGGCAGGAGATGGCGGAGAAACTTGTCCGTACTCCGAAGTGTGCCTGCCTCGGCCCTACTTACTGGATGGCTTTGGTGTTGCTTATACTAGGTACTTACAGATTTCAATAATTACCTTAGAGATAGACAAGCTTTGAGTTGCCCAGGTGACGCTATGAACTGTCACTTCTACTGAGAAATCAACTACCTTACAATCTCATCTCATCTCAGGCAAGATGTGGCTTTCAAGCCAAAAGGCACGGAAGCGAGCGGAAACTCCGCAGCACCCACTACCTTAAATCTAGCGACTACTTACTGCTTGCTGTACCTGGTCTTGCTTTTCTGACATGTGAGCCTGAAACTACCTACAAGAAGACGAGCGTTAATTCACTCATATCAGTTCCTGTAAAAGGTGAGATTTGCCCTTATGTAGGTACTAGTAGTAAGCCTTCACAACACGATTACCAAACAGCTGCACCTACACAGATGTCCAGACTCCAAGTTTGTCCTTGGCCGGGATTCGGGAGGACATCGACCCGAGTCAGGCCAGACACAGGTACATATATTGCCGTTTTGGGTAATGGAGGTTGTTGCGCTGTACTACTACTCTGGACTCCAACAAGGCACGCGACAGTAGAAAATCATAAACACCCCGTGAAGTCGATTGTCAGAAGGCTCTGGAACAAAAACATATTATTTGCCATCTATACCTGATGAATAACATGCCTCTTTGCAACCCCAACAGAGCTCGCGACCACTACGGGTCTCTGAGATGTCGAGGAGGAAGATAGTTACTGTCATTGGACCTCTATAACGACTGAAAGCCACACAACTTTAAAGCTGAATAGCACCGACGCAGCTCCGATCAATGGCAATGATGAACAATAACTGGAAGTCAACTGGAATCAGGGTATTTAGGTACTGGCTACAAATATTCAAAAGCAGCATGCACAACTTACTCCACCAAGAACCCCCCGCCCTCCTCGTCATCATCGTCAACAACCATATCAAACTCCTCCGTCTCGTCGCTCTCCGCCCCTCCTAACTCGGCCTCTAGCTCAGCCTGTCTGTCCGCCTCCTTCCTCTCCTCCTCGCCGACACCGCTCCAGATCCTCTCCCGAATCCTCAAGCCCATGAGGAACCGCCGCCAGAGCTTCAGTGCCACGTACCGCCTCTTGTCCTCCTCCATCTCTTGCTGCAGGTCAAGCATGCCTTGAATGGTCGCGCGAACGGCTTCTTCGTGCTCTTTTGCCACGACAACCCCATTCAAAACAGCCGTGCCCTGTCGTCCTTTGAACTGGAATCCCGTGAGCGCCGGCGCGCAGTCAATTCCTAGCAGGTATGCCGCACGCCTGGCATGCTCGCTCGCTATGTGGACGCCACCTTTCGGAACCATGCTGGGCACGTACACCTCAATGTTGCCAAACTTGTTCTTCGGCACGCGTCCGTTTCGGACGGGAGGCGGCTCATACAGCTCCGTCTGATCCGAGGTGTAGATTGGAATCCCCGCATCGCCCTCGTTTGACTCTTGTTCTTCTTCTTCTTCAAAACGCCCGAACCTCCTTTTCTGCACTCTCTTGGGCAGCCATTTCGCGGGAATTTCATTGGGCTTGACTTCACGGCCGAGTCGAAACCACTTCTCAGCACTCCTCGCGATCCGGACATCTTTTCGCCGATACACCTTTTCCAGGGGAGCTCGGGCTCCAGCTGCGACCGTTCCAGACGGTACGGCCCCGGGAGCGAGGACCTCATGTCGACGGAGGTGGCGCTCCAAGGCATATACTGGATGGCCTTTGAAGTCCTGCACATTCTTGGGCATGGGCTCTCTCGCCTCGACGCTGGCAAGCTCAATGTCTTCAATCTGGTCCAGGTCATCCACTACTGCAGGCTGATACATCCTCATGACTTTGCGCCACCACTTCTTGCCATCTTCCGCCGCTGTCTCTATGCGGAGTTTCCGTGTCTTTGCTGTATATCCCTTGGCATACCGTCGGGTCACATCCTTCGCAGTGCCATCTTCGTTGAAAGCCACAACGTAGCACAGGCAGTTTTCTTTATCGGTAATCGGCGGTTCAAACACTCTCGGCTTCCAAAATGTATTTGTCACCACAGGGTCCGTAGGCTGCCATTTCTGATGCCCAACGTCGAGGATCTCTACCCAGTATATTGGGTAAGAAGACTCTCGTATCTTCTTGGGCGACGCAAAGGTCGGGCGAGGCCTGCTGGGGGCAGCCGTGGGCTCGAACTTGTAGTCTGATGCGTTTGGGTGGCCTAATCTGCGTCTAGCAGTAGAAGGACCCGCGGCAGAGGTGGATGAGGCGGCAGCCGCCATTTCTCTATACTTTGCTACTTGGGATAGCATGTGTTCGGCTTTGGCAGCCCGATTTGACTTGCTGACAGCTTTGGCCTTGGGAAGCGTAGGCCCTGCAGAGCCGAAGGAGAGCGGCTGTAAAGAACAAACGAGTCGAGCACGAACACCAACGCTTCGTAGCAGGGCGCAATACAACTGGGCTCCGACATCGCGTGAGCCCTGTAGCGTCTTTGCTGCTTCTCTAAAATCAGACTTATCCAGACATGATTCCATGTCATCCGGAAGTTCATACTAGGATGCGTCAGAAAACCGAGCCTCTCATCACCAAGGAAAGGAAAAAACATACGCTATCAAGATCTTCTACCGTTTCTGCCCACAAAGCTCTCCTCATGCCGCGCTCTGTAATTTCAAACTTGCTCTTCCACATGTCTGCAACGAGCTTCAGCCCGTTCTTGAGGCTCTCGGTCCTTCCAAACTGCGACAGGTTCGTCCCCGGAGTCAGATACTGAACCATCTTGTCCGTCAGGTGAGGTCGAAGGGACTCTTGAACTTGCGTGTCATTGCACCAATGATTTCGCTTGGCCACATGAGACAGTAGACAGAGCAGGTGAGTCTTGTGGATAGCAATGCGACGCTCTTTTTCTTCCCTGGTGAGCGGCTTTCGTCGGTCTGCCCCTTGTTTTGACGACGTCATGGCAGACTTTTGTGCCGAGAGATTGAGTTCTAGCTCCTTTGGCTCCTGTGACCCGGAGTCTTCATCCGGTAAGGGCATGTTGAACTGCACGTCCTCGAATTGAAGGGCTTCGTCCTCATCGTCCTCATCGTCTTCTGAATCCAGCTCGACGGTCTGGACAGTGGGTTCTGGAATGGCGACGTCTTCGAATTCCATGTCTTCATCGTCGTCTTCGTCTTCTTCCTCATCCCGTACACCCGGCTGAGCAATCTTCGGTCTCGATGCCTCCCCAACCAATGGTTCTTTCGCAGGCTCGGCCTTCTCTGCCACCTTCTGACTCTGCGACGAAGCAGCTTCGCGTCTCCTCTTCAACGGCCTCTCTGGTGAGCTCGCAGCCGGCGCAGAGACTCCGGCCTCCGCCAGCATCTGCTGATAGATGTCGGGCTCATCGCCGCCGCCGCGACTCGCTTGTTGCCGGCCGCCGCCCCGCCGCGGAATGCTGCGCTTCCTTCCGACCATGCTTACATGCTAGAAAATTTCGAAGGACAACTGGAGATGATTGATATTCATTCACGTACAGCCGCCTGTCCGCGATCTCGACAATTGCGTCACAGCGATTGGCGCGAGGATCGGCGCGAAGTCACGTGTGGCTTAATCACTACCGATGACTAAACCAGCAGGACGATCTGAGCTGAAGAAAGAGACGATGCTTCCGGGATGCACCGTAAAGCGATTTTCAGATATATTAGATACCTAGAGAGTATACGAAATTTGTTTCCAATGGGATATTGTGCAGTTTGGTATTAGGAAGCACATCTGCTATTGAGTTCCTCTGTCGCCTCATCCATGTCAGGCTGTTCTCTCGAAAAGTGGGCACAAGTCGTCTTATTAATGAGCATAATTTTTCCCTCCCATCTTACACGTAGAAACAACAATGGCAACATCAAGTCTAAACTTTCATTGACAATTCGAGTACAATTCCTTGTTTCAAAAGACTGCTTCAACAAGTTCAAGGTCCCGCTGTGACCCTTTGGAAACTCCATAACTGCCCGATCAAGGAACAACGCATAGCAACATAACAAAATACCATACAAAAGCAGGAAATAACCACCACTATAACGTCAACGCCAGCCAATATCAAACAGAGCCCGGATCTCACAACACTCTCCCCCTCTCTACTTCGTCAACCAGCCGAGGTAGTCGGCAACGATAAGGGTCACCATGCTAAATGATCAGTCATCAGTTAGTTGCACGACTCCTCACGGACGGGGAGAGAAGGAGAAAACTTACGCGTGAGGCGCAATGCGGACATAGTACGTTCCGAAGCCTCGGTAGAATCTCAAGACGCCCTCCTGCTTGGCCACCTTGGCAAAGCAATCGGCCATGCTCGTGTACGGAAGCTTGCCATCAGGTCCCCTCGACTGCTTCTGCAGTCTGGTCTTGACAAAGTCGAATGGCAGACTGAAGAAACTGGCGAAGAATCCGGCAATGGCACTGGCGCTCAGGGTCTGGGACTGAGCAGACAAGTTGGTGTGTTGCTTCAACTGTGCCTTGGCTTCGCTGAAGAAGGCCAGTTGTCCAAAGTTGAGGGCCATGGCACGGACGACAGTTGGGGCGGCGCCCGCCCAGAGAGCTCCAATGCCCTCGCCCTTCGCAATGGACGTCAGTGCATCAACAACCGACTTGTAATTTTTGCGCTCAGCAAGAGGCTTCAGGCCGTCGCTTTGCATTCGGATCAGGGCAAGGTCCGCCGGATTGCCAATCATGGCTGCCAGGCCACCGGCCGCCAATCCAGCCGTGGCTCGTTCTGAGAAGCCAATCTTTCGATCCTGCGCCTTTGCCCGCTCCGTCAATTTGCCCATGAAGGTGTCAAAGAAACCCAACCGAGCGGTTGTGTATACAGCTTGTCGGAGAAGACCGGCAGAGAGGCCGGTGTACAGGTCGAGGAACTTTCCGCTCGAGATGATCTGCCGAGTGACAGACAACGGCGTGGGCTTGGGTCCCCCAGAGGTGCCTTCGCCCGCAAGCTGGATGCGGACCTTGACCATGTCGACGGGCTGGATGACCGAGGTGGCCACCATCCCGCTGATGCCTCCATTGATGAAAGGCAAAGCTGCCTTCATGAAGGGAGTGTGAATAATGTCGGAGGCCTTGGCGGCCGCATCGCTCCTCTTGACGCTATTCATGACCTCCGAGGTCCTTGATCGAGCGGACTCGGCAGCTTGCTTGATGGAATTCATAGTTACGACTGCGGAAGCGCCGCCTTATAAGTGCTATGCTCCGGGATTCTATTGCCTCGGGTCGGGCCTCGCTAGCTGAGGACCCTGCTTGGCTCGTTGATGACCGTTGATGACCTTTGATGACTTTGGCGTATTAGTCAAGCCCAGTCAACTTTCACAATGCGATGACATGAGTGGCATGACGGCAGACTGGGGAAGGGGGGGGCATGTCTGGTGGAGCAGAGAGATAGTAGATTTCGGGACTGCGATCCCGTCATCGGCAACCTCTCGAAGCCAAGGTCAACGGCAGGCCGACCTGAGCCGGCGGGATACCCGAGCACTTGAGGTCGGCCTTGGGCCATCGGAAAGTATAGGGTCACAGAGCGGCCCCGACTTCGAGGGCGGGCTCAGGCTGGGCTCCGCTCGCGGCCCCAGATTGGCGGGTTGGACAAGCCACTAACAGCAGGAGGAGGGATGGTCGGAAGACGGGAGCTGCACTCACCGGAAACTAACTCCGCGCTCGAGGTTGGGTGAGTGAGCGCTGGCACGGCTATGTCCTGTTGGTCTCGTCGAACTCGAAGCTGCCCCGGGACGGTTTGTGCACGCGGGGATCGAGTCGGCTTTGGCGGGGGAAGATGGAGATGGGGGGCAAAAAGATGCAAGCCGGTGGAAGCAAATGGCGATGGCAAAAGCACCTGCTGGCGGCGTACGACCCGGAATATGGACAAAGCTTTATTGCTCGAAAGGCCGGGGCTCTTTGGGGGGGAGCGCTGCGATTATAACGACGTCCGACACCGGGATCTGGAATGCGCCCGAGGCAAACGAATGATTTGCGTATCGCAAACTGCTTATTGGCGTGAGACGTGAGACGATTCAGACACAGGACGAGACAGGATGAGACCCTGCGTGCCCGCGATACTTGACGTTGAGATGGCGGGAGGAAATGGGCAGACAGGCAGAGGAGCAACTTCCACTGCGATGCGATGCGATGCGACACGATGCGATACGGAAAGAGTCAGAGTTTGAGAGTCACGACGAGAACAACCGGCGAGCGTCGACCATATTAATATTCTAGTGCTGGCCGCTGCTGATCATGGCATGGCAGCAGCTCTCGTCCACTGGCGACCCTCCACCAAGTGGCAAGGAGCGAGTCTTGTCGCATACTAGGTAGTCACCGTGCGGAGGCAGCTGTGATGGGAGACGGAGGAGGACATGCAGAGTACCAACGACGGACCAAATGGATACGACCGGCTCCTGAGCTGTCGGTATGCCGGATGGCGAATTGCGGGGGAGGAGCAAGATGGATGATGTATCCCCTACCTTACGCGACCGCCAAGCTGCGTCTACTATACTGTATGTACAGTATGTAATGCAGACCGTTCCAATCCAGGCGTCTAGTATGGTCCTGTTAGTCCTGACTGTGCCTTGCGTGGCGCTGCGCCGGTGGGTGATGGTTGAATGGGGATGCTGCCGGCTGAATGGAGGCCGGGCTGGCATCACGTCGATAGGTAGGGTAAGGCAGGCATTGGCGGCAGCGAATGGGATGGCCGAGCAGCAGCTGAGACAGGCATTGACGGCTGACGAAGTTGAGTCCTCCTGCAGGGCTTGGGCATCTCGTACGAAGCGTGAAACCGGTTTAGGCTCGAGGGATAATAGTCCAGTGAGCTGAGTCTGTACCTGATATTGGCTCCTATGAGGTGATGCTCTGCTCAGTGCTTGTAGTATTTCCGGAGGTTCACGTGCCGGAGCAGAGAGACATGACAGAGCGTTATGTCATGTCTTCTGGAGGATGCGCTGCTCCAGTCATCAGCGCTGATTCAGCGTTCTAGCAGCGCTTATACGATCCAGTTGCCAGCGCCTGCCCAGGATTACCGTACAGGTATCGTTATTCCGCCTCCTCAACACCCACGGGGCCCTCAAATGGGCTCCGTAGCGCTCTCACTAACTATTGCAGCTAGTCATCTCATAGTGGCAGATGGCAAGATGCTCGAGGAGGGCGAGAATGCGGGGTTGCGCCATCCATGTCCTGCTTTCGGCCAGAGACCAGAAATGCAGAACCAGCAGCAATCATCAGCCGGAGCGACGTCACCCGCGTTGTCGTCAGCCACACACACACACACACACATTGGATGCTCCGACGTATTTTCGTATTGGCCTGCTACTGTTGCGTCGTGTTGGTCGTGCTTGACACGATCAACAGGAGGTGCATTCTGCTCAATGTTGTCTTGAATGGCATTGGAGGACATCGCCTAGGTTTCACATGCTTTGATCCAGCTGGCATCAGGGCTTCCTCCGGCTTCCGTCTGTCCTTGAGACCGCCCTGTCTCACAAATGCTTCATCAATGACGTCTTCCCGCCAAGTGTATCCATATGCTCTTCTCCTATCTCTCTCCTCCACCCGACTGCCGGGATTTTATGGAGCAGCTCGATTCCCTGCGAGATGCTGGCCCGAGCTCCTTGCAGCGCATCTTTGACGGCCGCTGTGGAGTCTCAACTGGATGGAACCCATCTGGTTAATGGCGGGTTTTAGAGCAGCCGAAGTCGATTGATGTGAAGCCCGTGCGAGTGCAGTCCGTACAGACAGAGCGTGGCAGGTGGTTATCTGCAGAATTACTTCATGTCTCAAAAACATTAGAAAGATGGACGAAATACCATCATATTGCGGACGACGTAGGAAAAGAGAAATAACATTCTTGACTCGTGACGCGACAAGGCATTGGCGCTCTTACAGTCTTGACAGAGCAACAAGCACTTGTCCCCGTCTAGAAAAGTGGTCGAAGCAACAAAGCAGCCCCAGGGCTCGGGAGCCGGTCCCCTGCGGGGAACTTTGCAGAGCCTCTGTTCCTTTTCCCCGTCAGCTTCCTCGGGTAGGATGCTTCTCTCTACCCGATGAGGTTATCATCTACTTCTCCTTATCTGCTATCCAGCAAATATCGTATACTGCAATCACCCTTACCTACTTGATGTGTCGGCCGTGGTTAAGCAATTGCCGGTACGCAGCAGATAGCCGTTGGCAAGCCATAGAGCCGAGAATTCCCGACTTCTCACGCCCCGTCATTGGCTCGAAACGTACATACTAGATTTCACCACTCGTCTCCGTCCATTGACGAACAGGCTGTTAGCATGGCACTTCATTTGTCAAATTGCAGGCTGTTGATTGGGTCTTCCCCTTTGGCTACCGGTACCTTATTACCATACACCAGGCGGGGCATGATGCCTCTGGGTTCGTTCCTCCGATATCCTAGCCTTATATCGGACGCCGAGCATTGCATCTCGCTTTCCGCGTCGGCATAGCAGTTAGATGCTCGTCTCATTCTGATCCACATCTCATCTCAGGGACTTGATCCAGTTCCGTACGGGCTTGGATCACAGAACGGCCCCATAAGATGTCAAATTCTTTGATGGCGCTTAGTCACAGTTGACCATGATTGATTCCCGGCTTCCTGAGTCGTTACCCGTCAAACGACAGCCAAGGATCTCGGCAATGCTCAATCCGATAACTTTCTACACCAGCTCCCAGAGGCTTGCTATCCTAATACAGTGACGGAAACCTCAAAAGGCGGCCTCCGTCAATGACAATGACCAGCCCGTTGCAGTAAGCCCCTGCCTTGGATATCAGGTACAGAATCGTCCCCGCCATGTCCTGATCGTTGCCCATCCTCTGCAAGGGTATGAACTGCGCCGGCACTCTGCCAGGAGTATCCGAGTTCTCGTTGAAGCGGCTGACGATGGGTGCGGCCATTTCGCTCGGGAACACTAAAAGATGAAAAAGGGGGCGGGCACTTTGTCAGTACATTGTGGAATTGCCGTATCCGAGGTTATCTCGTGCCGATGGCGGAAAAGGGGGGGTTGGCACATTCACTTACATCCTGGGGCAATGCAGTTGGTCCTAGATGGTAAAGAGGAACTCGTCAGTCGACATGTGCAATCACAAAGGCTTACATACTCATTGACAAAGAAAGCACAAATAGTAAGAAGAGAAAACCAGGACAAGGACGCTGATAATTACCGGATATTCCATCGCGGCAGGGCAGCCGAGAGGTGCTTGGCAACGTGTGTCGCAGCCGCCTTGGACTGGCCGTATGCCCAGCCTCCAGGAGCGGCCTTGTTGAAGCCGGCGATGGAGCTGGTGACGATGATCTGGGACGTCTGCTCCACGTTGCCCTTTTTGTTTCCCGCGTCGAGGAGCTTCAAGAAGGCAATGGCCGTGAACCAGACCGCGCTCGTGTTGACGGCAAAGGCGTTTGTGTGCTCTTCGAAGCTGATGGACCAGTTGGAGTCTGCCCACTCCTCGAGCGTTGTGTCGTCCTGGAGCTGGACGGACTGAGGGCCGCCAATGCCCGAGTTGCAGACCAGGGCGTTGAGGTAGCCGGTGTCTTGCTTGATGAAGTCGACGGCCTCCTGCAGGCTGTCTTTGGACGTCACGTCGCACTGGACTGGTATGACGTTGGGGCCGAGAGAGGCTGCAGCAGCTTCAAGCACCTCGAGCCGTCGCCCACCGATGTAGACTTTGTGAGCGCCATTCTTGGCTAAGGCTCTGGCCATCATGAGGCCGATACCTGTGGAAGGGGAGGGAGTCAATCACATAAGTATTCATTTCACAAGAACTCTTCATCCCAGTCTGATAATCGCATCATGCACTCACCGGTGCCACCACCAGTGATGAAAGCCACAAGTCCATCGACATTGAAGAGGTTGGCGGCAACAACCGCCTCGTCCACACTCGGGCCCGTCATATTGTTTAGGTACAGGAGACTTATAGAAGCGTGAGCCCCTGCTTATATGAGGTTGTATTGGTCGATCGTTCTTGGTGTGCACCTCAGACTTCGCTGTACTTTGCCTCGCTGCACGTTCCGTCTCAATGGACAATTTCCCTCCTTCACCCCTCACTCTCGGACTTGATAGCAGTCGTCATGGGCTCGATTCCCCACCATTCTCGAGGTCCGGGAACCATCCCCATGCTGCAAGTTCTCCGTTGGTATGCCACACTGTGCTATACACCACATTAGCCTTGAGTCCAGGCTCAAACACAGTGTATATCTTATAGATGCGCACCCACCGCTAGCAGCCATGCGTGCAGGGATTTTTCGAACTTCTCCGATCCCAGATCTTATCTTAGCTTCAAAAATTGCCCAGAGCAACAGTGAAAAGAAGAAGAAGAAGAAGGAAAAAACAACAACATCGTCAACAAGGTCGACATGACGAAACGAAAGCGCTCCGTCGCCGAGACAGTGCAGATCAAACTAGACAAATACCGGATAGACATCTTCAAAGCTCTGGGCTCGGCCAAGGTCCATGAGCGGAAGCGCTTCAGCATCAAGCTCCACGAGCCGGGCATCACGGTTGCGAAGAAGACGAGGCTAGAGCGCGAATATGCCGTGCTAAAGGTGCGTCGCCCTACGAGCATGCATGTTTCTTTCAAGAAGAGACTGAGTGTTTAGCTGACCTGGTAACTTTCTCAAGGCCCTTGACCTGAAGCACACGGCGCGACACCACCTGCACACGAACCTTATGCGAATCAAGGCCGTCGAAACGTCACCAGACATTCCACAGGAGCTCCGCGACCCCGTGCCCTGGCCAGCTCTTCCGCAGGAAGAAATCACTCTCCGGAACAATGTCATAAGCATTCTCTGCAATGCGGCATCCGTCAGACACGTCCTCGATCGAGCAGTTGCTGACATCTGCGAAACTCTGGGCGTGCCGGTTCCGACCAAGTCGAAGCGCGTGAGGAACAAGAGGAAAGATACAGAGGATCAGCCCGCGGATAGGGAAGTAGAGGCAGTTAATGAGGTTGATGGAGAAAGCGCAAAGGCTCCAGCCAAGTCTGGAAAGAAGAAAGAGGCTGCGAAGGTGGATGCGAAGGAGGATGCCAAGGAGGAAGATGCTGAGGAATCCGATTTCGAAGGCTTTGGTTCTGATTCTAATGGTGACGGAGACGCTGATGAGCCTCGGCCGACGATTGAGGAGCTTGACGATTCAGACCAGGAATCTGAAATATCAAAGTTTGCTAATTTACTGGGCGGCTCCTCTGACGAAGACTCGGACGAGTTTGACGAGGAATTACTGGCAAAATATAGAGGAACAGAAAAGGTCAATCTCGACGACATATCGGTCTCTGGATCAGGGTCCGAAGACGAAGACGACGACAATGAAGGCGACGATGAGGAGGAAGAACCAGAATCTATAACCGGCTCACGGTCACCGTCGCCGATACCGAGAAAGAAACTAAAGACAGCGACCGACGACGACACTGAAAAGACAACGGCCACGAAAAAGACGAGCAAGGAGGAGAAGGAGAAGGAGAAGAAGAAGCGGGCAGCCAAGGCTGCGCTAAAGGCAGCTCGGCCGGGCGATTCCACATTTCTGCCCACCCTCATGGGAGGCTACATATCGGGGTCCGAGTCCGCGTCCGACATCGAGGCCCCGCGCAAGAAGCGCCGCGGCCAGCGGGCTCGCCAGGCCATCTGGGAGAAGAAGTACGGCGCAAACGCAAGGCACCTTCAGAAGCAGGCTGCAAAGGGCGGCCGAGACGCCGGCTGGGACATGAAGCGCGGAGCCGTGGGCCCAGAGGACCAGGGCCGCGGGAAGTGGAGGAAGGGCGGCCGCGGCTTGCCTGGGCGGCCCGCGGGGGGTGCTGCTGGTGGTGCCAGAGGCTATTCACAGGGCCGAGGAAATGATCGTGAACAGGGCAGAGCTGCGCCTGCGCCTAGGCCGCCGACGAAGAAGGATAATGAAGGGCCGCTGCATCCTAGTTGGGAGGCGAGGAAGAAGGCGAAGGAGGCGCAGAAGAATGTTGCATTTGCTGGCCAGAAAGTTGTGTTTGACTAGCGTTATAAAGCTGTACTGGATATCTAGTAGTCTAATATGGATATCTCTTGGATCGCTTGTTGATACCAAGAAAGCAATCCTCTCCAATTAGTATCAGAACTGATGCAGTTGATTATCGATTGCAAACAGGCGGGCCAGCCATCCTCGTTATACGTGTATGAGGGCTGCAATGAGGCTGAAAGTCATGATCACGACAATGATCATCTATCTCAGGTGATTGTTCCACTCAGAATAGAGACTAGTATCTGACTTGCATCGAGAAGACTAATCAATAAACTACAATCACCGTGATGCAGTGCGCATGGCCAGGCAGCAATAGCGGAGCTGAGCCACAACTGATTTTCCTTGTCAGAATATGAAGCAAAACATCATCGTCAAGGACAAACGCCCATCAAGCATCGGTTTCTTCTTTCTTTTCTTTGCTTTTCACCAAATCATCTGTATCAGCTTCTGATTGAGAATTCGAATTCCAAGCTATGGGGGGCCTCTTCTCTTTCCGCAGCGGTCAAGTCCACGAAGACTTCCCCAAGACCCCTCGCTCCACAAGGAAGCCTGCCCAAGACGTCTTCTCATACGACTTCTCCTCCGTCAAAGAGTCCATTCTGGACGACAATTCCCGCACATCGCTATGCCAGCACTGCGGCGTCCTTCGGCTCAAAGACCTAAAGCTGGTACAGCAAGACACCTCCCGAGGCAAGGAGCCGCCCGAGCTAAGAGCAGACGTCCCGGCCTTTGAAGAAGACCTCGTCTATCATCGAAAAGACGTTGTTCCTCACCTCCCTCATATGGCCGAATCAGCGGGCTCTAGATGCGGATTTTGTGTTCTGCTGAGGAATGCTGTGATATGGCATTTCAGGAGACACCCTTTGAGGCGTCTCCCTGGGGATATGATTGAGATTGTAAGAGTTCGGCATTACTGGAATAGCGGGCTTGCGGCGTTCACGGTGCATAGCCCAGCGTTTGTGAGGCCTGGGCATAGGTTTGATTATCTTACGTTTAGGGTCAGTGCCAAGCCGACGGGTATGAAAGCCATTGTATACATGAATAAGTGACTGTGTCTGTGGGGTGCTAACATGAGACGGGTTCCTGCTTAGATCCGTGTGCTTTCGTGTTTGATATCGAGTCGGAGCCTGTTCCGGAAAGTGTCATTTCTCCGGCCGGCATCTTTACGTTGAAGCAGTGGGTTTTTGGCAAAGGAGAGGAAAAGAAGGCTGCTCTACAGACGGCTTATCGGCCGACCAGACTCATTCACGTCGAAAGTCGAAAGGAAGCCAGCTTGCTTCGGCTTGTGGACAGCAGTCAAGCCGACATGGATGGAAAGCCTCCGCCATATCTGGCGTTGAGCTATTGCTGGGGAACAAAAGCCCCCTCTCTCATCACGACCAAGAGTAATTACGCCCACCTGAAGTCGTCCATCTCGTACGGTTCCCTGCCGAAGGCATATCAGGATACCGTTCGCATTGCGCAGGTTTTGGGCATAAAGTACGTCTGGATCGACGCGCTCTGCATCATCCAAGATGATGTGGAGGACTGGGAGAAGGAGTCTCAAATGATGGCGGAGATCTTTCGAAACTCTCTCGTCACCGTCATACCGCTCCGTGCAGCATCAACAGACGACGGGTTCCTTGGGCGAAACCCAAACATCAAGGTCTCTTACCATTCCGACGAGTGGAACGTCTGCGGTTCATTCTTCGTTCGCCATATGCCCTTTGCATACTTGGATGCCGAGTCTGCGATGCGCAATGCGCCCAGCTTCTCAGATCGGCCGATTTCTCTCGAGCTTCGGCATTCAGCTTGGCAGAGTCGTGGATGGACGTTTCAAGAAGACATGTTTGCTGTAAGAAAGCTGTACTTTGGGCAGCTCATGATGTACTGGGACTCTCTGATGCCCGTAGACATCATGAGAACGGAGGACACCATCATCGATGACAAGCTGGACCGTATTGACACCGCTGAGCTGTCCCTTATTCATTCGTCTGGGCCATGGCGAGGTGACTATGATTACGACGGCTGGTACTATCCGATTCTTCAGTACAGCAAAAAGAAGCTCACTTACGAAACCGACCGGTTGCCCGCTCTGTCTTCGTATGCAAAGCTCATCGCCAGCAAGAGCGGGGATACATATCTGGCCGGTCTGTGGAAGAACAATCTCCATCGCGGCCTGTTTTGGAAGCTGCAGAGGAGGGATCGTACGACTTTCGACACGTTGATGCAGAGACTGGCGCGTCCGTCCGAGTACATCGCGCCGTCCTGGTCCTGGGCGAGTCGTCGTGGAGCTCTAGACCTGGATAATTCTGACGAGATGAAGCTCGAGTGCGATATCCTCAAGGCCAAAACAAGCTCCTATGGAAGAGAACAATATGGCCGTGTCCGTGGCGGCTATCTTCTGGTCCGTGGAAAGGCCTGCGGTATTCCTGGGGGAAAGCTCCAGAAGCTGCCGCTCGGAACGCCTTACCTTGACATGCAATGCGAGTGGCTGGCTCTGGAGGACGAGCAGTATGTCGCGCAATGCGCGCTCGACTGGAGGTTGACCAACGACCAAGGCAAGCAGCTGTCGGAGGCCAGCGGACAATCCATCGAAGCGATTGTGATGCTCCTCGTGTCGAGCGGAAATACGACAACCCCAAGCGCCGTCTCCAGAAAACCTCAGGAGTGGGAGGACAATCCAGATGCCCCGCCGCTTGAGGTGCTGCACGGGCTGCTGCTGTATCCGACGGGGAAGGCGGATGACGAGTATTGGCGGGTGGGATTGTTCCATTCGCTGGCGGACGAGAAGGGTGGGAGGGCTTACTTTGAGCAGTGTGACGAGAGGACGCTGCGGATTGTGTAGCCCATGCTCGTTTATTTACTGTTGAACAAGGTGCTGAATCTTGCATGCTGAGATCCGACTAAAGCGTGCATGCATGAGCGCCATTCGAGCCTCAGTTCCGGAAACTTGGGTGCCATTGGCACGATAATTCGCAGAGTCGCCTTGTCAACTGCCCTTGTCTTGGACTGCAGGGAGTTTCGTGCATATGCAGTCCGTCACATGGGTGACAACACGGTGTTTGATGCATTCTCGGCACTCGCGTGCTGTTTGTGGCCAGCAAAGACATTCCAGAGACATTCCACGCTTCCATCCTCCTCGGAATGGAGACGATGAATCAGGCTTTTTGACGATGGTGTTTGCTTGGCTCTCTGTCCGTGCTTCGCCCTTTGTCCAGATTCTGGGAAGGGTCATGCGCACGTGCGGGCAGTGAGGTCATCGTCGCTAGTGCCCGCCAAGGCAACTCCCATCCATCCCCCAACGAATTGAAACGGCATCTCGATCCAGAACGGTGATGGCCTCAAACCAGGCTTGATCTAGCATTGTCTAGAACTGCCCCGATCCTCACCTACATGTACGAGGACTAAACCCTCCGGCAGCGGGAGTGGTGGCAAGCGTCATACTAGGCTGCGACTTCCTGTTATTGACAACCTGTGAGGGTCAGCGGGCAACTGCGCAGCGGGCGGCTTGGCTCCTGCCTCACCCTCACGGTGCGATCTCCTCCTCCTTCTTCAGCAACCATCTGCGGTTCATGACCCTCCAGAGGCTCATCTTCGCCTTCGATTCGCTCATTATTCCCTAACTGATATCATCCTCCCTGCTGCATCCCGTGTCTGTAGTATTTTGTTCTCCTCCTTTCACAATCAAGCCTCGATCTACTGTCCGATCCGCGTCACAAAGAGCCTCAGCAGCCCCCCTCTGCAGTGGTCCGCCCACGCTAATTGTCATTCGCTGACACCAACAGATCGGCTCGACGACAACCCTCAAAGACCCCTGTCAAAACAAGCTTCACCTCTCAAAGATGGCGTCCGCGATGGAAGACGTCATGCGCCATTCATTCGCCGATCTGCTCGAGCGGGAGGGTCACGAGCCGGGGTCCTCTCCAATCGCCGTCTCCTTCGGCTACCCCAGCTTTGCGGGCCCTCACAATCGCAGTCATTAGAGCGCATGCGATGATGAGGCTGCGGCCGGTCCCTCCAGACATGATATTATTAGTAGTATAACGCCTCTAAAGGGTCAACCCTGCGAGATCAATCCATCCCCCAGCATTGTGGGAGCCACGACACACTCCTCCTCGATACCCCTACAGCCTCATATTGACAGATTCCAATCCGGTACTGCTTCCATCACCATGGAGAAGCTCATGTCTGATCCAAGCGCTGGCTCCAAGGCGGCTAGCTACCCCAGCCTTGGTCGAATCTCCAAATCGGCCGGCAACGAGTCCATTGAAAAACGATCAATGTCTGTGCAAGAGACGGGTCATCATCCCCTGTCTTTTCAACAACCGTCCAAGATGTCCCGTCGCCGAGCCACGAGCCAGATTGCCTCCCCTGTGGTTGATTTTGAAGTGGCTATTGCAGAGAAGCCACGCAAGGCCACCCAGACCCATCAACCAGAGGACGAGCCCAAGTCATATTACATTATCAACCCCAAAATCCCCGGTTCGGCTTGGTTTATCACCAAGGGAAAGAGGAATTCCAGCAAATTCGAATATCAAGTTGAAAGAGTTCCAACTCATCTTGTCTATGTCCAGCAGAATCGCATAGGGTACCTGGTAGAGACAGCAATTCGTGACGATGTGACCGGGGCCGTTGCAGATCAATCCGTGTCCTGGACCCCTAAACTCCAGAGTGATTCTTCCACCCTCACATCTTCTTCCACAGAGCAAGCCGACAATGCCACAGGATCGCAGCCCGGTAAAAGGGTGAATCGGTTCGAGCGAGATGATTCCGAGGGTCAAGTCCACACGCAGCCACACGATGAGTCGAATATCATTCTTGAGCACAGAGACATTCCACTCATCACGAAGAGCATTATTCGCCAGTTGCGCATAGCTGGCTTCAAACAACACCACCCTAGCATGGAGGGGGATGAAGCTGTATTGCCAGAAGACGACGAAGAGCTCGAGAACACCATTAAGGCTAGTCTAATGGGGTTTAGGAGTCCAGTACAACGCAGCAATACACAGGAGACATTAGTGGAAGAGGCCTCTCCTCAAAGCAGACTGCCGGCCCAGTCTGCATGGGAGAACGCAAATCGACACATGAAGCCGCGACCATCCACAGTCGCAGGCCCAGCTATTACGTTGAGCACACCCCAGACGGCATTCACCGTCGCCGATTCAAGTCGCAAGCACAGTCGACAGCGAGAGGCATCATCGATGACAAGATTGGTCTCGCCGCACAGCGTCACCGCAAAAGCCTGGACGAAGCATGACGGTCATTCTGGAGAACCATCCGAGATCTCAGCTTCCGCCGACAATTCGCCAGATAAGCACTCGGCAGAAAAGCGCCAATCTCGGTCTTCTAACGACCATAGCCAGGATCAGGAGCTGCAGACATCGCAGGCCTCTCTCGGTTCTTCTAACGTCGCGTCGACTATCACGTCGTTTCCGAAACTTCTTTCCCGGCATTGTACTCGCGAATGGATCAAGCCCATCGCCAACCTGGAAGATACCTCGACAAGTTCATCCCACCAGGTGATGAATACGCAGACTGAAGATCTTTCACACCACCACCGGGCGCATTTCGATGAAGATCCGGTGTCAATGAGCTGGGATAACGATACTCTTCATTCTTCCAACGCCTCAGGCTACTTCGCGAATGAAGCTCCGAGTGCCAGACGCTCAACGGTATCCCAGCCTTCGATGAAGAACTTGAAGCATTTTGGTACTCATCTCGGTTCGGCGGCGCATCGACGTCGAAGTTGCCCGGCCGAGGATTCCAAGGCCGCCCCTTCGCAGGACCACTTCTTCCCCAACATCCTGGGCAAATTCTTCGCCGGCCGAAGTCGAGAAGCTCCTGGAAGTCCCGATTCAGGGGAAACACCCAATTCTGGCGCTCTAGAGCCTTTCAACTCGCCGGCTCATGAACATTTGCCAGTGACCACTCCTAGATCAGGGTATGGATCGCCTCCGAAACGCACCTCTACTGTGTCTTCGGAGGATAGAGCCAGGATACACGAGGCCCTCGTTGCGGGGAGCGGCGCGGCGGTGGACAGGCGTCGCCGAGATACGTGTTCGGAGGACTACAGGCCTCATGTGTGCGCGGATGACTTGGATAATTGAGTGATGGAGGACTAGATTGTGAAAATACCTGGACACGAGCAGCCTTTTACCTATGTAATATCATGTATGTAATCTTAATGTGTTATTTCATTCGAAGACTGTGCTCCTAGATCTGAGAAATGCTTCACGCCATGTATTATTATCTTGAGCCGTCCATGAACCCACCAGGCCTTTCGCGTCTCATTCTAAAACCGCCAGGCATGCATGCAGGTATTGAAAACCAACAAACCCAGCGAGATAATATTCACTTTTTGATCACACGCTTCGTTGCTAAAGAGAAGAATAACAATCCATGTACAAAAGGGATATACATTCATCCAATGGCTTGTTACACTCCGTATCAAAGCTCCCCCTGCATATGCCTTTATTCGCGCCTCATACCGCCTTGGACGCCCGCGCCTTATTCTCCCGATGCCTCCTCTCCTTGGCCGCCGTCTTCCTGCGCGTCATCCACGAGCGGTTCAGATCCCGGCGGTTCTCCCAGAACCACTTTTGGAAGTCCGTCGTCGCGGAATGTCGTCCCTGCGCGGGGCCGTCATCGTCACCGTCTTCTCCTCCTTCACCCTCTTCTTCTTCTTCCTCTTCGGGGTAGTGGTAGTCTTCTCGCAAGGCATTGGTCACGTCGTCCTCCATCTCAACGTCGTCCTCCTTGTCAGGCGAAGCCCAAAAGCGATGTGCGCGCGAGGGATGAGCGGTATCCGGCGTCGGGGCGGCACTACGGACGTTGCGCCACTCAAAGTCCTGCCGGGTGAAGGGCGTCATGGGCGCAAGGCTGGCGGGGGGCGCTGTGGCTTCGGGAGTCTCGTCGATGTCGTCTTCATCGGCTGCGGCGAAGAAGCTGAACGGCTCTGCCTCCTTTGGGGCAGACGTGGGGTTGTTGCCGTCGGGCTTGGGGCGCTTGTAGAGGGCCTCCAGGGGGTGTACCTTGCTGCCGTTTGTCGGGGTTTCGGGGGGAGGGATCTTGATGGCGAGGGGTTTGGTGTTTGTGGGGGTGGATTTGGAGGCGGGTGTTTTGGAGGAAGGTGTTGGTGTTGCTGCTTTTGTCGCCTTTGAAGACTGGTCTTCGCGCTTCGCATCTTCGTCCTCTTCGTCGTCTGACTCGTCGCTATCGCTTGTGTTGTCGCTTGAGGTATCGCTGTCTTCCTCCTTCTCGTCTTCGACCTTGGCTTTGGTCACAACCAGCGAGGGAATCTGTGCCGCCTCCTTCTTCGTTTCTTTCTTTGCTTCTTGTTTAGCATCGGCCTCGGACTCCGCCTCAGACTCCTCTTCGTCTTCAGATGAAGTGCCTTCTGATGAAGTCCCGCTACTGCTGGTGCTGTCATCATCGTCCGACTCCTCAGGCACCTTCTTCGGCGGAGGAGCTTTCTTCGGCCGCCGCGGGAGCTTCGTCTTTTCCTTCTTCTCTTTTACTTCCTCCACGAGATTGCCCTCCTCATCCACCCAACCCTTGCCCTCGACAAACTCAGCCGCCTTCTTTTGATCCGTTGTCGTAGACGTCTTGAGAAAGCTCGGGAATGTCGTAGTCTTTTCGAACTCGTGGATGACGACCTGTCGCGAGCTGCTGCCCTTTTTCTTGCTGCTCCTCTTCTTCTGCTCCAGCTCTTCTGGCGTCAGGTTCTTCGTCGTATTCGGCGGCAGCTTCGTCTTGAGCAAGCACTCCTCCCCTTCTGTGTACTTGGACTTTGGTCGCTTCTTCTTCTCCTTCTCCTTCTCCTTCCCCTTGTCTTTGTCCTTGCTCTCCTTGTTCTTCCTGTCCTTCCTCTTGTTCGCCGTCGGCGCCTCGGTCCATCCTCGCTTCACCTGGCGATCGTGCAGCGCCACGCCCTCCAAGACGTCCGGCTCCCGCTTCCGCTTCTTGGACTTGTCCTTGTCATCCTTCAACTTCTTCTTCTTCGCCTCGAGAGCCCCGTCTTCCGGCCCGGTGGGCTCGAGCCGCGTCTCCGGGCGGGCCTTTTCGACGCGCATCTTGCAGCCCTTGAGCGTCGTCCCGTTGAGCTTCCTCCGCAGCTTCTCCGCGTCCGCCGCCGGCAGGTCGACGAAGCCGTACCGCCGCTCGGGAAAGGTCTCGAGGGTGTGGTACGAGATGTTGCGCGCCGATGGCAGCACCGAGGCGGGGATCACGACCTTGACCAGCTCGGCATCAAGCGGCGAGATGTGAAGGCGGACAAAGTCGCTGGCGTCGTCGTCGCCCATTGGGAAACAAAACCGAGGGGAACAGATGGGACGCGGAAAGACGGGATCTCACGTTCTTTTTCATGCACCGCCTCCTGGAAGACACAGGTTCGTACAAACGCGCAACAAAAGTTGAGATTTTTCCGTCGATTTGGTGCAACGCAGTTAAGCGCCCAGGCTCATGGGAGAGGAAAGGGAAAAACTCTCCTGCAAAAAGGCGATAAGGAGCTTTTGGAAATTTTAGCGGGTCCAGGAACGAGAACGCGGAGTAGCGGCGCTGGTTGTTCCGTTAGGCGTTGGCTGTAGGATACAAGAATGGATTGAGATCTACTACTACCCTGAAGCTGACGGGAAATCTTGACCGCAATTCACTGGGATCTCGGAGGAAGATGGATGGCGGGAGTTTCAATCAACTTTGTGTTTTAGTTGTGAGATGTAAGAACAGGCGCCTGGGAGAACAGGAGGGCTGCTGCTTATGCTGCTCCCTGGTTGCCTCTTCATCACAAACGACAGGATGAAGCACCATACTTCACACGTTGGAATCTTCACCCACGATATTGTAAGACAGGCAGGATGAGCTGAACAGACTCGTTCCTTAAAGTCAAGACCCGAAGAATCCTGATATTCATTGCAATTAAAAGTGTACTTCATTGTTTGAGCCATATAAGACGACGCCACTCGATAATCTTACAAGAATTACAACCCGTCCCTCTCTGTGTATTGTCGAAAAATCTACCCTCTACTCTATAGACATGATATCCGATAATCTTACACATTGGGAGATAGGAGATCGTATTTGACACATCGTTCCACCTAAACAAAGATTTGTTAGCACGACCGTGAAACTCACCATCAGAGGAATGTCGAAGAAATGCAGCAAGATTGTAAAGGAGAAACTCACATCATCAACGCTAGCCTGCAAAAACTTCCTCGTCTCCAAACCCATCCACAGCATAATCATCGAAAAGTCGCCGTGCTTGGCCATTTCCGCGCCGCTCTGAGCGCTCAGCTGTCTCAGAATGGGCAGCGAGGTGCTCAGCAGGTCCACATCAGGGTTCAGACTCCGCCCGATGCCTTCCAGGAGCAGAATGCTGATCACCACGTTGACAAAGTCGCCCTCCAGGCGGACGTGATGGTTGCGCACCATGGAGAGCACCTGCTGCAAGATGTCACCGATCTTGACGTTTCCGAGAGCGAGGGTGCGGCTCTTGACGCTGAGGACGAGGTGCTGCATCTTGAGGGCGAATATCTCCTTGTCGATGACGGCCTCGGGCTGGCGGCATCGCTCACACATGAGATGGCCGGCTTTGTAACCGTCAAACTCGGCCACGGCTCGGAACAAGGCCAAGAAGTTGTCGCGATTGACTGCGTTCAGCTCCGTCACGAGACCCGTGTCTATGAAGATGAGCTGCGGACGATACCCCTCCGCATCGAGCTTGGCCAGCTCGGCCTCCCATGCTGCTTTATCCTTGCGGTGTCGATGTGGGCGTAGCCGTTCCAGAACCTGCTCTGTGACGTCGAGGTGGCGGTCATTGCTGTCTGAGGTGGACGGTTTGTCGGAAGACCGGCGCAGTCGAAGATTTGGATGTGCAGATTGGTAGAAGCGGACCATGATGTTACCCGGGTGCAAGTCGGCGTGGACAAAGTTGTCTAGCAGCAGCATCCGCAAAAAGGCATCTAGTCCCTCATCAGCAATGTCATGCTGGAAGACGCCGCCTCCGTTTTCCATAAAGTCTGCCAGAGGGATGCCCTGTGCAAATTCCTCGATGAGGACGTTGCGGGTAGTAAACTCGTGATAGGGGAAGGGGAATGAGGCTGTCGTCCTGTCTTTGAAATTCTTTCTAAACATCTCCAGGTTGGCGGCCTCTATGCGTAGATCTAGCTGGAGCTTCATCATCTCCCCAAACTGGGCAACCTCATCCGGCAGGGATAGCCACTCAATCGTGGGGATAGCGTTGAGTAGGGTAGCGAAGAAGCCCATGATTCTCAGATCCCGCCGCACGATGCGCTCGACGTTGGGATGCAGTACCTTGACGGCGACATATGTCGATGGGACTTGGTTGGGAGAGCTCTTCAGAACAGTAATCACGCGTTGCTTCACATTCTGAGTAAGAGGTCGTGGCTCCTTGGAAATGACGTCCTGCTCCTGTGGCAAGGCGAGATCGGGCTTGAGCTTTGCTTTGTAGACCTGGGCGATTGCGCCAACTCCAAGGGGTGTCTCGTGGAACTCGTCAAAAATGTCATCGAAAGAACGTCCATTGAACGCAGCCTCGACCGTCTTCCTGGTAACGCGCATGGAGTGGGCCGGCGCATTCGAATGCAGCTTGGACATGGCGTCGCACATGGCCGTAGGGAAGATGTCGGTCCTCGACGCCGCCCACTGGCCGAGCTTGATGAAGGCAGGGCCCGCCAGCTCCATGGACTTGACGAGAAAGCCATACCACCAGAGAGTGCCGCTCCTCTCGCCGTCCTTGTCGGGATGCCGCCGCCCAAGCCAGATGGCAGGGACCGAGAGAATGACCGGCACGAAGATGACGACGAGGTGTAGGAACCGTGTGCCGGTGCAGATGGGCTCCCAGACGTAGAGATCCCAGAAGAGCAGGACCTGGTGCACAAGCCGGGAGACGCCTCGCTCGTCATCGCGGACAGTTTTCCGAATCTCCTCGCGCGAAGCCTCCAACATGCGATGCTCGCCCGTCTTGTCGCTCTCGCCATTGTTCTCCTGGGAGAGCTGGATGAAAGCCCCCGCGCCCAGAGCGGCGGCGCCGGCCGAAGAGCACAGCGCTACCCTGGCCCTCGGCCGTTCTCCGCCTCTCCATGCCGTCTGTCTCGCAGTGTGAATCCAGCCGTGCAGTCTCGTCTGCCGCAGCGCTGGATGTGGTCGAAATAGAGCGCGCCCACAGAGCCGGCCCAAGACGAAGCCGGTCCTCATGTCGGCGGACAGTCTCGCGTGCTCAATTCGGGGCCGGTACGAGCCGAGATCATAGTAGAAGCCTCATCAGACAAACAATGAGAGGGAAATAAAAGAGAAGGACGAGAGCCTCATCTGAAGTCATCGGAGATTCACAAGCTGCTCCACGGAAACCCGAAACCCCTGCAAGTTGCCGGGACCGATCGGTGACGTAGTGGAGTGGTCACGGCGATAGCCCGGGTAAACACGTGAAGGAAAAAAAAGTTGCGAGTTCGGATTTGGCTGTGGCTGGAAGTGATGCGATATTGGCGTTTGGGCTTGGATTTTTCTCGCCTCAAATCCGACTTTCCCCTCCATCGACTTCGTATATCCTTGACGCAGATCCTACCAGTCGCTTGCGAACCGCGACGCGCAATCTATAGTCTTTGCAAGTAGCTGATCTATCTATATACCCTTATTACTGAATATCGCAATGGGCTGGTTCTGGGCCGAGCCGCCGCCTGAGGCCGGCATTCCGCAAGGACACCCTGCCGTGCCTTTGAACAAAGAGCCTCCGGTATGAACGAACTCTCAAGCCTCAGCCTTGGGCAAAGCTGGATAGAAGCTTACAAGCAGCAGCCCGGATGCCCGATGCACCAAAAGGCCGCCGATGCCTTCAACCCACACAAAGCCAAACCCGTCCAGCCCGTCGAGAAGCCGTCGTCCTCCGGCTGCCCGGTCCCCCACGGCTCGTCGTCGCCTCTGCCGCCGTCTTCCTGTCCCGTGCCCCATGGCTCCCGTAACCAGCAGCAGGAGGAGCCCAAGTCGCTACTCTCTCAGCTCAACCCCCTCAATTACATGTTCCCGGACCTGTCACAGAAGCCAGCGCCTAAGCAAACAATGGCGCTGCCGACGGAGCGCGAAGAGTCCTCCATCCCCAAGGGCTCCGGCGACGGCACATGGGAGTATCCGTCCCCCCAGCAGATGTACAACGCCCTGCTGCGAAAGGGCTACACCGACACGGACATCACGGCGGTGGAGTCTATGGTCTCTGTGCACAACTTCCTGAACGAGGGCGCGTGGCAAGAGATTGTCGACTGGGAGAAGCGGTTTGCGCGCGGCCTGTACAGGGGCTGGCAGGTCTGCAAGCGGGGAGAGGCGCACGCGGAGGAGGAGCTGGATCGGCACTGGGATGGGGTCGAGGTCAACCCGACGCTCATTCGCTTCCAGGGCCGGCCCAAGGACCTCACGCCCAAGGCGACGATGCTGCAGGTCCTGGGCTGGATCTACCCCGAGAAATTCGGGTAAGGAGGAAACTTTCCCACACATGATGACAAGGGAAAAAAGATTAGACTGGCTAACGTGATTGTCTTGTTCAGAACGGACCTCCCCTTTGATCGTCACGACTGGTACGTCTCCCGCGACGTCAACGGCGAGAAGAAGGAGATCCGCTACGTCATCGACTACTACTCCGGCGAGCCGGAGCCGACCGGGGAGCCCGTCTTCTACCTCGACGTCCGGCCCGCGGCCACGCCCCTGGGCGCTGCCGAGCGCATCATCCGCTGGAGCACCGACGTGTGGTGGAAGGCGATAGGCGGCGACCAGCGGGAGCAGAACCCGCAGCCATTCTTCCGCCACAACGCCGTCAAGCCTTGGGGTTGAGGAATGATCAAGTCTTTTGACGATGAGGATGAAAAGGAGGAGGATGAGTGATGAGTGATGAGGATGGCTTGTGGCCCCTTTGCTGCTGCGGTGGGCTTTCGCAATTCGGTTCGACAATCTCCCTACATAACTCTTAATGACCCATGCTTGTATCTCTTGTATATTATCATGAATGGAACAGGCGTTGTTGTATCATAATAGATCTCCTTACTTACATCATATGTTGCTTCGTATAAGGCCATCGCGTCCATTTGGTTCTTGTTGCATTGCACAATCCAAGAATCTACCAATTGAGATATTAAAAGTTATATGTATTGACCGTAGCCTGAACTATCCTTCCGCTAAAGACGAGCCATGATTCCCTTTCCCTCGTCCCCCCTCAATCCGCTGTATCCACGCTGTAGAATGGTGTCGTGACAGCCTACCTACCTACCTTATGGACATTGGTGTGTTTCTACATTATTTCCTACAAACGCCCGGCAAGCAGCGGGGAATGACTGTTCCCGTAAAACCAGCCCCTTGATGATGAGAGAAAAAGACGTGAAAAAAAGGAGCAAAAAGAAGAAAAAGGGTATCAAGTACCCGTCGCTGTCAATGAGAAAGTCTCTCATAAGACTCTCATAAGACCCTTGAGGTCATATACACTGGTAGTTGCTGGCGAGCCAGCTCGTCCCTTGACCTGGACTGATCCCCTTATTGCTGTGGTCGATGATATAGACGTGCTGCACTATTCTTGTGCCTCCTTATAGGTAGCTGCCGCTTGCTTCAGTCTGTACTGGCACTCAGGTCCATCGGTTTCTCCCAGAGGTTTCGTAAGAGTGCACCAATGCCATCCTCTTCCTCGCCTCCTACGAGACTAGAGCCACTGAGTCTCTCACTCAAGCGGTTCATGTCGTCTCCTTCATAGGCGGAATCTCCGTCGTTGGTCTTCACCGAGCCCCCGAGCCTGGCGGGGAGTAACTGGCGTCCCTCCGGCATGCTCACGTTTCGAATGTGGCGGATCGCGAGATCTGTTGCTGATCTCTTGCTGGCCGTCGTAGAGCCGGTGTTGGCGCGAGGAATCCTCTTGGTCTTGTCCAGGCCAGGCAGCTGGCTTAGGCGATTCAGCGATCGCACAATTGGGTTCTGGTGGCGCCGGACGACCAAGTATTCCATGCCTGTTCGCTCCAGGAGCTTGCCAACACGCGGATCCCGGCTGTTGCCCCCATCGTGTCCCGGATCTCCGATGCCAATCAGAGGCCCGGCTCCTACGACTCCGCCAACGCCAGGCACTGCCTGCCCGGGCTCGAGCGATGAGCTGGCCCGCTGCAGGTTGAGCTTCTGCTGTGTGCGTGAGGTGTTTGCCGGAGGTGCAGCCGTCCTCTTGGCGGCCTTGGGCACCAGCGCACTATCTTCACTCTCTATCGGGAGAGCGCTTTCACTGGGATATTCGTGAGACCGTGAGAGCATGGTCGTCCCTTGTGGCCGCGGCGGGAGGCCCTCGGATTTGTGGGAGCCTCCTCCGCGAATGGGGTTGTAGAATGAGCCCTCGCTGGTGAGGCCTGAGCTAGGGACCTCGACGAAGCGCGAAACCAGCCCGTCGTCATGGCTGCCCGCCGACGGAGAGGGCTCATGAGCGGTCGGATGGAGGGTCGCGTGGTGGTCGGGCGACAGGTACTTCGGGGCGGCCTTGGCCTTGGCCATGGCGATGTCGGTGGACATTTGGGGCGGAGCGCCGTGGGACGAGGTCCTCTGCAGCAGTCGCGTCGTCGGCATGTCCTTTCGCTCCGGTTCTTTGCGAGGGGGCGACGAGGACGACTCGGGCGGCGCGGCCAACGCGCTGGGCGTCTGCGGACGGGAGTTTGCCGTGGTGCTGCCGGGCGGGTAGGACGAGTGCGTGCTGCTGTTGAGCGAGCCCTTGCGCGACAGATAGGGTGAGTTGGAGCCGCTGGCGTCAACCCATTCGTCTTCCGCGTCGTCCGAGCCGAGATCGAAATGGACCTGCGACCTGGCGGGCTTGTCGACCTTGTCGGGCTTGTGGATGCCGGTGCCGCTGGAGCTGCGTTTCAGCTTGTCGGCGGACTTGGGGCGCTTGCTGATCTCGACATGCGACCGGTTGCGCTTCAGGGTGCTCTCCAACGGGCTCTTGGAGATGGTGGCGTCCGGGTCGTGGTGCGGCAATTTGGCGTCGCTTGTGACGCGGCGGTGCGGCACCGGGCGCAGGGCGAGCTGGGCTTCGAGGTCGGTGGGCGAGCCCTGCCTGCGGTGCAGGTTGACGCGCGACGAGCTGTGGTTGTGCTTGTGCAGGCCCTTGCTGGCGGAGGGCACTCGACCGTGCAGGCGGCCGACGTGGTGCTGCTTCTGGTGCTTGGGGCGAGCAGCAGAGGCGTGGCCCGATGAGGTGACAGTGTTGGCCTCGCTGTGGTCGCTGGCATGGTGGTTGAGGGGAGGGCGCTTTGATTGGCCGGCCGGCGCAGCTGCAGCTGCAGATGCAGATGCGCTGTCTTGGTCGCTGTCCGAGGCCATTGCGACTTGGTCTGCGTCAAGGTATGGAACTCTGCGTCAAGTCGGCGTCTGGCTCGGGCGCCTGACCTTGCTGCCCGTGAGGCTGCCGCAGACGGGCCTCGTCTCGTGTCGACGGCTCCCGACACGCCGCCGTCGCCTCGATGCTGGTGCCGGCGATGGCCTGGCCGTGACTTGCAACAGCCCTGGACCCGACGGGATCCTGGTGGAGGGTGTGAGACACGTGTGAATGGCTGTGGTGGCAGCAGAGGGTGGTCGATGTTCGGCTCAAAGCGACGCGATGCGACAGGCGGCTTTCCGAGCGGTCCAGGGGGGTGGCAATTGACGGGCAGCGCCTGTGCTGTGCCCGGAGCTGTCTGGTACTTCCAAGTTGGCTTGTAAGAAGGATAAGGTAGGAGGAGCAAGGCGCTGCTGCTCTGGTCTGGTACCTCTGCCGTGCTCGTACTATATGTACAGGCTGTGCCGTGGCAGCTCGGGGAGATGAAAAGCTGGGCGGCCGGCCGTAAGCGGCGAATTGGCGGCGGCAGGCGAGGGATTGCCGGGTGCACAGGATGCTGGCGATGCTGAGAGATGGAGGAGGAGGGCAGGTCGGAGAGAAGCAGATGGAAAGACGGTGACTGGGCTGGTCTTAAACACGGAGGGAAAAAAAGTGCGATCAGAGGCCATGCGTTTGCTGCTCGCGGCAGGTGGAGGGTTGAACAGGCCGGAGTGGACTTGGACGGCACATGTACAAGTAGGTAATTGTCATGCCCTAAGAAGGGAATAGTCGCCGTTCCCGAAGACAGACCGCTGGACTGGGCCGAGAAAGAACTTGGATCGAGGGAGACGGACAGCAAAGAAGAGGGCCGGAGGGTCCAACGAGGATGGTGGGTGGCCGAGGCTGCGCAGTGGTTGCGGCTCTGGCTTTGCTTTACTGTAGAGGCAAACCGAGCTTGTCACAGTCCGTCAGTCCGTCACTCGTAAGTCAACCATTGATCTGGCTGCCTTTTTTTGATTTGTTTGCTACTGGCCCGTCATCAAGAAAATACGAAGCGCCGCTCTCTTGCATCGCCAGAGTTGCCGTGACGGACGGACAGCACAAGCGTGCACAGAAGGGCGCAGAAGCTTCGAGTCTGCATTGCGATAAACGAGCCTTCACAAACTCTGTTCCCTTCATCTTTCTCACCCTCTCCGTTCCCAGCCAGCCACCAGACGGCTCATTCGTCCGCTGCTGTTCGGTGCGGCCAAGCTGGAATGCGACCCAGAGACAGTGTCTTGGCTCTAATCACCCAGCTTGCTCAATCGGCATAATTTGCGTCATACTTCCCGCTTGCTGCTGTCTCTGCTTCTGTCTCCCGTCTGTTTCTGGTCTGCTCTGCTCTGTGCTCCCTCGTGGCGTTTGGGCCGCATCAGGCAGTACGACCATCCAATCTCGCTCCCCCAGGAATGGCGAGTCCAACTCCGCTGAATGGCTGGAGCCTCCGCGCTGTGGCGCACCGGTGAAGCTCCTCTTGCACATCATTTTTGCCCCGGGGGGTAAGACAACTAACAGTAACTGGCTGTTATTCTCGGCCTTGCACAACAAGGCTCGTGAGGACAGCCTTTGGAATAGTAGCAGTACTATGCCGGTGTGTTTCGTCTTGCAAAATAAGCCTCTGCTTCTCCTCTTCTACACACCCCAAATTTCCATGACCGATCCTACCGAAGCTCGAGTCGTTCCAGATCACTACTAGTAGTAGTAACACTCGGCCGAATCGCTGCTGCCTAGGACTGCCCAAACTGTGTGCCCCGTTGCCCAATACTATCCTCAGAAAGATGCACGCTTAAACCTGGTTCTCTACGGAGTCTGCCATACGAACGAACTAGTAGTATCCGTATGTACAGTAGATGCATCAGCTATTCTCTCCGCATAGCCCTTGTTCCTCACGTAGTTATGACGTTGAATAACCTGAAGCGTTTCATTGCTATGCTCATCTCATCCTGCTATCATCTGGTTGGGTGACGGCAGAGCAATGGGCCTATCGAGATGCATCGTCACAATACGCGTATTGCATCAAGTCGGCACCGATCCCGGAGCGCCAGAGAAGAAGGTCATCAAAACCCAGTGCTGTTTGCACTTACACATGCCATAAACTACTTTTATTATTCCAATTTCCGCATTGAATCGTGAGCCTCATATGGGAATAGTTATCCAATGTGTTGAGCTGAGATTTAGGTCTAATGTTTTGATATGTATATGCTGAGGCTCATTGGGCCTGATCCCGCATCTTGCAGCGGAATTGCCGCGAGAGTTGAAGCATCACGTGACATGTCTCAATCCGCCATTCATCTCTCTGATAAGCAGCTCAGCCCCACAAAACTATTACAGATAGAATGGACCATCACCATCTCACGCATCTGCAGTTGAGCTCCGGTCACTGCGCTTTTCCCATCTTTCAAAGGCGTCGCGACTCCCTCTGGCAACTTCCATCTATCGAAAGCGATTTCTGCGCATCAATCAGGCAAACCGCTCGACAATGTCCTCGATCGAAGAGCTTCAGGCTGAGCGACAGACATATCAGGAACAGGTATGGACTATCTATCTCCGGGACTCTTTGCCGCCCTGGCTGTGTTTTCCAAGGCCCGCTGCTAACCCGACCTTAGTTGGATCTTGTTCTTGGCCAGATTCGCGATGACCCCGACAATGTCGAACTCAAGGCCCTGCACTCGGAGCTGACCGAGTTCATCCGCCTGCTCGACGAAAACATCGCCGAGCTCAAGTCGAAGCAAGCGCCTAAGCCCGCCGAAAAGCCCGCCGCGCCATCTCCTGAGCCGGCCAAATGGTCCAAAGAGAACCATCCCGCCTTCAAAAAGGCCGCGCCGCCGGTCGAGGACAAGGAAGAACCCATCGTGCACTATCAGGTGAACGATACTGTCCTGGCGAAATGGATCTCGGGCGACAAGGCTTTCTATCCGGCGCGCATCACGTCCATCACTGGATCGTCCACCGACCCCATCTACATCGTCAAGTTCAAGTCTTACGATAATACAGAGACTCTCAGGTCGCGGGACATTCGTCCCATTACCAACAAGCGAAAGGCCGAAGGGCCTCCATCAGCGTCTACCACCCCGGTGGCTACCACGCCGGCGCCTGGCGTCGTCAGCTCGGCCGGCGCCACGATGTACACAGAGGCACAGAAGGAGGCAGAGGCAGACAAGAATGCCCCCAAAGCGCCTAAGCCCAAGAAGATCAAGGCCACCAAAGAACTCGAAGCTGGCAAGTCCAAATGGCAAGATTTCAACGCCAAATCCAAGTTTGCCAAATCTCACAAGAAGGACTCCATGTTCCGCACGCCCGAGGGAATTCACGGAAGAGGTACGTTTCCAGCCAAAGATTCGATCGCAAAGGCATTTTGACTGATCCTCTTCACGTGTAGTTGGCTTCACTGGCTCTGGCAAAACAATGAGAAAGGACCCTACCCGTAGTCGTCATGTCTACCAGGTTAACGAAGAGCTCGACTAAATGCTTTGCCTACATGAGCCGATGCCGAAGGTTTTGGACCAGGGACAGGGATATTGAAGGCGTTATGGAGTTGGAGGATTATTGTTGATACCGCGGTAATCTACCTTGCATCAATTGTGGCACAAGCTAACTGTTATGCGTTTTGCCATTTTTTCCACACCAGAACAATGATATCACGGTTTACGAGAACCCTTGGGTTATGGGAGTTTTTGGTTGCGAGTTGGCAACCTTGGCATATCACCAGATGTTTCATCCAAGAATAGGCCCCCCTTGGGATCTGGGATCGATTGCTAAGCTACGATGGCAGGTTCGACGACCACATCATACGATGTTTCTATCCCCGAATATGCCGCCCAAGTCTTGTCAAGTCGGTGAGAGAACAAATCCTTAGTTGTTTTGGCTCCCGGCTTCCTTGAGGTCAATTTTGGGGCAGATAGCTCTAGCTATGTGGAGAAAGGCTGATGCTCGTTCGCTGGATGGCTCAGCGACGACAGTCGGCTTTCCCCTTTCCCCATCATCACCAATGTTGGGATGAAGAGGAATGTCTCCTAGAAAGTCAATCTCATGATCCTGACACAGCTTCTCTACCCTCTTGTTCGAACCAAAGACGTGAGTATCGTGATGGCAGTTGGGGCAGTTGAACAGAGACATGTTCTGCACCAGGCCTAAAATGTCGACGCCAACTGTTTTGAACATGTTGATGCCCTTGACTGCATCCTTTGTTGCCAGAGTATGTGGTGTGGTGACGATGACGGATCCTGTGCTAATCAGTATTGGGAGAACAAGCAGAGCAAACGCGCGCTCATGTTGGTGAAGAAGCAGCAGCCGCTTACCGTCCAAAATGACTTGCTGGGTGATAGTCAACTGTGTGTCTCCAGTTCCAGGGGGTAGATCCAGCACAAGAATATCCAAGCCGCCCCAGTCTACTTCGTGAAGTAGCTGCTGGATTGCCTTCATGACCATTGGCCCCCTCCATACCACGGGGGCACTCTCACCCACGAGATAGCCCATTGACATTGTCTTTACCCCGTAGTTTGTCAAAGGCACCAGTTGGTTGTCTGAATTGCGTTAGTCAGGAGCGGTTCAAATGATGTGAGAGCTTCCTTACTGCTGGATAGCCTGGGCTCCCCTGAGAGATCGAATAGAGTTGGTATGGATGGGCCGAAGATGTCAGTGTCTAATATTCCGGCGCGGAAGCCTAGCCTAGCAAAGGCCAATGACAAATTTGCTATTCCAATTTCATCAGGCTTATCATTCCATACGCTCGAGAGTTTGCAGCTATAGAATTGTCACGCACCCGCAACTGTGCTTTTGCCAACGCCGCCTTTGGCTGAAGATATCGCAATGACCTTGTCCACACCGGTGATTTTCCGTCTCTGAGGCCGTTTGGGCCAGCTTGGCGGAGTGCCTGAGCGAGGCAGGCCCTGATGTATTGTTTGTGTCAGCATATTGCTCGTAGTACCCATTGAGCGTGGACATGACCGACAAGAGGGTTTTCATGCTGGAGAGCTCTTGAAGCTCGAAAGAGCAGCGAGGAAGTAGACCGCATTGCGGAGACTGAAATGAGGGAGTCTAGAGGCTAAGAAGAGTTGTAGGGGATTCAATTTGAAGAGAGAGCCATCTAGTGTGAGATACCGTCAAATGGCAGTCTTTGGCATGGCTTGTAAGATGCACTGAGTTCGATTCAAGGACCGAAGCTCCCATTATGAACACAGACGACCCACTTCCTGGAGTGCGATGCTTTTTCGGGTCTGGCAAGGTACAAAGGTACAGAGGTACACACAGTCCAACCTTATTGCCGCCACTCACCGCCTAAAAGTTCAAGAACCCATTGACCGGCAGAAAAAAATCCCAGCAGCACAGGCCGGCCAAACAGAACTTGCCTTATTCTCAAGCCAAGCAAGAACCACACCTAGCAACAATGGCCAAGGGACGCGCAAAAGACTTCAAGGATCCTGATGAGGAATTGGCCAAGGGTACGGCGTGGATTCCATCTGAATTTCTCTCCTGTACGAATGGGCGGGCGTGAGATGTGCTGACAGTCTTTAGATTACGATCCCGAAGCCAATGGGCACAGCGACAATGACAATGGGAGCGGCGCCAGCGAGGATGAGCGCGCCGGCACGGAGCACTACGTGACTGTTGGGCGCAGCAAGCTTCGCGAGAAGGAAGGGATTTCTCTGGGGCGGCAGTACCGTGGGTCTCGGGTTTCGCGCAAGGCTTTAGAAGAGGAGGAGGAGGGCGACGAACCCGAAGATGAAGACGAAGACGACGACGATGATGAAGATGAGGACGACGAGGATGACGGCGAGTACGATGATCCGGAGGAGGCTAATCTAGAAGCCGACACTGCTGAGGCCAGCGATTCGGAAATCAGCAGCGACAATGCTCTGGCGGAGTCCGACGATGAGCGATTAGGGAACTTTGTGTTCCGGGGCAGCTCGAAGCCTAAGAAGCCCAAGAGCAAGCGAGCTTCTGCGGCGGACTTTATGTCTGCGTCTGAGGATGAGGAGGGCGAGGACGACGAAGACGACGAGGACGAAGACATGGACGATGGCCTTGATGACTTGCTCAATGGTCTCGGAGCTTCCGACGAAGACGAAGATGGCGACGAAGATGAAGAAGAGGATGATGACGAGGATGACGAGGATGACGAGGAGGACGAAGAGGATGAAGAGGACGAAGAAGAAGATGATGATGACGAAAAGGAAGAATCAGCAAAGGAAAGCGCGAAACCTTCCCTGGCTGCTCCGTCAATTCAGACCGAGGTCCAGAAAGGAATTGCTATTCAGCAGCAGCGAAAAATCTACGATGGGCTCTTGAACATGCGCATCCGGCTCCAGAAAGCGCTCGTCGCGGCGAATACCTTTCCCACGCTAGATGCAGACTCGAGCTCCGAGACGGAGGCTTACGAAGCCGCTGAAGAGGCTGCCATCAAACTGCTCAACACCATTAGCGATCTCCGAGAAAACTTGGCCCCCCCAACCGCCGCAGGCAGCAAGCGGAAGCGAACGTTGGAAATTGGTCTTTCCAACGAGCAGATCTGGGAGCAGATTCAGGAGGATCACCAAAGAGCCGTCAAGTTCCGAGAAGACAGGCTGGACAAGTGGTCCCGCAAGGTGCAGAGCGTGACAGTCGCTGCGCCAAACAAACTCGGCGCAAAGAAGCCCAAGACGCTCATCGAGGCTCTGCAAGACCAGCTCGCCGATCCCGACGACAGGCTCGTCAAGCGTACACGAGTGCCTCGGTCCTGCGCACCGGTCCAGGCCGCCAAGAAGGTTACCGAGAGCGGGGACGTCTACGACGACGCCGACTTTTACCAGCTGCTCCTGAAGGAGCTCGTGGACCAGCGCACGGTGGAGTCGGCCGCGGAGCAGTCCAGCGCCGTGGCCTCTGTGATGCTTACCGCCAACAAGGAAGCCAAGACGCGCAAGGTGGTGGACCGAAAAGCGAGCAAGGGGCGAAAGATGCGGTTCACGGTGCACGAGAAGCTGCAGAACTTCATGGCGCCTGAAGACAGGAGGAGCTGGGAACAGGAGGCGATTGATCGCTTCTTTGGGACGCTGTTTGGCCAGAAGATGGAGCTGAATGAGGAGGAGAGCGAGGACGATGAGATGGAGGCTCTGTATAAGCAGGACGAGGGACTGCGGCTGTTTAGGTGAGGGCAAGAGCTGTGTTTTTGATAGATACTAGTATATATACCGGCATGGATAGACGGCTGGAAAGAATGCCAGTCAAATTGGACACGGGATATACAATTGTGTAATTTTTTTCATCCGGAGTTGGCCTTGGTACGGTTGATTCTTAGATGCTAGGATACTTTAACTGAAGCTCTCACATGAGCGCTGTCTTTGGTTCTGCCATCTCAAATCCAGACTCTCAATCACCACCTCCACCAACAGTATTAGGTAGGTAGGTAAGCAACAGTGAGAGCTCCAAGACAAACCAGATTCAGACCGATGCAATATACTAGCCCATCCCAATCCAGTTGTTTCCCAAGGGTCTGATGAATCCCAATCGATCAATTCCGCATCATTTGAATCTTCCAGTCCCATTCCCCTTCAACGGCGCCATTTCCGAATCCGAATCCGCCTCGGAACTGCAGCTCCCCGTGCGCGGGCGGGTTTCTTCGGCTCTTCCCCACAAACGCGGAAGTGGCCCGTCTGCCCGCCATTCAATCCCACCGTGGAATGCCGATGCCCAGAAAGAGCTTCGAAAGCTTGGGGAGCTCTGGCTTTTCTGATCCCTCAAACTCCCTCTGCTCTTTTCACTATTCTCGAGAGCACAGAGAATTACAACATCTTCTCACAAGTAAAGATGGCCTCATTAACTTCTTGGGTCCCGCTGGACCGCAATGGCGACTTTTCGATTCACAACCTGCCCTTTGGCATCTTCTCAGACGGCGGCAGCTCGCAGCCCCGCGCCGGTACCCGGATTGGCGACTTCGTCCTCGATCTCGCTGCGCTCGCTGGCGATGCGCAGGTGAAGCAGCAGCTGGGCTCGTTCAACGGCCTGGAGGGAGTCCTCAGCCAGCCGTCGCTCAACGCCTTTGCCGAGCGCGGGCGCGCCGTCCATCGTGCTGTGAGAGCCGACCTGCAGCGCATCCTCGGCGAGTCGACAGACGTGCCGGCGCTGCTCAAGGACAACGAGGCGCTGAGGCAGAAGGCGCTGGTGCCGGTCGACAAGGTCACGATGCACCTGCCCATGCAGATTGGAGACTACACCGACTTCTACGCCGGCTACCACCACGCCTACAAGGTGGGCGTCCTGTTCCGCGGCCCGGACAACGCCCTGCAGCCCAACTACACGCACCTGCCGGTGGGATACCACGGCCGCTCGTCCAGCATCGTCGTGTCCGGGACGCCCATCCGCCGGCCGCGGGGCCAGATTCTGCCCAACCCGGCGGCGACGCCCAAGCAGCCGACGACGGTGCCCTGCCGCCGACTGGACTTTGAGCTGGAGCTCGGCTGCTTCATCTGCAAGCCCAACGAGATGGGCGAGCCCATCGACATCAGCAAGGCCGAGGAGTACATTTTCGGCTTCGTCCTGCTCAACGACTGGAGTGCGCGCGATATCCAGGCATGGGAGTATGTGCCTCTGGGGCCGTTCAACGGAAAGAACTTTGGGTCGACCATCAGCCCGTGGGTTGTTGTTCCGGATGCCCTTGAGCCCTTCCGGACGGAGCCGCTGCATAACGACACTCCTGTCCAGGATTATCTCAAGGAGACGCAGAAGCAGAGTGTGTTTGACATTCAGCTCGAAGTCGGCCTTACAAGTGAGTATCCGTTTCCGTCTTCTGATGAGTCACGTTCACCGAGGAGTATGGCCTGCTAACATGATGCGTTGCTGCAGCCGCGGACGGTGACCATGTCGACCTGACCAAGACGAGCGGCCGCAACCTGCTGTGGTCATTCCCGCAGATGATTGCGCACCACACCGTGGGCGGATGCCCCCTCCGCGCCGGAGACCTGCTGGGATCCGGAACGATTAGCGGCACGGAGCCTCGCGAGCGTGGCAGCTTGCTGGAGATGACCGAGGGCGGCAAAGCCGATGTCCAGCTCGAGAAGGGCGGGGTGCGTCGGTTTATCGAGGATGGCGACAGCGTGAACATGCGAGGCTATTGCGAAAAGAACGGGGTGCGGATCGGGTTTGGCGACTGCGAGGGCAAGATACTGCCGGCCCACGGATCATGAGCTGGGGGGGGGAAGATGAGAAATGAAATATATCCATCAGGTGAATCCAAACAAAAGCGCCGCCCTGCCGTGAACTTTCGCCTCATTCCGCCGTCTCATGCGGCTTGTAAATCCGAGTTACCTTGTCATACTGCGTGAATATGCTCTTTAAGGCTTGTTTTTGAATATTGATGCAAACGCGGCGGATCGATTGCAAGGTGTAAGAACCGGCTTGACTGATTGAACCTCGGCGCAAAGCGGCTCAATTCTCCACCTCGCAATCGGACTGCCTGGTTGCAACTCAGCTTCTTCGAAGCAATTGCAATTGCCAATCTCGTGTATAATTAATCTCGCCGCCGTGATTCTGGATATAAACATACACGGCGGAGTCTGTACCTAGTATCCAAAGCACGAAGTCGCAATTACGTTTCGCACCGCTTCTCGCCTTTCCTTCTTCTTCGTTCCTCAACCATCTTCAACAGCTCCGGCGCTGGCCGTTACCGTTACGGTCACGTGGGCGCGGCTTTGTGTGCAGGAGCGAGCCACCAAGCCCGAACAAGAGGGCAAAGCAGCTTTCTTTTTCTCGGTACCCGTGTCTGCCGTTACTTCGCTTCTCATCTGTTTGTTCTTCATAACAGGCAATTCATGGATGAAGTCGTCGCATAAGACAACGCACAAGGGGGAGAGCGAGAAGAAAGAACAAACATCACTCGATGGAGCAGATTGAGACGCAGGCCTCGGACCTGCGCTACCTCACGGCGCCAGTCGCCGCTTTGAGCGACTCGGCCAGTGTCTCGTACGAGACGCCGCAGCCACGGCCGCCGCACATGAGCCCGGGTTCCGCCATGTACGGAGACAATTCCGCGCTTCAGCAGCAGCAGCAGCACGACGATGATGCTTCGCCAGGGCTGGGAGGTTCGGATGCTGGGGGAGCGGGCGCGAATAAGAGGAAGTCCGTGGACGAGGCGGGCGGCGCGAAGCAGACGCGGAGCAAGAGGAACCGGGTGAGTCTGTCCTGTCCTGTCCTGTCCTGTCTTTGTCCTGGAAGTACGCGCAGAGAGCAGATGTGAAAATGAGGCGGTGATGTCTTTATCAATGTGCGATATGCACATCTTCACAGGGAGAAGAACTTGAGTTGCAATGTGATGCCAAGGCGATGGGAAGCAGATCGCGCATCCTGTCAGGCCCCCCTTTCGTTAGAAGCGCGTTTACTTATGCCATATTTAGTTGAAGCTCCTCAGCTGACTTGGTGGTCCAGTATATTTCTATCGCCTGGTAAGCCCATACTCGGCGTCCCATGTCATTCAGTCGTCTGGAGAAGGCAATCAGTGAGATTCGACGGGTACTTTTGAAAAAGACTGGACGGCTGTCACGAAAATGATTTGAACCATGCTGACTCGTTTGCGCAATGCCCGCATAGCAATGAGTGCAAGAGACGCAAGATCAAGTGCAACGGCGAAACACCATGCCAACGCTGTGGCAATCTCAACCTGGCGTGTCTGTATGCGCCCAACTGCTGCTCCAACAACTTCAAGGACTCGGACGAGTTCAAGAAGATCACGGCGCAGCTAAGCCGCCTGCAAGACGAGGTCAACTGGCTCAACCAGAACATGCGCAACATACAAACCGAGACGCGATTCGCACCCCCAACTTCGGATCGCATTATCCCTGCTCCCAACTCGATCATTGCCCCTTCTCCATCGCAAAGCTCAGCATCCGGCCACAGACCCGACTACCCCGGAAGACAGACACCCTTCCAGGGCCCGACGAGTACGGGATTTAGCCTCGACGTGGCCAAAGAGACAATCAGCAGCATGGGGTGGAAGCCGACCGAGGAGGGCGATGATAACGAGCCGCCACCAATCAGCCACATATCCTCTTCAATCTCAGCGCAAATGCCAGAACCTCTCCTGGAGTTTGACAAGGACGAAATGGTGCGCCTGTGCCGGGTCCATGAAGAGGAGATTGGCATAATGTACCCTGTGATTGACATCCAATCGGTGATTGCTCATGCCAAAAACATCTCGATGTATCTCAGAAGCCAGCGGCCAATGCAGCCCTTGAACGACCTCCAGACCCTGCAGTTGAAAGCCATCATGTGCTGTGCTCTTGTTGTGGAAGGTCACGGCCACTGTGAGAAGGCGGTGCGGGTGTACGAGAGCATGGAGAACATTATCAATCGAAAGCTCATGTCGGACGCTCTTGAAGTCTCTGACCTTCCCCTACTAGCACTTGTTGCCGGCTACCGATTCCTGTCCAACGAGGAGGTGCTCGCCTGGCGAGTCATGGGCCAGGTCGTGCGCCTGTGCATGGAGCTCGGCATTCACCAGAAGCGAGGGCTGATGATGATCCAAAACGAGACGGAGCGAAAGAATGCGCTCAACAGCTTCTGGTCAGCCTACGTTCTCGACCGTCGATGGGCGTTTGGGACGGGTCTGCCGTACGCCATCCAGGACGATGAAATTGATCCGACTTTGCCGATGCCTGTGAGTTGAGCCGGTTTGGGATACGACGATACAACTTGATAAACTGACGTCTTCCTTAGGACGAATATCCATATCTCGTTGCCATGATTACATATTCTCGAATAGGTGCCAAGGTCTGGCGTCAGGTATCCCATTTTGGACCCGTCCTTGCGCGAGAGCTGGGCCAGGAGGAGATTGAACGGCTTGACCAGGAGATTTTGCAATGGTACGAGAGCGTACCGGAAGAGATTCGGATGCGTAGCTGGGACAAAGATACACGAATGACATCGACACCCTCATATAACCTGCAGCGGCTGAGGATATGGACATATCTGCGATTCAACCAAGTAGGTGGATGTGCAAGTGACAAGGTTATTCACATCAGCTAACACAAGTCCTAGATACGCACATGGCTGTATACTCCCGTCCTACATAGCGCTACCAGCATCATGTCGCATCCATTGCAGGCACAGCGCGTCGTCGATCTGGCCAAGGACACGATCCAGTACCTCCACCACCTCAACAGCACCACCAACCTCTACCGGAGAACGCAAGTCTTTTATCACCAGTTCCTCGCAGCCGCAATATCTGTCGTCTTTCTTGCCTCAGTACACGCACCGGTGCGGTTCAGCGCAGTCTGCCGAGAAGAGTTCTACATGGCCCTCGACTTGGTCAAGGATCTGTCTGTCAAGAGTTGGGTATCACAACGCCTGTGGCGAACCATCAAGTCGCTCAAAGACGTGGCGCCGCGGTTCGGCTTGAATCCGGATGAAGACCCTCATTCGAGCGCCGCTTTGGGTATGATTGGGCTTGCGAGGGGACACATGGACAGTATGCCCGGTAGCCAGCCTCTGTTTCAGCATCCCCCAATGCCCCCTAGGCAGTCCACGGAGACGTTGATTAGCAACAACAACAACGGGCAAAGGATACAGAGCGAGATGTCGCGGATATTCGAGGGCTACGTTGGTCTAAACGGGGTTCAGTTCGGAGGCAATGGAGAAGATCAACATGTGCCTACCCCCGCCGCTTTATCATCTTCCGATTCGCAGAATGCCATATTTGCGTCGGCAGACGGGACAGTCTTTCCTCATATGCGCGAGATGTTTTGAAAGATCTTCTTTCCAAAGTGTATAGGGAGTATAGCTCTGATTGACTGGGAGCGGTGTTTAAGGGATGTTGAACAGCGACTATTCAATTTTGTATCAGATCATGAGAACTTGCAACTTGGGGCAGAATTATGGCGGGCGGTCAGTCGCTGAGAGACGTCACAAATGGGCCTGTGAAATGTTGAACTCTGCTTTCGTACTGTCATCCACACTTCCTACCCAGTGCTCATTCTATGAACAGCGACCCAGGCGCAAGGGTTACAAAATGCACAAAGATATAGCTGCAAAAAGAAGCGTCGTCTCGCCGCCTTTTCACTGCTAATGTGACGATGGCCCCGGGAAACAGCCCAAAGAATGCCCGCGGCGTTTTACGTACTGACTGCAACAAGTCGGTCGGGCAACGCCTGCATGATGCGCCATTCGGAGGGAGGAAGCCCAATAAAAAGAACAATGCACCCCTGAACATGGATTCCAGTCGATTCGATTGCTCAAAGCGGAAATTCTCAGCAAAAGTGACCACTAGGAGCTCGCGGTTTTGGAGGGTCGGGTCCAGAACATCTACGCGTTTCCCGCGGGCGACAAGGGATTTCCCGGCGTCTTCTTCACCTTCTCCAGAGCAAGATGACTCGATGCTCAAGGGCGGTAAAGAGGAGAACAAGCACACCGACGGCGGAGGGACGCTGTGTGTTCCGGATGGTCTCCAAGAAAGCTCTTTTCGGATGTTGCCGGCATCTTGACAATTGTCTTGTTGCTTGCTTGTCTGGCGGCTGGTTTCTGAGGAAACAACGGGGGGAAGATAACATCTGACAGCGGGAGAATCAGCCACATTCTGCCGTCCATCAGTCCTGTTGGTCGACACCACACGACCGTGCAGCAGCTATGATCATGGGGGCCTCTGCACTTTTGCTTATCTTCCCCCGTCATCCGTGCGAGAACCGATGGCATCGCTCTTCGGCAAGACTCGTATCAGGAAAAGAAATCTCTGCCACTTTGGTCCGGGCAGCTTGTCGCTTTTCGTTTTCCCGCGGGAAACTAGTTTCTTACCAGGATGAAAACCCGCTGCGGCGCCGCTGCTACTGGCCCGGCGACAGAGTTTCGTTAGATAATGCCTGACGTTGCAGCCGTGATCGGACGCCCTTTGTTCGTGAAGAAGGGCTTCGGAGCATTTCCATGACCAGCAATTGATGCCAACCGACGTGGCACGGAAGTGGAGCGAGCGATGCAGTGAGGATACAAGGCCGCACACCATCATCTGGTCTAGCAATCGCCCGGTCAAGCCAACGGCGGACCGCTGCCGGCTGAGCGCGGGTTCTTGATTTGAGTTCATCAAAGGAACTGTTCCAATTGAAGCTCTGGCTTCTGACAGGCTTCTACTAGTTGCGGACAATTCGACAGCAGTGTGACAAGGAGCTACTGATGAAGGAGCTCAAGGGCCCTGGATCTGTGTACCACGAGCGACTTCTTGCTCTCTCACTGGACAAGTTTTTTCAAGGGGCGATGGCTGTACGAAGTTACACCATTGGCAGCGTCTTATCAGCATTGTGAGTGCCGGAGCTCTTTCACATGCCATCTGTTCGACAGGGGAGACGATGACAGCTGTACGGAGTACCCAGCATTACCCAAATAAGCCACTCGCTTCTCTTTGCAAATGTTCGATCTACAGCTTTTATATCTCCTTATACCTGGCAGTTTATCAAGACAACGGGGCAGGAGTTTGGTCCACTTGATTGTCAATGAGGAGTGTGACTTCGACATCGTGCTAGGTATCTGTACGAAGAGATTCGCAGCTTGGTAGATGGCTCGACCGAGAGAGGAACACCCCAAGCTGAATTACACCGCCGACCTGCATTATCTCGAGTCATTCGCGAAAAAGGGTAGACGTTCTGGACTGAGAACACGAAGAAGCACACGCTGGTGGATGTCATCGCTCAAAAGCGGCACGCCGTCATTCAGCACAACTTACCCCAATATTTTGCACCCCTTTCACACAATTGGAGATTGGAGTGCAGTCATCGTCGAGCGGCTTGGTCGCCCCAGACGCGTCAACTTCACATGCAGACAAGCCTGATTTCAGTTCGTGGCACTCAGGAAGTTGATTGCTCTCCATCGTTCTGAGCTAAGACTGTCGGGTTTCTTGTTGCCTGGCCATTGATTGAGCGGGCCTCGTTTACTAGATTTCCTAGCGTTGGTCGCTCGGAGAACTTTATCGCTGCTCGCCTTTCCCGCGGAGAAGTAGGGCCGGATTCTACTCTCTTACATACATGCTTGCGGCATATGGTTTACATGTCTGTGCAGGTTGTCCACCGCCGCTGAAGATTGATTCGATACCTCAGATGCCCAAGGCGGGAGCGAATATGCAGGAGAGTCAGCAGCGGCAGAGCGGCGCAAGGCCGTACAGATCCCACCTGCGGCCGGCGTGTGTGCCGTGTCGCCGCAGAAAGTCGCGATGCCAGACCGCAGGCGATGCTGCCGTCTGCCTGACCTGCCGTGCCCACCAGACCGAATGCTTTTTCCCTGGTGACTCGCAGGAATCTGCATCTCCGGAGCCTGCCCGTCGACGCCGCCGAGTAGAAGCCCGGCCCTCGTCTTCAGAGCCTTCCCGAGCGAGTTCCCTGAGGGTTGCACAGGTCGCGGCGCCGTTCCGTGAGAGCACAAAGGCCAACGCCTCCGCGCCTGTGGTTGGGCCAGTGCCGAATGCTCCCCCGAGGCCCATTGCCGGCATCTCGACAACGGGTCAAAGCTACCATGACCACGAGGAAGAATCAACGCTGGCACTGGGCTCCGACGATGACCAGCATCTCAATCTACATATCGTAGGCCCGGCTGCTACGAACGACAGCCAGGTCTTGTCTACTTATCTCTCCGGAATCCCTGGTGCTACCCGGAGTACTCGGATGATTATCCCGGAGCCCGCCAGCTGTTCGCGGCCGGTGCTGTTTACGGAGGTTCAGAAGAGGCCTTTCGGCGTCAAGTTGAATCGTAGCCCTTCGGCGGAGAAGCTGGAGATTATTGAAAAACTCTTGGAGCCTCATAACGAAGCTGTTATTGACGAGTTGGTTTTCCTTTCTTTGGCATCTTTGCAGCCTCCTCGTAGCTGACTTTCTTCTCTCTGTAGATACTTCAAGAAAGTGAATGTGTGCCTCCCGCTGTTGGATGAAGTTTCGTTCCGCCGTCAATACCAGGAAGACAAGACGCGGATCTCGCCGGCGCTCATGGCATGCCTGTACGCGCATACAATCGTGTACTGGCAGAGCTCTCCGGTCTTGAGCCGCTACAGGTGCCCGGAGAGCCGCTTCATATGGAATCTTGCCAACGAAGCGGTATACTCAGAACTCCATCTGTCACCTGGCATGTCTATCATCAAGGCGATTGTACTGAACATTGGCGGACGTCCAACCACGTCTCTGATAGGAAACGGGGTGCTACTGGGTTCTGCAGTGTCCATGGCGCATTCGCTGGGCCTGAACCACAATCCTCTTCCGTGGAAGATTCCGCAGCCGGAAAAGTATCTGCGTATGAAGATTTGGTGGGCGCTGTTGGTCCATGACAGATGGTATGTGAATTCGTTCGTGGACGGCAAAGATGAATGAGAAGAGGCTGAAAGAGATGGAAAGGGGGAGACGCACAATGCTGACTTACAGTCATGAATCCGCAGGACAAGTCTGGCGCACGGCACGCCGCCTCACATACAAAGGGCCCAGTACGATGTGCCTCCGCCAACTCTGGAGTATCTTGGCGAGACCCTGATAGAAACCAATAACTCTCGGTCTGAGCTAAGAGCCAATATCTTCATTTCGCTGGTGACGCTGAGCGAAGTGTTGGACCGGTTCCTGCAGTATGTGTACTGCGTTGGACGGGCTAAGCTGACGACTACCGATCTCGAGCATGCACTGCATCAATGGATTGACTCACTGGAGGGTCCCTGTCGCCGGATTGTCCTGCGCGGATCCCATCTGGACGTTACCGGGGCAGCAAACCTTCGCCTGGCCTATCTGACTGCCAAATTGCTTCTACAACGGATCCAGCTCGAGGCCGAGAAGCAGGGAGACAGCGTCAGTGCAGAGAGCGTGATCAACCGATATTCCGGAGCACGCATGACGTCCGAGGAGATTCTCATGCTCATACAAGACCTCCAACCGGAGCATCTCGGCGACTTTTGGATGTCTGTGAGCGCCTTTTCCTTCCCGGCCGCCGTCAACTTTTTGCTGCGGTGCGCGCTTGAGACTGAGAATTCTCCCGAAGGCCTCGCGCAAAGCCCCTCGTTTAAGATCGCCCGCGACCTCATCACCACGCTTCGCTCGCACCAGGAGCAGCACAAGTGGGATCTGGGCGACGTCTGTCTTGCCCAGCACGCCGAGATTGTGGACAAGATGCTGGCGGGTGCGGTGCCGGACGAGCAAGGCGGGAACAGTAGCAGTCTGGACCTGCAGGACTTTGACGTGTCGATCCTGGACCACATCTTCCCAAGCGTATGGGACCCGTTGCAGAATGCCTGGTGATTATAGAGACGCTTGACTTGCTATGTTTGGGAGGGGAAATCAGGGGCCGTGCAGCAGATGACTACGGGGCTACGTCAAAGTTGCGGGAAGCGTCGTCGGTTTTCCTTTCCCGCGGCCAACGAGTTTCCCGCGGCGGAGCTAGGGAAGCCAAACGCACTCCTCACTCCGAGATATCCACCGTCGCGATACGATATCGGAATTAGAGAAAGTTTTGTTGAGATGAAAGCGTCTTTGGATTTGTTTAAAAGGTCGAGATGATTTTGGGAAGTCAGGTTGTCATTCATCAAGCATCCAGAGGGGCAAGTCAACAACGACGACTTACACGAGCACCTTGTTCTTATATACTGCATTCTGATAGGGGCGGTCTATTGCGAGTGATTTCCTTCAGCAGAAACGATCTCCATCCTCAATTCCTTTTCCTTCAGCCCATCTCTACAATCATTCAGCATGGCTCCAGGAGCTCTCGTCGGATCTGAAAGCCCTCTCCTGGCCCCCGTCCCAGGCAAGCTCGACGTCGCCCCAGCCCTCTACGCCGGAGTCGACGAGAAAGACCTCCGCGAAAAGGCCAAGGCCCATCTAGCCTACTATGGCACCAAGTTCCACGACGATGTGATTATTGGATCTCGGGGGATGTACCTCTACACGGCCTCTGGCCACAGGATCCTCGACTGGACCTCGGGCCAGATGTCCTGCCTACTCGGGCACGGACATCCCGAGATTGTAAAGACCATCCACGAGCACGCCATGAACCTCGACCATCTCTTCTCGGGCATGGTCTGCCCGCCCGTCATCAGCCTGGGAGAGCGCCTCTGCAAGGCCCTCCCCGCCGGCCTCGACAAGGCCTTCTTCCTCTCCACCGGCGGCGAGAGCAACGAGGCCGCCATCAAGATGGCCAAGGTCTACACGGGCAAGTGGGAAGTCGTCGGCCTCGGCGCGTCCTGGCACGGCATGACCGCCCAGGCCCTCGGCGCCCAGTACCACTTCGGCCGCAAGGGCCAGGGCCCGACCATCCCGGGCCAGTTCATGCTGCCCTCGCCCAACGCCTACCGGTCGCGCTTCCGCAGGCCCGACGGCTCCTACGACTGGGAGGCGGAGCTCGACTACGGCTGGCGCATGATCGACCTGCAGTCCACGGGCAACCTGGCCGCCTGCATCGTCGAGTGCATCCAGAGCTCCGGCGGCATGCTGGTCCTCCCGCCGGGCTACCTCGCGGCCATGAAGCGCCACTGCGAGGCCAGGGGCATGCTGCTCATCGTCGACGAGGCCCAGACGGGCGTCGGCCGCTGCGGCGACTTCATGGCCATCGACCACGACGCTGTCCAAGACGCTCGGCAACGGCCTGCCCCTGAGCGCCGTCGTCACCAGCGCCGAGGTCGACCGCGTCTGCGAGGAGCGCGGCTTCATGTTCTACACCACCCACGTCAACGACCCCTTGCCCGCCGCCGTCGGCGACAAGGTCCTCGAGATCGTCTTCCGCGACGACCTCGTCCGCCACGCGCGCGCCGTCGGCGAGGTCCTGCACGCGGGGCTCGCCCGCCTCATGGCCCGGTACGGCTGCATCGGCGACGTGCGCGGCCGCGGCCTCATGGCCGGCGTCGAGATCGTCGCCAGCAGGGACACCAAGGAGCCCGCCCTGGAGCTGGCCAAGCGCATCGGCGACGCCGCGTACCGCCTCGGCGTCTGGGCCAACCTGAGCAGCCACCCGAGCTTCGGGGGCACGTTCCGCATCGCCCCGCCCATCACGGTGACGGCGGAGCAGATTGAGGAGGGGCTGGACATGCTGGAGAGGGCCTTTAGGGAGACGGAGGGGACGATGCCTCTGTATGTCTGAAGGGGGGGTTCGGCGGGTGGTGAGGTTGAATGATTTCGGGTGTTGGGTTGAGTGTATTTACCTAGTTATCAGCGGGTTTGTTTTCTTTTTTTTTAGTATGCTATTTCAAAAGGGGGAATGAATTATTCAAGTGCTTCTGGGGCTTGTTTGGTTGCGATTTGCGTCTTGACACCCGCAAGAGAGAGTCAGGCATATAGAATGTTTACTATACCGAATGGCCTGTTACAGATATATGAAGGCTTCGAGAGACGAAGAGACCAAGTATGGCCAAAGCGATGAAGAAATAGGTATCATTCATAAACTCATCATAACAGAATCCTGCAATTTTCGCCCTGCCCCATCAATTTTGAATCCAAAATATCACAAACCTGCCGCTTGCTCACTTGCTTTTCCCCAATTTTCATATCATGACGCTCAACGCAAAAGAAACAAAGAAACAAACAATAAGCCTCCTCAAATCGGGTATAGGTATCCCAGTCAATCAAAAACGCCTGCCGTTGGAGAAGATTCTTCGATGGAAACAAAAGCCGCCGTGCTCGCTCGCTATATGCTGCAACGTAGAGAGTTTCAGAAACGTAAAAGATCTTTCAAGAAGTGTGTAGTGTTGCTCGGTTTGACCGTGGTTCGGGATGTTGTTCGTTGCGACAGCGGACCTTTGCTGTCATAGATATCCAGTGTTTATGTGCGTTTTCGATTCTGGCGTTGTCGTTCAAGTGTTGTCGAAACTCATTGTGACCGCAGCTTGAGGTGTGGGCTGAGCCGTCTGAAGATGCCGCGGGCAGCGACGCCGAGAACCATCAAGACCTCCAATCCGACAATGCCCATCCAGACAGTGTTGAGAAGCTTCTCCTCGTAGTTGGAAGCGTAGCCGTTGAAGTAGTCCGAAGACATGGAGTAGCTGGACATGCTCCTAGCCATGATGAATACCGCTGCGTGTATCGATCGCCTCGATTAAAGCCGTGTTGCAATCGTATGCGGACACGCTCGGAGAGGCGTCTGGCTTATTGGTTGCGGATATTTTGAAATGACACTGGGAAAAGCTTGTCAGAATAGGTAATGAGCCACGAGGAGAAGGATATAAAGACAGCGAAAACGAGCTGGCTTGAGACATATTCGAATTACTGCATGCCCAACTCGAGCCCAACTTGCATCCCCGCCGCAAAGGTCGGTCACGAGTGGCACACGAGGGTGGCGGCCACGGCAAGTCTCGCAAAGAATCGGGTGAGATCCTCACCTTGTGTTATAGCAAAGATCTGAGTATTCACAGAAGACCGCCGTATAGTAGCTGATGGGCACCAACAATGCTCAGGTCTTGGAATGATCGATACCAAATCTCGCCGTTTTGCACAGTCACAACCAACGGCAAAGGTCCAGCTGGTAATCGAGAGAGTGGTTCAAAAGCCTGTTGGCCGCTTGTGATGCGAAAATCTCCAGACCCTCAAGAGCGGCGGTCGGGGCGCAGAGATCGAGTCGGTGCTAGTTTGTATGCACTCGAGTGGATTCCGCCCTCTAGCATAGGCGTCGCGTGAGCGTGGAATCTGGCTGGCCGTAGCCTGTCCTGGCCTGGGCCAGCAGCGACTATTGGATGGATACCGTGAATGCGTCAAAGCAAGGCCTGGAGCAAGATGAAGTGAAGGCTGCTGGGAGAGAAAGCAAGCAGAGTGAGGACCAAGGCCAGAGGAACTAGGTAGCAAGAGGGATGTTGAAGAAAACGTGGCTTTTGCCGTCTTTTGGCGTTGCGGGCTGGCTTATCTCCTGCTTTGTTGGAGGATAAATCTCCTCTTGGCTGTCTGTCTTTTCCATGGCAACGGGATGCCCTTGTCGCCCTTCAGCGCTCAGCCCCACGTGCAGCCACCTTCATCTTGCTCGGGACAATGAGACATGCTTGAATATGTGAGGAAGACCAGCCATGGGCGAGATTGAGGCTGTTTTACGGCTGCCGAGGGTGGGGCCGAATCCCGGACTCGACATGCATGTTTCGGCGTCTAATTCGCAGCCTCTTGAGCATCTTTCCAGCTTCAATAGTTTCGAATCAGCCAGACATAACGGCGTTGGTCTTTTCTTCGTCATCCGTACGTGCGTCGGTAAAGAGGCTGGAAAGCTTGTCTCTGCGAGTTGGCAAGTTGGGGCTTGCAGCATGCCAAGGGTCCAACTCACTGTCCCCGCTCGGTATCCCTGTTGTGCCCTATGGGGAATGTAGCCGTCTTACAAGGGTAGAGGCAATCGCTGAAAATGCGGTGACGCCGATTCACACAAGCGCACAGAAGCACTTCGCTTGGCCATGGCGGCGTTATTAGGACTTGCAAAAGAGGGCTCGCGATAGTAGCGCTTCCCCCATCGTCTGCTCGATGATCCAGGATGTAGCTGATGTTGCCAATAGAGCCGCTCAGGTGTGCAACAAATGATCTTGAGGCTGACAAAAAGCAATAGTAGTAGTATAACCGGGTGCGCAGCCGCACTAGCCGCAAGCAGGGAGGTGCAACTGCATTATTGGCAGTGTTCAAGGCAATCTCCTTGTCAATGGCTGGCTGTAAGACATGTTCCAAATTACCCAGAGTATGAGCACACCATCTTGACGGGAAGAGACCCCTTGCTATCTAATAGAGACAGTCAAACTCATGCAGTCGAGATCGTGGTCTCGATCACGCCGAAACCATAATTTGACGCTCTGTGTGATATGTAAACGGTTCCTCTGCTCTCCACAAGGGCGGCGTTGCGTTGATGTTAGCCTCGCTTAGATATCGCCGTGGCCCGCATCCGAGTCCCATTTCTCCAGACCTGCGGAGTCCAGCGCTATAGTAATAGCTAGAGAGCGATGAACGGCGCGGCTTGGCTGTAGGTTGTGCTGCTCGAATGGTCTGTCTCGAGACGGCCATGCCTCTTCGACAGTCTCCTGATCTGCGCAGGTCGGCTTGATCGTAATGTCGAGCCCTGGCATCAGGCGGTTAGCAAGGAGATTGCTCTAGGGGAAATTGATCCAAACACAGTGCATTTCAGGTAGATCAATGTAGCCCTAAGCAAACGGGCCAACAGATTTCAAGACGTCCAAAGAGCGCAATGCGCATAAAGGAGGATGTTCGTCGACAATCAGTATGCGAGGTTTCAACTGTGGGGTTGAGTTGCGGCAGACAATCTGATACATCACGCATCTTTCCCGCCTGCTGTCTGGTGATCGTCTAAAGGCCTGATGGAGTTTCAAGCAGTCAATGGGTTGTCGTCCAACATTGCAGAGAAGAGATTGCATCTTTGCGCATCTGTCCATGAAGAGGGAGATCTGAAGCTCGCAACGTTCGACAGCAGGGAAGGCGAGTGGACAATGTTTCAAGTGAGGCAGGAAGGGCTCAAGGAACTGTACATGGAAGGCTGTTCACGTGATCCAGCTCGCGACCACAGTGGATGGATGGATGAAGCAGTTCTTTCAACTCAGGGGATAGAATCCTCTTGCACGAGCTTTGTAATTGAACATGCAGTGATTAAGCAATGTTTGAGGGGAGGACTGAGCTGCTATCAATATAAGTTCACACGTATGTATAGAGACTGTGGCGTAACTAACAGGCAACACCCGCTGGTTAGCGCAAGTTCCTTGTCAACGAAGCTCGTCTTCCCGCTCGGCTAAAGTAGCTCCAATCTCAGTGGCTTGTCCTGTGCTGGTGATGGGGGTCTTCGTAGATCAGGAGCTATCGTTTGGATCTCATCATGCACTCGTAAGCTCCCCACGAAGAAGGCGAAATCAGTAGGTGCCTATGAGATATTCTTGCACCCAGCCAGAAGAGAACAATGGGACTTGCAAGTTGTTGCAGCCCTTGTGCTCGCAGCAGAGCAGTATCTACACACTACAGTCCTAGCCTTGTAGCAATAAGAAGCGTGTTGCATTTCGGCTATCAAACTACGTAGCTGTTTCGCATCCTCTCCTGGCCTTTTGCTTGCATCCATGCCCTGGATTGTGTTCCCTCCATCAGACGCCCTCGTCAAGGGGCAGCTGTAAGAAAATTCGAGCAAACACTCGAATGACGAAGAAGTCGCCATCTTCACATGCTCACAAACGACGTCATCTACTCTGGTGCTGAGCCACAGCGTTCGCGCTTGTTGAGAGAGCGCACCGCCACAACTTCTAGCCTCACCCCCGTCTTCATGATGACGTCGCACAGTTGCCCCGCCGAAACACCCCTCAATCAAGCTGGTGCTCTCGTGGGGAGTTGTTGCGATACTAAATTGCGCGGCTGCCTCCCACCAGCTAAGCTGAAGCCACGATCCGTATAAATTGCCACGTTTGTGCTCGTCATCTGCCTTGCATCATTTTACCTTTTCTCACCTATTCTCACTCCTACCTTACCTTAAGCAACCTCAGAAAACACCTGTTGCGAATCAACCTACAACTGTCCAAACACACAAACAACACACAACCACCAAGATGACTGCCACCGTTCACGTCAAGAACATTGCCGCCTCCACTGGCGATGCTGAAATCAAGGACTTTTTCAGCTTCTGGTTCGTCTACTATCCCGCCGTGTTGGATCAAGCGACAGCTAGGCTAACCTATTCGCAGTGGCAAAATCAACGACATCAAGGTCACCACCGAGGGCGAGACGAAAAGCGCAGAAGTCATCTTCGAGAAGGAGACGGCCATGAAGACTGCCCTTCTGCTGAACAACACACAACTCGGCCCCAACCACATCACCGTCTCCAGCGCCTCTGGCGACTCCGAGGATGACGGCTCGCACTTTGCCCAGTCGGGCAACAACACAGACGAGATCACGCAGGAGATGAAGCCGCGCACCCGCATCCTGGCCGAGTACCTCGCCCACGGCTACGTCGTCGGCGACGCCGCGATCCAGCGGGCCATCGAGCTCGACCAGAAGCACGGTGTCTCATCGCGCTTCCTCAGCACCATCCAGGACCTCGACAAGAAGTACCAGGCCACCGACCGTGCCAAGACGGCCGACCAGAGCTACGGCATCACCCAGCGCGCCGGCAACTTCTTCAGTGGCCTGAGCAGCTACTTTGAGAAGGCCAGCAACACCCCCACTGGCAAGAAGATTGCCCAGTTCTACCTCGACGGATCACGACAGGTGCAGGACATTCACAGCGAGGCCCGGCGGCTGGCTGATCTGAAGAAGGAGGAGTACGGCGGTAGCGCGTACAAGGCTGCTGGCCTTGATAAGGTCTTTGGCAAGCAGCAGGAGAAGGAAAAGGAGCAGCAGAAGGAGCCTGAGCAGAAGGGGTCCGAGCAGACGGAGCAGAAGCCTGGCGACGCTAGCTATGCCGCTGCAGCCGCTCCTGCTGATGCAAAGACTGGTTAAAGGAAAAGAATGGAGTAGTAAGCCGCGAAATTGCCGCATGATGTTATGAAATAAGGAAATGAGTGTTTATAGTATTCACGCGTTCGGATGATTCTCGTCGGACTGTTTTCAATTCACAGGCATGGGATAGTTTAGCGGTGCGATAATTGATGCTCTGAATTCACTCTTGCAAGATGACATTTTCTATCGTGTTTACGACATGTACTGATCCCTCGCTGGAGTGCTTAAGACTTCAAGTCGACTACTCTCTTATCACTGGCATGGGATGGTACGGCGAGCAATGAATAATGCTGCGACTTGACTTACCGTACAGAGTGTCATTTTCTCATTTCCGACTGTAAGATTCCTCGTAACTATTTACGACTTCAAAACATTGTGTACGACTTCAAGCACGGGCATTGGATAGTGTAACGATGCAATGATTAATGCTATAAACTGACTATTGTACAGAGGATACCGATTTCTCTCGTGTATCCGATTGCTTCCCAATTGCCTCCAATCTCCTCTCGTTACTGGTTCAACGGAGTGTCTATAATGGTATTAAAAAGACGGCCTATGAAGCCGCGCAGCCTCAGAAGCTACTCACAGTTTCCAGGTTCCTTGGAAAACTTGTGTTCGAGGACGTCGTCCATGGGGCCCTTGGGGTTGGATGTGAGTTTCTGTCACACACACCTTGGTTAGCAACTGGTTTTTTTGGGTTTCTGCGCAACGAAGACATCCTTCTCTAATTCTTGCGACTTACATCGAGCTGGGCCTTGGGGTCTTTGTTGTCCGCCTTGTCGTAGTTGGGCCCCTTGCCGGATCCCGTGGGATCCTGGAGCTGACGGCCGCTCTGGCGCTCGGGAGGAGGGGATTGACGTCCTTCAGGCATGGTGAAGTGGGTGTGGCTTGTTGGTGATTTCGGTTTGGTGTAAAGTTGGAAAGTTCTGTGTTGTTCGTATGGTGGTACGGGATGAAAACAAGAACAAAGTTCAATCGATGTTGTGCTTTTGGTTTGTTTAAATGCCAGTCCGGACGTACTTGTATGTGGTGGATGGGCCCTGACGTCAGCGCCATCACGGGCCGCGCTATTGCATCATGTTGATGTCGTTTGCAAGGAGAAACGGGGAAAATGGATCGAGGCGGATAAGATAAGTGCAAGTTCAAACTGCGATGAGTGGAAACTGGAAACTTCATGTGCAAACTGGATTGGCTGTGGAGAGAAATCTGGGATTGGGTGATCGGAGCTTGAATCTGCATCTTCAGATGCGGTCATGTTGGAACGGCAAGTACTTGGTGCTGGATGTCACTTGTCGGCAGTTGTGGTGGGCACCTTCAAGTTGTGCCGCCAAGATGGAGTCTCTGCGAACGGAGGTATAAGACTTCAATCGGTCACAAATTACCTGGTACTCCTATTTGACAGACAATGTCTCGGTGCTTACTCTGTCGTCCAAGTTCATCTCAAGCAATATTCAATCCCACTTCAGAAGTACCAGACGTCATGGACCAGTGCAGCACAATGCAAGTGTTATTTGGACGTCTCACTGCACAGTCCAAGGTAAGGAGGTGGCCTGATTAGACAATTTCTCGAATGGCTGCGAGCCCCTGTCTCAAAACCCCGCAGGTGAACTCTGTCGGTTATACTGCTGCACTGTAATCCAGACTGTGGCGGGAGATAAGGCCACATAAGGTAGGACGAGTGTTGGGAGGATGTTCAAGCTGTCTATTTGGTGAGTCGGTAAAGTGCCCCTATCAAGCAGGGTAAAAAGGACAGGTGAGGTTTGCTCAAGGTGAACAGGCATGGAATACTAAGACCGAATGCGACAAAGCACACCTTGCTGAATAACCACCAACCCCCTGAAGCACCAGCGCCAGCGGCTTGTCGGGGGGCCGTTTTAGTGCCCGCGGCCACCACAAATTCCACTCACCCCGCACCCAACAGCCCAATCGCGAGCGCACCACCAGACCGAAGGGGGGTGCCTGGCCCGTATCGACGAATCCGGTGACCTCGGCCAGCACGTCTCTCTGCTCTCAACCCGGTCTCGACGCCGCAACGACACGACACACCGCAATCCCCAATCTCGTTTGCCCGCTGCTCTTCTCTTGTCCCTCTCGCAACAGCAGCCCCGGCCCTGTCAACCACCGCCATCGCCGGCCCGTTGAGCGAGATTAAACGCCACAGACAGAGCAAAGACCAGCAATCGGCAACCGGCAAGGGAACGGGGAAAAAGGAACAAGAGAGAGGAGAACTGAACAGAAGCCGAAAAAAAAGGGTGCTCTCCGTACAAAAGCAAAGATGCCGGATCTCAACTCGGTGCCCCCCTCGCCTCACGTCCTGGCCAGCGCCACAGCGTCTCGTCGCCAGTCCGCCAACCTCCAGTCCGCATCGTCGCCGCCGCAGTCCGCCTCCTCCTCGGTCAACATCCTGCCCTCCAACCAGGCCGCCGTCAACCAGCACGTTCCGACCCAGGCTCTGCCCTCTCCCGGACTCCCGCCTCAGTCGCCCATGGGCTCCTCCGATGCCGCCGTCGGGCCGGGCCCGGGTCCTCTGCGACACCCACGGCCGCTGACGGCTTCAGAGCTTCACATGCAGCTGGAGAAGGAGCAGGAGGCAGTGGTATGACATTTTCCGCTCGTGCTACGACAAGCGCCGTGGCGCAACCATTCGCTGACCATCAGGACAGGTGAATCGTCTAACCCGCGAGCTCTCGCTGCTTCGTGCCGCGCACAATGCGTCGGTTGTTTCCAACGCCTCCTCAACGTCGAACGCTACCTCTTCCCACGATCCCATTGTCGAATCGTCGCTCTTGTCCGGCTCCGGATTCTCGATTCCCACCTCTCGCCGCCACCACAGAACGTCGTCCTCCACCTCCCAGACATTTCCCAATTTCGCCTCGTCGTACGAGGCCCGAGCTCGAACGTCCCATCCGGCATCGCTCTCGCGTCAAAACAGCAGTGCGTCTCGCAGAAGCCAGACTGGATCGCCCGCGCCGCCTAGCTCGATAGATCCCTCGACCTATTTCCACCAACAGAGGAACCCGGCGGCTGCCAACTCCGTCATGATGAGCTCAGTGGTTGCTACCCCTGGTAGCTCCGTACCGGGCGACCAGATGAGCCCTGGGCTGCTGCCTGCAACGCTTCGCTACGAGGAGACGGCCTTTTACCGACAGGAGCTGGACAATGCAAAGAAGGAGAACGAGGCCCTCAAGCGCCGCATCCGAGAGCTGGAGAGAATCGTTCGAGAGAGGCGATCCAGTGACGCCAGCAGGAATAGGAGCGACAGCGCGAGCACTACGGCAAGCGCAAGCATTGCACCAGGTGGCGGCGTCAGCATCGCCGGCCCTCGAGAGAGCATCTATGGCCAGGGCCGAGACCGCGAACGAGCCATGCAGAGCACCACGAGCTTGGCCGGCGGAGTCAGCATTGGTGTCTCCGACGAAGAGGTGAAGGTAGGCGAGAGCGCCGCAAGTGGACGACCCGGAACCGACAACTAGGAATATCCTCGAGGGCTCCGTATCATCAACTAGATTACTATTTTCAAAGACGGGCGGGCAGTACTATGGAAGATTTGGGTCCTGTTGCCCGAGGGGGATCTTTACGGCGTTTATGGAGCTCATCAGCGAGACTTTTGAGATGATTCTCAAAACCGGTTAATTTTTCTTTGCTTTTCCTTTATCTATTGTCTCGGGTTCGCTGTTATCTCTTGGACGGGGCAGAAAAAGACCGATGGCCTTGATAACTCATAGAGTTGTTTTTCTTCTTTTTCCTTGTCCTCCTTTGCCAGTTCTCTTACAGCACAGAATACTAAACCAGCTTGATGCCGAGTCGGCACACTTCAGTTTCGCAATCAAGAGATTCAATGACTTATGAACCATGGACTTCTGATACCACCTGGTTCCCAGTTCTCGCTTCATTAAACCAAACAACTTTCCCCTTCTCTGCTCTCAAAGTCGAGTCACAAACATCCAACAGACCGAGTCTTGGTGGGAGGAGATGATGAGGGTGAAGAGACTTCTTCAATCGGATGACGCCTCTTCATGAGACGCCATGGTCCTGAGCTTCTTCGCCCTCTTCTTAAGGACATCGACCAGAGGCTTCTCGTCATCAGAGTCATCGGACGCAGCGAAATAGTCGCTATACTCCATGCTCCCCAATGTCCGACATCTTTTCGGCCGCGTTTCTCTCCCGCTGAGGGGCAAGTCCTCCGAATCATGACCAGAATCTCCTCCGCCTCCAGGGGTCTCTGGACAAGTAGGCTCTTCGTGCTGCGGCGCCGACGACTCGACCACCTGCCCTTGCTCCTGCTGCTCCTCGTATTGGCCATCTCCACTTCCCTGTTGTTGTCCATTTCCGTCCTCATCGCTGTCTTCCTGCTGCTGCTGTCGCGCTCGTTCACGCTGACGCTTGTCGCGCAGGTAGAAGAGCACGTCGCGAATCAGTTTGCCCATCTTGACGCGCTCTTTGGAGGGGGAGTCCTTGTAGATTACGGCAACGGCGCAGCGGAAGATCCATGATTCGTATGTCTTTTCCTCGAGCATTTTGGCGGCGAATTCTTTTTCCTGGGTCTGCGCTGCGAGGTCGGCAGCGAGGCTTTCGTTTGCGGTATGGAGCTCCTTTGCCTTTTCTTGTTCTTTCTCCAGTTGTTGCAAAAGGGCATCGTATGCTGAGGTTCTAATGTTGACCTCCTGCACCTTGTGTTTTTCTGCCTCGAGTTCCTCTAGGATGGCATCGTGGGCTGCTCGGAGGCTCTCGCATTTGGCTTTGGCCTCGCTGTTTTCTGCGTTGAGAGTCTCTATGGTGCTCGCATGGGCTGCGAGGACTCTCAGGAGGGACTCATTCGTTGTGTGAGCCTCGTCAGCTTTTGCTTTTTCTTTGTCGAGCTCTTTTCTGGCGCCATTAAGAGCGGCTTTGAACTTTCTGTAATCCGCTCCGTAAATGGACGCTTCGCGTTCCCTCTCTTTGATGGAGAGTTGCAGGGCTACGTCAAGCTCTTGGCACCTTTTTTCGAGGCTATTGTACTTGTCCTGAGCATTTTGCTCTCTCTTTTCGAGAGCCAGAACGAGCCGAGTCACAGGATATTGATCGATGGATTGTTCGCTAGCTTCGGTCGTGGTCGATGTGGTCTCTGTCTGGGTCGAAGAAGAAGAAGCATCATTTCCTGTAGCGGCGTTGTTCTTCCAAGGACTCAGTCGAATGACTGATCCCTTGAGGCCCCTTTGGTGGCTTCGGCCTTGGTGCTGAGATGGCGAACCTTGTTCATCTCCGGAGTTGGGGGTTCGTTTCGAGCCGTCTGCTTGCTTCTGCCGGCCACGAGGAGTGGTTACGGAGTTGGGAGGCGGTTTAGTCGTCATTGAGCGCAAAGCAATGTTGGGAGGAGGATGGCTGGTGATTCTTAAGGGTTCTCGAAAACGACGAAAGGCAGGAAGAAAGGGGATGGGAAAAGAGAAGGCGGAGGCAGTTAATCATTTCTTCCTCGAGTTTGCTTTTGTCTCCTATGTTTTTGCCAATCACATTGCATAGCCTGTGGGTGAATCGAAAGTGAGCGAGGGTTGAGCACAGCATCTTACGCAAGTGAATGAGGTGCCCATATACTCCCTTCTACCGACTTACCAACTTTTTTTTATTTTCTCAATCTTTGACTAGAGAGTCATCTACATAAAGATTCAATACGATCTTACATTAGATCATCAAGCAAATAGTTCTGGTCAGGGGTCTTGGCGAGGCTACCTGAAGCCATCGCGACATCAGCGGCTCGACTCTCAGGGTTGCCGCTGGAAAGGCGTGTGCTACAATGTGGCATGTCACCGCAACAACTCGGCTCTACTGTCATAGCAGCCAGTATTCTCCAAAGCCTCATCCAATTCAGCATCTTGTTTTCATTTTGATAGATGCTAATATCATACCTAACAACTCCCACCCGGAACACTCCTCGGAATATACATTTCACCGAAGCGATACTCAAACTCCCACCCCTGAATACGTAGCAACTTCAAATCAACACCCTCAATCAACCTGACAAGTCAAGACCACTCCCTTGGGATCCTTGGTTTCAGCATCTCCCCACGTCGCTTCCCATCCGTGATCCGCCAGATACACCTTCCAAGCCTCGTCATCGTCCTCCAGCCTGCGCGACACGTCTGGAATGACGAAGAAAGCCACGAGGCCGCCCAGCACGGCAAAGGCAGAGCCAATGAGGAACGCCACCTGGTTCCCCTTGTCCGGGTCGCTGGCGTACTTGTTGAGGATGGCCGTAAAGACCTGCGTGCCGATGGCGGCTCCGGCCTTGGACCAGGCGCTGATGAGGCCCATCATCTGGCCGCGGATCGACGTTGGGAAGCTTTCCGAGGCGGTCAGGACGACGGTGCTGCATATTGAACACTGTCAGCGGTCTGCTTTGAGACTATCCACTGGGGAACTGGGAGAGAACAAGGCTGAATGCGATGGTACGGATACACACCTTCCGGGTCCCACCTCGCCGAGCGTCAAGAAGATGCCATAGAGCACAACAAAGAGTGGGAAAACTGTCTGGATGGGGCCAATCGCACCGCCCAGGACAAAGCCCAGTATCGCCTGCAGCCCGAAGCCGAGGGCCATTGTCTGTCGTCTTCCGATCCTGTCAGACAGATAGCCTCCCAGGAAGGGCCCCGGGAGATAGAAACAGTTGATGAGAACACCCCATCCGAGGGACTTGGTGAGACTCTGTCCAGCGTTGGCGCGGTTGATGATGGTTGAGCTGAAGATTCCAAAGGGAATGGAGATCCAGTTATACAGAAACCAACTGGCCGCAGCTCCGATGAGTGGCCGGTAGTACCGCTTCAGGGCCAGCCAGTACGGCACACGCTGCTTTCTCATGGCAGACTTTCGATAGGCCGTCGCAACAGCCATGCGCACGCGGAACCAGAAGATGCCGAGCGGAGGGATCGCGCCAAGAGCAAACGACGTCCGCCAGACGATGTGGTACTTGTCTTCTTTTTGGCCGACGCACAGCAGCAAGAGAAGAGGCACCAGCCCGCCAAAGACATACCCAAGGTCAGAGGAGAGGTCGGCCAGCATGGCAAACATGAAGCCGCGGTGCTTGCGGTACTGGCGGCTCTCGTCGGTGGCTTCGACGGCGCCGGCGCCCGACACGGGATACTCGCCCCCGGCCCCGACGCCGGCAACGCCTCGGGCAACGATGAGCATCCAGAAGAGACCCTTGGTCGAGGTGCCGTTGGCGGCCGCGGACATGGCGATGCCCAGCACGAGGAGGATGGTGGTGGCCACGGCGCCCGTCTTGCGGCCCAGCTGGTCGACGACGACGCCGAAGAAGAGCATGCCGATGATCATGCCAATGAGGAAGGCGTTGCTGAGGCGCGAGTAGATGGAGTTGGAGAGGTCATTGGGGTAGATGACGCCGAGGAGGAGCTCGACGTTGCCTATCACGGCAGCGTTGCTATGATGGGGTAAGGCGATGAACTTGTTCTGAATGGAGGACTGTGACTTACTAGCCGTCAGATCCAATCGCCAGCCCTGAGAAGAGGACCATCAACCAAACTGAGAGCTTGCTATAGTATCCTTTGGCGGTCTCGACTACGCTCCCAGCTTCAACATCGACATTGTTTCCTTTCTCGTCATCCTTGGCGACATCTTCGGTCACTGTCTCGCCAACAGCCTTGTTTATGGTCTCTGAAGGTATGACTTCCACGTCAAGGACCTCATTTTTCTTTGATTCAGCCGCCATGCTCGTTGCAGTTGAAGAGTTCTATCAAGTCCTCCCTCTCCGCATGAATTCGCATTGAACCAAGTGCACATGAGAACGACTAACACGAAGAGGGGCTGCAGGTAGGGTTACATGCGCTTTTCCCTCAAGTTCATGCTGGTCTTGCACGAACCACAAAAACAAGTCTTGCAGCACTTGGAGGCTATTCCCTTGCTCTACTTGGGACGCTATTCAGTTAGCCGGAGAAGATCGGCCTCTGGCATGAGATAAGGAACGTTCCCAGACAGTTCCCTCTCGCCAGTGATGACAAGTCAAAACTACGTCGCCCTGCCTGCAAAGACAAATCTCCTGCTTATCACTTTCACAGCTTCTACACACAGGCTCTAATGTGGTTACACAGAGCATGGCTATCTTGTCCTCAATGCTGGTCAATCAAGCCAATTCCCAAGTGCCGTGTTCCCTCCCCAAGCCATGCGCGCCAACTTCACGTTGAGACAAGAAGGGCATGTACGCCAAGACGATGTTATAATACAATGCTTTCCTAAACCAGTTGGCCGAACGTGGGGCTTACTTTTAAGGTAGAGATGGAGTGACATTCAAGGTGTGGATATTCGAACTACCTTATGATAAGGCAGGACAACTTGCAAGATAACAAGACGCTACAAACATGCGAGGACCGCTTGGGAAATGTCTCGTTGCATTGAGCCGACGACAGAAGATGCAGCCATTCGCGCGAATGATACACACCGAGCGAAGACGAATACAGCACTATTACCCCCCACATCAACGTCCATATCAAAGAGCGTCGAACCAACGGGACCCATCATGGAGAGGCGTAGCAGGGGAGTACGTCACATCTTCGGGCAACTCTGGTGCTAACTTGGGGAAAACACCATTCAGCCTATTAGCCGACGACTCAAAGCGGGTGGCAGCTCCTCGCTCTCGAGTCTGCCATGAAGCCAGTGTTTGGAGTCTCTCCGCTATCGCAGCTCAGACGTGATTATATACGCTGTCGCTACATCCTTGGCTTATCGATGAGCTTCGTTCCATGGGCAGGTTAGTAGTCAATGGTCCTCGTGTTGCGGTTTAGATTCTGACCTCTATCGACAGAAATTGGCATAACACTCGGCGCTCTGTATGCTTGATGAGAAATTGATGGACGCGATGGGTAGCCAGACCATTCCCGGCGAAAAGGGTGCAACGCTTCCAACAACAGCAACGCCGTCATCACAACTGCTGCAAGGAGAACTATCCCAGAATCGTGCTTCCTCAAGGAGATTCCGCATCTGCATCTTCACAATCCTTCTCCTCACCCCCTTACTCCTCTTCCAAAACGCCCACACCAGTCCCTTGTCCCTCTACACCTCGCACCACAAGCCCAACGTCGCCAGCGTCCAGCAATGCTCCATCGACAACCTCAAGGCAGACCTCTCCTTCCTGGACGGCGCGAAGCCCATTGAGGCCGCAGAGTTCCTCCTCCGCAGAGACCGTCTGGCCCAGGCCCTCGCCGCCAACAAGGTCGACGCCTTCGTCCTTGAGCCTGGCTACACGTTCCAGTACTACGGCAACGTCTCGCAGCACGATTGGGAACCATGGGAGCCCGAGGAGCGGCCCTTTCTCATGCTCATCATGCCGCAGGCTTCACCCGACGGCAGCATCTCCGCAAAGACGGCGTTCCTGTCGCCGCATTTCGAAGAGGGCCGCGTGCGCATGCTGGGCATCCCGTCCCGTGACGACGCAGAACTGGACATTGTCGTCTGGGAAGAGCACTGGAACCCATACACGACGCTCCTCGACTCGAGACTGTTCGCTGGCAGCAGCAGCAGCAGCAGCAAGGCGGCCCCGACGCTCATGGTCGACGAGGAGATGCGCGACTACATCGTCCGCGGGCTCGCCGCCGCAGGCTTCCGCACCGTCGGCCTCAGCCCCGAGGCCGAGCTCGTGCGGCAGCAGAAGACGGCGGCCGAGGTGGCGATCCTCCGGGCCGTCAACACGGGCACCGTTGCCGCCGTGCGGGCCATGCGGCCGTGTCTCGTCCCCGACCTGACCGAGGACCAGGTCACGGCCATCCTGGACCGGACGCTGCTCTCGATTGATGGCTTCGGGCTCTTCTTCGACATTGTCCTCATCGAGGAGCACGGCGCCCTCCCGCACGGGGGCTTCGTCACGGGGGGCAAGAAGCTGACGTACGACTCCATGGTCGTCATCGACGTCGGCGCGCACTACCTCGGCTACTCGTCCGACATTTGCCGCAGCTTCATGATCGACCCTCCTCCTCCCGGAAGACGAGTCGTTTTTCCCTCGGACCCCCTGCGTGCCGAAAAGGAACAAGTCTGGCGCATCGTCCTGGACGCGCAGACCGCCGCCGCCAGGGCCATGAAGCCCAACGGCACGGCCGCCAGCGTCGACATTGCTGCCCGGTCCGTCATTGAAGAGGCGGGCTACGGATACGGGTTCACGCATCGCCTCGGCCACGGCATTGGCATCAAGGCGCACGAGTCGCCGTACCTGAACAAATGGAACACTGGCTCGCTGCTCCAGCCCGGGATGACGTTCACCAACGAGCCGGGGATCTATCTAGAGGGGAAATTCGGGGTCAGACACGAAGACATTTACTTGGTCAAGGAGGACGGCGAGGCAGAGCTCCTCACGGGCCAGCGAGCACGAGGAATCTATGAGCCTTAGAAGAATTCGAATGGATCAAGGATATACATAACGCAGGTGGGGGGTATCATTGCATAAACTCCTATCTAGAAGATATCTCATGTACCAATTCTTGTCTTTCCGATCTTTTTCCTCCCGCTATATACAATTGCCATCGTTGCCACACAAACACCACGCACAAATCACATCACCACGTCCGAAGAAGAAGAAGAACAAGGAGCCCCATCCACAGGAAACCCGCTCGCAATCGCGCTCCGCGGCAAACTCCGCAGCCACGGCAAGCCATCCGCCTCCGGGACAGGACTGTGGCTCAGGCTACAGCTCACATAGACGTTGCCGTCCACGTAGGCCCAATCCGACACCTCCGTCGCGCTCTCAGCCACGACGCCGGGAAACGGCGACGCGCTCACCGCCGCGCAGAACCACGACATGTGCTGGAAGACGTCGACGAGGGTGTGAGGCCTCGCGCTGACGCTCATCCGGATCCACGAGCCCTCCGTCTCGACGTGGACGAACCGCAGGCCCGGACACCGCGCGCCCCTGCCGTCGCTGCCGTCCCAGACGGACATGCCCGAGAAGGCCTCCCCCTGGAGGAGCGACGAGGCCGCGTTGAAGAGCGCCTCGTCGAGGCACCCCAGCACGACGGGGCCGCACCTGGGCCACTGCCGCTCGGTGTACTCCGCCACCGTCATCACGCAGACGTGCTCGGCCGCCGTCCCCGTCACCACCGGCAGGGACGCCAGGCGGATGTACGCGAGATCGCCGAAGCCCCCCAGCGGGTTCAGCAGCTGGCACTCGTACTTGAACTGCACGATGTGGAACCCGTCCGCGGGGGGCCTCCCGGGCCTCTTCAGGACGATGTCCCAGATGGCCGACTCGGCAAAGTGCATCTGGACGTGGTGCGGCGACAGGAGCAGCCGCCTCATCTCGTCCACGAGCGACCTCGCGGCATCCCCCGTCGTGACGAGCGTGTGCAGCGCACGCGCAATCTGCTCCGGCGAACCACCCGGGGACAGCTCCGGAAACGCACGGTGCCAGAAGCCGCACAGCAGCTGCAGCGCCAGCTCGAGGTCGATGCCCCGGGCGTCGTTGCTCGCCCACGTCAGAGGCCGCCTCGACAGCCCCGGGCCCAGCTCGTCGAGCACGCAGCGCGCCGCCTCCGGGCCGTTGAGTATGAGCACGAGCTGCCTGACGGGCCCCTGAAACAGCAGCTCGACCTGCCGCGAGAGCTGGCTGCTCCTCCTTCCCCCCGAGGGCTGCTGGTCCGCGTCGTGGTAGAACCGGAACAGCTCGTCCCAGAGCTGCCTCGCAAAGGCGGCCATCAGGCGGTCCACGACGATGTCGAGGTTGGGCCGGAGCCTGCGGTGGTGCGGGACGTAGTAGTGCGCGAGCAGGAGCTCGCTGCCGCTGCCCAGGCCGTCGGCGAGGGTCCTTGCGAAGGAGGCGACGAGGGCGCCCGCGACAAGGGGCGGGAGCTGGACCTCGATGTTGTTGTTGTTGCTGTTGTTGTTCTGGGGCTGCTGCTGGGAGAGGCATGTTGGAAACGGCGGCGTCGGGGGCTTGTTGACGGGGGAGTAAGGGGATGGGGATGATGGTGGTGGTGGTGGTGGTGGTGCGGGTGTCGTGCTCCTTAGGGTTTCCAAGGGCGGTGGTGGCATTGTCTGGTCATGGCTGAGTCGACTGATGATTGAAATTGAGGATGATGAAGGAGGAGAGGATGTGAAAGAAGTAAAAAGATGAGTTGCGATGAGTTGGTTTGAGGAAGTGCGTTGCGTAGTAAATGTATGAGAAAAAAGATATCATGGCGTCGTGTAAGCCATAAGCCGCATCACCACCAGGCTACACCACCCTTCTTAGACCAGCACACACAACCTTGAGCTCGCGCCGCAGTCCCGGAACACGCAAACCAAATTCAAAGAACTCCCACTGCTCATTTCAATACCCTAGCTTTTATTCAAAAGAGGGTAAAAAAGAAGAGTACAAACTTCAGCAATGAGGGCATAGTTGTATAAGGCAAGCCTGTCAAAAAAATAAAGTGTATGTAAGCTTCTTTTTTTGAGGTTGAGAAGAGGAGCTGACGTTGCAAGCATTGCGCGTCCCCTGCTCTGCTACCCACGAGCTAAGACAGAATGGCATGCGTCTGCCCGTTTTTCTCTCTCCAGCACAAAAGGACTCGCCACACATTGCCGTTTTCAACTCTTTTACACAGGGAACAACGATCTGCCGAGATATTCTTGCGAAGCTTGAATCGCGTGAATCGAAATTCTTTTATTCAGATACGTAAGCATTTCAGTGCCTGGAAGACGCTTGAGGAGTTGCGCGTCTTGCGGATCAAAGACGGCATTCATCTCTGTGGCTTAACATACTGAAGAGAACCTACCTATGGGATTCAAGCATGATGCGCAAACAACTCGTCTCACCTCCCTCGAAGAAGTTATCAAAGCCCTTATCAGAAAGATGCTACAAACCATTCAATTAAGAGACAATCTGTAATTCAATAGATGCAGTTGGCCTGAGTGTACATACTAGTAGTTGTAGGGTGAGCGACCCGAACGGTGACGTACCACCAGAGGGGGCCCCCCAAATCGGGTACAGCTGCCTTGATAAAGGAGACCGTGCATTCGACGACAACAGCAAATCATCAAGGTATCTGATAGTCCAACCCCTACAACTACAAATACATATACAAACGCAGATGCACTTAATTTATCAACTCGATAAAAGCATCTCCACTGATTCCTTCTTCCTCGTGAGACCTCCGAGTGATTACAAGATGCGTGGGGATGCCCGGAATTCTACAGGTTGCATACATTATACATCAGTATCTGTACGTGTAGCAACTCCACGCAACACCCTGAACTTGACACGATGCTTCCAAGGAGAGCCGACATATGAAACAAACAGCTCCCAGGGCCGAATACAGAGCAGCTCATCGCAGTAAGTAAAGGTGCATTTTGGTTCGTAGCAGATACTTCATAAGGAAATCCCAAAGGCAGGCCGTCGTGAGGCTAAAAGTGCCGTCCATGAACCCAATTGGACCGTTCCTGAAGATGCTGCATGTGGCTGCTGCGGTGCTTCTCTTGTCGTACTCGTACGCAAGTACAGTATGAAGAGCAACACTCAACTCGCGAGAGCAGCAGTACAACCCGTCGATCGCTGCCGACCCCGCATCCATCGACAATCAAAGAGGGGAAGCTGACAATCCACGCGCCGCTACGATGATCAGAGCATCAGTCTCAAGTCAAATAGACATCACGTAGCAACAAAACGTCGACTACGAGTTCAGTTATACATTAAGAGCGCAGAGCACTCCGTTTCCGAGACTAATTCAGTACATTGGCGATGCTTCCAGCACTCGCAATATGCCCCGACCAACAACATCTAGTTGCAATATCCCGGGCGCCGACTCGCACCGAACCGCGAAGCCAAACAAAAACAGTTGAAGGAACTATTGGAACAGACATTAGGGATGGGTAGGTGCGTCATTACTCGTCCGCATCCTTGTTCTTCTTCTTCTTCTTGCCGCCGCCGCCGCCGCTTGACGAGCCCGTCGCCGGCTGGCTCTGCAGATGTACTTCAAAGTAGTTCTCGCCTCGTTCCCATGCGAAGCCCTTGAGATATGGGTTGTCAAGCTCGTCATCAGCCTGCAAGCATGTTAGCCAGTCATTCATTGAGAAGGTATGACTGCGTCCAGAGCTTACTCGGTTCTTGTTCGCCTTGTGAATGGCCGACAGTGCGTCGCCTATTGTCAGGCCCTTCATGTTGCGAGCCACGACCTCTTTGCCATGGGGGAACTTGAGCGTTATGCTCTTGAGCGGAGGCTTCGTCAGAGGAATCTGTAGCAGCTGATCATTGTCCAGGTCCTTTGGCCGCTGATTTATTTTCCTGGTTGGTGGAAACAAACAAAGCGTTAGCATGTTTGGAGCGACAAACAAGCGTCGTGGCGAGACGAGGTAAACCAGTAGGGGAAACATACCAAGCAGTCTGCTGCGTCTCCACAGCCAGCTCCAGGGGCGCATTGCTTTCGTCTGTGGCAGGGCGTCAGCAGGTTGGTCGCCGGAAGCGCAGGAAGCATACGGGGAGCAACTTACTGATTTCCGCAATGGTCATGACACCAGCCGCACTAGAGCTTGTTCTCCTATGGCCCTTCTCTTTGGGCGGCGATGATGACAGGCCTTGAACGGCGGAATCGACCTTGGTGAGAGGTTCAGACATGGCGGTGGCTGGTTGGTGGTGTTGGGATCAATACGGATCCAAAAGCTGAAGTGGCTGTGTGTGAGAAAGAGAATGTCGCTGTCAGGACAAGAGCCAAGACGCATTCACTCACCAGTTGATGAAGTTGTAGATGGAAGATTGAAGGAAGAGTCAATGGGTTGTGAGGTGAAAGGAAGAGGAGAAAAGAGGAGAAGAGGAGGATTGGAGAGAGGGGAAGCAGTGGCCTGATAAAGGGCAGGAAGGAGCGGGAAGGGGACCAGCGAACATGGAAGGCACAGGCACGGTCGTACTCGCTTCCGCCAGCATCCCATCCCATTGCCTGTCCCTTACGCACTGCAGTTGGCAGGCCCGGGCGGGGTAGCAACTGCCTTCTCCCGGACGGGGAATGAGCATTGGCAAATTGGATCGCGTGACAATGATACCACATTATTCGTTCTTCCACTGTGCAGGATTCCCGCTGGCGATGGCCGGGCCCTGTGTCTGGGTGGTACCCGATTAGGCTTAGCATCACCGTGCAGCGCTAGCAGCAGGTGCTATCCACCAAAATCCGGGGAAAGAATCTGGGGAAGTGACCCACTGGCAGACGAGTACCGGTTGAGATAAAAAAGAAAAAAATAAAAGTCGTGCATCAGGGGCAGATGAGGATGAGGTCATGGTCAACAAGTGCCGCGATCTGGATCTGATGTTATGGTCGCAAAGGCAATCGTCTCCCATCCATTTCCTCCCGGATCTGCTGGGAGAGCAGAGAAGCCGAGCGGTGGCATCACGAACTGCATTCATATCAGCCGTCCAATGCGACTAAATCGCCCCCCTCCCCGTCTCCGGCCGATCTCTCCGAGTGGATCCGGGTACTTGGCTGCGAGGTGCCCACTGCACTCTGCGCAAGGTATCCAGTACATGCATCATACCCTCTTCCACCTTGTCTCAGAATCATCCGTGGGAAAGGGAAGTGACGTACTCCCTCCCTCCATCATTCCATTCAGCCCGGCCAATGATGTTGGCCATGGGCCCAGACTGAATCGCATCCGGACTGTGGTGCAGCGCCATTTTACTGCCCGTCTGGGCATAGATGGCATGACGACGGCGGTGATTGGCTGTTGCGGCTGGTCAGACGCTCAATCGATGCAATGCATTCACTTGGACAGTACAGGACGTACGGTACTCGTATCAGCAGAAGCGTCAGAGTGCAGAACCGAAACGCAACCGTTCTCATCAAGCTATTGACTACTCCGTAGGTATCTATCACTTATTACTCCGCAGCGGCTGATGATGTTGGAGCCCGCCTTTGTTGAATCCAAAATAGCCTCCTTTCCCCTCTCCTCTGCTCTCCTCTGCTCTCCTCTCCTCTTCTGAAGAAGGGAGAATTCCTCTGCATCTCCTCGTCTACTTCCCCCCTGAATCTCGTCCTGTGACAGCATGGTCTGTTGAATCGCGCCTTCATCACATCATGTCCATCCAATCCTCGCTCCAGCGATAGCCAGACAGTCATCCTACTGCGGGACCGTCGGCCTGCACACCGAGCCCCGCTGTGGGCCGTGATAGCACGATGCATCGCGTGTTTTGCCGTCGAGCGTCATCACAACAGCCCACGGCTCCCGTTGCAACGGAGCCTTGCGACGCAACAAAAGACGAGACAAAGAGACGTTATAACGCTCATGGATTGCACGTCACGATGTTTCTTCGCTCTCCCGTTTATGTGACATTGCTTCGAGCCGAGACTCGCCAAAACCTGCTATGAACCCTGGAAAACCCCTGCCACGGCGGCCCCCGTCAATCGAAGCTCGCATTTCACTCGAAACCCGCCGACGCGATAAACCTGCACACATTGTTATTCCAAGAATCACTAGACCATTAGATACATAGATACAGCCGAAGCGAAGAACAAAAGGAGACTCTCAAGAAAACAACCCCCAAAAGCTTTATGTTGTTGATGTTTTAATTGTTCTCATTCTGCACATGTACTAACAGTCAAAGTAACCGCTGAGGACGATGACTCGCGCGGCCCTCCCTCTCATGCGTTCGAAACGAAGCTCGTGTCGTGACATAAACCGCTGTATTCGGCCATAATCATCCTACCTCGATGAAGCCCACCCGCGAACTTTCATGTCTTCCGACGGCATATACCGAGTGTCAGATTACCCTATAGCTCATTGTTGCGAATCGGTGGAGGTCGGCCAAGTCCCGTTCATGCAGTCTGCAAGTGCTGTTCATGTGACTTCAGTTACTGAAGAGTCGAGATACCCTATAGGCTGCCCGGCGAACGTTTGACTGCGCACGATTCCGCAGAGATGAGCCATCGACAACTCACGACGACCGTTTCCGACCGTCGAGCGGTTCCTTATCAACCAAAGACCACGGTGAAACAAGCGTGACCCAAAAAGACCGCAGTCAACATGTACACTTGATCGATGGAAGCCGAGACAAATTCGTGGAAACGACATTTTGATACTGGATTGCGATATGAAGGGAAGACGTACCTCTCAGAAAAAACAAGCACATTCCGCACCCGTGATAGCCTCGCTGTATCGCCAATATGCCCTTTCGACGGCAACCTCTCCGCTTGTGCGATAGATTTACCTTTCCTCTATGGCGATTGAAGTATTTGATGGGCCGTGGACCGATGGACCGAAGAACTCACACTCCACCTCCATTATCAGAATTGAAGTCTGTCTGATATTCCGCAGCGTCGGTACGCCTGAGCAGCATACGCATACCTTATCCTAGATAATTTGCTAACGGCTATCTCCCTTCTCTACGACAGACATGAACACGGCACATTTCGCAACGGATCCCTTACGACGCCTTGGGAAAATTTTTATTGGCCGTTTGAGGCACAGGCGATGCATTGAGTTGGAGGCGAATGGTTGTGATCAACAGGAAGGATTTTCGAACCCAAAAACATTAGGTGGGTTGGGGGGCCAAAGGCACATCTACCGCATCCTACCGTGACATCTCTGCCACCAAATGAGAATGGGCTACGGACAGAAGAAGCAAGAAGAGAGGGAAATGAACTATTTCAGAGCTGGACTTCACTTCCAGACGTGGTCATGCAACTGTATACTGGCATCATATCTCAACAGGTCGTGATGAAAACGGCTCCGAGCACCACTATGATGCACCAATTGTGAACTACGTCCTTAGCAACAAGAGAAGAGGTCAAGGTCGTGAAGGCCCTTACTGTTCTATGCAGTATTCTCAAGCGATACGTCGAGTGCAAGCATCAGCTCAGCTCACGTTCAATTCGGCGGCATCCAAAGCTCGAGCCTTGATTCACCGGGGCAGCTCTCGGCTTCCAGCTCATACGGCAAAAGCGGGACTCCCAGCGGCGGAACCGTTCCGGACCAGAGCTGCCAAAAGCGGGGGAATCGAGGAAGGGGGAGGGGGCGGGGCTTGTCCGCGCAGCTGGCAGATCAATAATAGACCGTGCATGACGGCGCTTGTTTGCGTGGAGCGGCTGCTCACGTACTTTTGTCACCCTCGCTGTGCCGCGATCCTCCAAGATCCGATAGAAACCGTCGGATTCGAGGCGGAATCGGAACCATCCACAGAGCTACACCTCGTTTGGTGCGTAATTGGCCAAGCAAAAGACCGTTTCTGGCGTCATCAGAGACAAGCTTTTACTCAGAATTCGAAAAGATGAAGGGAGGGAGCTTCGGCGTTTGGCGGGATTTCATCCGGTGCCCGTGTGCCGTGATATATATTGAATCTTGACCTTCTCTGCACCACCAGCCTCAGCTGCTGGACATCCTACCACTCCAAGAGCTGCCCTCTCAGCGAACCGATTCAGACAAGCAGCATCCTCTCTCGTCACCCATCGCATCACGTCGCCATCTTATACATCAAAAGGCATTGAGAGAACCGTCACCATGCCTGTCACAGAGTTCGCCACCAAGGAGCGCTACAGATACCAGAATGGCTTCAACAACCATCTAGAGTAAAGCCGTGAACTCCCTCTCTCTCTCTCTTATACACACCATGATAAGACTAACTTCCAGTCATCAAATCAAAGATCCGAAGCCATCGAGGGCGCCATCCCCACCGCCCAAAACTCCCCCCAGAAGCCCCCCTACGGGCTCTACGCCGAGAAGCTCTCGGGCACCGCCTTCACCGCGCCGCGCCACGACAACAAGCAGACGTGGCTCTACCGCATCCTGCCCTCGTGCGCCCACCCGCCGTATCAGCCGGCGCCCGAGTCCCCCGCGGCGCGGGAGGGCGCCGAGCCGGCCAAGCTGCGCTACATCCCCAACCAGCTGCGCTGGGACCCGTTTGACCACAACGAGGCGCGCGACCTCGACTTCGTGTCGGGCATGCGCCTGGTGGCCGGCGCCGGCGACCCGACGCTGAAGCAGGGCCTCGGCATGCTGGTCTACGCCGCCGGCAGGAGCATGGACGAGACGGCCGCCTACTACTCGGCCGACGGCGACCTGCTCATCGTGCCGCAGGAGGGCGACCTCGACATCCGCACCGAGTTCGGCTGGCTGCTCGTCCGGCCGATGGAGATCTGCGTCATCCCGCGCGGCGTCAAGTACCAGGTGCGCCTGTCGTCGGGCCCGGCCAGGGGCTACGCCCTCGAGCTCTACCAGGGCCACTTCGCGCTGCCCGAGCTGGGCCCCATCGGCAGCAACGGGCTGGCCAACGCCCGCGACTTCCAGGCGCCCGTCGCGCACTTCAGCGAGGACTGCGGCGCCACGGCCTCCGAGGGCGGGCGGCACTTCGACGTCACCGTCAAGCTCAACAACGCCCTCTTCCGCACGCGCCAGGCCCACACGCCCTTTGACGTCGTCGGCTGGCAGGGCAACTACTACCCCTACAAGTACGACCTCGGCCGCTTCAACACCATCGGCACCATCTCGTACGACCACCCGGACCCGTCCATCTTCACCGTGCTCTCCGCCCCCAGCGGCGTCCCCGGCACCGCCGTCGCCGACTTCGTCATCTTCCCGCCCCGCTGGCTCGTCGGCGAGGACACCTTCCGCCCGCCCTGGTACCACCGCAACACCATGAGCGAGTTTATGGGCCTCATCTGCGGCGGCTACGACGCCAAGCGCGGCGGCGCCGGCGGCTTCGTCCCCGGCGGCGCGAGCCTGCACAACGTCATGAGCGGCCACGGGCCCGACGCCGACAGCCACGAGGGCGCCCGCAACGCCGAGCTCAAGCCCGTCAAGGTCGGCGCCGGCAGCTGCGCCTTCATGTTCGAGAGCTGCCTCATGGTCGGCGTCACGGAGTGGGGGCTGAGGACGTGCAAGAAGGTCCAGGAGGGATATAGCGAGGAGAGCTGGGGAGGCGTCAAGACGCACTGGGCGAGGCCGGCTGGCAAGGAGGTCAAGAGTCACTTGGCGGAGTAAAATCGAAACGGAAAAAAAAAGGGAGGTTGTGACTTGCAGTGATTTCAAGCGTGTGTCACCATGAAATGTTTTGTAATAGCTTGACTGCGGTGTCTTTTTTTGTCATTGTCGTCTTTTGTATAAGGGGAATCGATGAGCTCCTCTCTGGGTATTGTAGGATATATAGCTTTGGGCCATCCAGAATGAAAAAATTTGTGAAAACAACTCGATCCGTCAAGCTAAAGACTCATCCAAGCTATAACTATATAAACATACAGAAACCTAACAAAAACCTACAAAACCTCGTTATGAGGCAGCAACGCCGCGTCTCCATGCTTTGCCGCATGAGACACCCCTTTCAAGATCACCATACCGCCCGCCCCAAGAAAGGGACCCCTAATCAAACACACAAGCAAACCCAACCCAAAGGTAAAAAAACGCCGGATATCAACACGTCCAAATGCCAGATATCAACTCCCTCCCCCTTAGATATCATACAACGTCACATCATCAACCCCCCCTACTCATCCTTGTCCTTCTCATCCCCATCCTCATCCTCGCCATCATCCTCCACCGCCCAATCCTTCCACCCCTCGCCCCTCAACCAACTCACCCCCTTCCGCCACTGGCCCTCCCGGATGGCCTTTGCATCCCGCTCGTACACCACCCCCGTCACCATGAGCGCCAGCACAAACACCCACACGTCGCCGCCCTTCATCGCCTTCCACCAGCGCCGCTTGACGCCCACCTTCCACAGGCTGTCCACGCTCGCCCGCGCCGTGTACAAGAAGACGCTGCGCCCGTGCCGCCGCTCCACCCACGCCCACATCCCCGCCAGGAACCCGCCGAGGAAGACGCGCTGCGCGGCGAGCACGTGCCGCGGGAGGTACTGCTGGAAGAAGCAGAACGACGCCCACGCCGTCGAGAGGGCGCCCGTGGCAAACGTCGACAGGCGCAGCGCCTGCGAGATGATGCGCTGGATCGTGGCGAACGGGTAGTTGTACAGGTTGCGGAACCGGGGGATGACGGTCAGCGCCGAGTACAGGATGAGGATGAAGCGCGTCATGCTCGGGAAGGAGTTGAGCCAGAAGGTGAGGTAGGTTCGCGCGCAGGACGGGTCGGACGGGTGAAGGGTTGCGCAGGAGAGAGACGTGATGAGGGGGTGAGCCTGCGAGCTCAGGGGCGAGACGCCGGTAAGCGTGGGTGGGAGTACTTCTTTGTTAGGGAACAGGATGGGAGATATAAAAGGTCTGTAAGGGTATCAGCAGAGTGTTACACATACGCAGCCACAGCCTGAATGGTAGGTTCACTTACGGCCAGTTGAGTCGAGCCATCTCTGCAATGTTCTCTAGAATCTGAGACGGTGATGGCCACTTGAGATTCGTGGGATAGTTTTCCGGCCGCGGAGGCAGGTAGGTAGATGAGTTTTTGAAGATGAGTTCCCCAAAGGACTGTTAAGAGCTGTCAGTCAGTAACACGCCCGCCATGTGGAAGAAGGGCAAGGAGACGGGAAACAACGTACAGAAGGGAAGCAATCGGGATCAAACACAGCCGCATGGAACAACTGCCCAAACGCAAAAGGCTGCAGCATCCAGCTCCCAAACCACCACGGCCGCTCGCGGTTCTTGCCGTTCCTGACGCCCCAGATCAGGCCGTCCTTCTCGCACACGTTCCAGCCAAACTCCAGCGCCCGGAAGAGGGCGTAGATGGCGATGCTGACGCGCATCTGGCGCGACGGGTAGATGCCCAGGGCCAGGCCCGCCAGCGAGGCGCCAACGGCCGGCGCAAAGGGCGACGTCAGCGTCGCCGTCGTCCGCGGGTTGCGCAGCCGGAAGGGCTCCGCCTGGGGGTCCAGGAGATGGGCGCGGAGCCGGGTGAGGAAGCGGAAGAGAAAGCGGTAGAGGAACAGGATGCTCGATAGGGAGAGAGAGAGCCGCAGGGCGGGAGACTTGTAGAAGGGCTTCTTCTTGCCGCTTCCGCTTGACCTTTCAAAGACGTTTCTCGTCAGCTATCACCATTCCTTTTTTTTTTTTCCTAGCCAAACAACGACAATCATCCATTATACCAGGTCAGACTTACTCCTTGTTCCCCAGCCTCCGCATAATGGCGTCCCACGCCTTCATCCCAATCCACGTCGCCGTAAACACGCGCAGCGCATGCCGCACCGCCTTCGCATTGTAATCGTCGCCCCCCTTGCGCGGCTGCAGCGCCTTCTCCACGCTGCTCGGGCTGGGCGCCGCGCGCCGCAGCGCCCGCGACTTGGAGAGGATGTACTTGTGCAGGGCGGCGTACTCGCGCGGCGAGATGGTGTACCGCAGGGCGTTGCGCAGGATCGGGTCCGGCCCTGTGCTGCTGGTGCTGCTGCCGCCGCCTGCGGTGCCCGTCGCGGCGACGGCCTTGCCGCTGGGAGTCGACGGGGTTGGCGGGAGCGAAGAGAGCGAGGGCGTGGCCGTTGATGATGCCATGGCGACGGGTGTGTGTGTCGTCGGTTCGAGCGCCACAGCGCTTTCTGGGGGGCTTGTCGTACGCAGCCGTTGAAGCCAAGCTCCGAACGGCCGAATGTTCGTCGAGTCCAAGCTGCAGCGGTGTAAACACCAAGCAAAGCAGCCAGCAGCAGAAGAAACCAACGCCTCCTAGAGCAAGAAGACGCCCAAAAGATCACCCAACAAAGGGACAAAGCGTCGTCGTGGCCAAAACCAAAGACGAAGACGAGTAGGTGATCTGACGGTGACCGCCCAAGAGAACGCGATTGCACTCCTTGTTGCCCCCTTGTATCGTTTTGTTTTCGCAAACGTAAAGCGTTGGCCCCCTCCCAAAGGAGACTCAAGTTTCGAGGGGAAGACAGAAAAGACCCTGGACTGAGGCTATCGCCAGACCGGGGACAGGATGTCGGATATCGATCGTGTGCAGTTGAAGGCGAGAGGCTCCAGATGCTGCAGCCAGTTGCGAGGCCCAAAGCGCTGCCCCGTTCGGTTCGTGCCTCTTCTCCCTGCTAAAAGCCTCGGCAGAGCGGCAACATGTGAGCACCTGCTGGATCGTGCTCTGGACGAGGTACAGGTACAGGTGACAGGGGTGCATGTGGACAGCGCGAGGTAGGGCTTCTCCACAAGGCCAAAGTATGAGGTACATGCACAATGACTTCACTGCTTTCAAGCTCAAGGTCCCTGAGCTTGAACACTTCACACTAGGTACCTACATTGCCCAACTGCATCCATCACCACCAAACCTCGCTCCCTTCAGAATTGATCATTATGGTATTACCTTGGACGCAAGGCAAGATACTATCTACCTACCTATACCTACTACTATCTAATACAAATCGTCATCCTGTTCACGAGATTCATCCGCCATCGCCGGGCTGCCATAGCCTGTTCATAAATGCCACCCGTTCCCCTCGAACTCAACGTGCGCGCCGGCACTCGCTCAGACTCTCAACCACCACAGATATGCATTCCATAGTATCGAGCCGCCGACTTGGTAGCAGCCCTTGAAATCATCAAACGTTATCGTATGCCTCCTACTGGGGGCAATCTTCTTTTTCAATACCAATGTCGCCATTCCGCCCGTTTCCTTCAACTTCTAGATCTCTCGGTCACCATTCAAGTTACCACCCCCTTTCATGCCCAAAGCATCCACGCAAAAACCCCCCGAGAATAACGGCTGGACTCAGCCGTCGCCCGAACAGGGGCGATTTTGCCACCAAGCTCCATCTCCAGAACTCATCAAAGTAAGCTCTTCTGCCGGTAGCAAGCTGTATATGCCCCTGCGTCCGGGGTTTCTAGCGAAGGAGGACCTCCATCCTAGAAGTTACCCTCCACAATTGCTGAGCGACCACCTTTTGTATCATGCGCGCTCTACCATCCCGTATCCTCCCTTTCAAATCCGAACCAAGCGTAGCCTATCCGCAGAAACAAAAACAGTCCGCCGGCGATTTTCGTATTGCGTTCAATGACACCAATGCACGCCAATGTTTGGTCAAAAAGAAGTAAAAGAGCGCAACGCTCTTCTGCAAAGGCAACATGCCAAAACTGAATAAACTTTTTGAGAGCTGTGATGCAAGATGCTCGGTGTAAGGGTCGTCAACTCGGTGACGGAGGACTCGTGAATCATCATACTAGACCGGCCATGGCCATCATGGATACTCGGTCACGTTGGACATGGGGCCGTTTTGGGCCTCCATCAACGGAACCCACTTGCGTGCCAAGGTTGGGCCATCCGGGTTACCATAGGGCAGCATCTCTTCCTGCCATCCCAGGGCCGTCCACCAGCCCAGGTCCCTCGGCTCGGGACTGCAGAGGCCTGCCCGGATGGCTTCGGCATCGGCAACCCTGCCGGACAAGACGGCGTCCAGGACACAGCGGCGGCGCGATTCACGCTCCTCAACGGCAAGCTTGATGATGCGGTAACGAGATTCCGCATTCGCCCAGCCGTTGACGTTACCAGATCCAGAGGATTCCAGTATCATCTTGAGCTGAGTAAAGGGAATTTCAACCAGGATGCGAGACAGAATCGAGAATGATGCCGGCTGAGCGGCGCGCGTGGCCTTGGGCGTGTTTGCGTCCGCCGGATTCTTGCCTTCAGTAAAGGCCAAGTCGCCAAACTGGATACCGTTGAGCTTCTGAGGACGGCGTCCCTTTCCGAGCTGCACAGAGGATCCATCAGCGGATGCTGAGAGCATATCGTTGTCAAGAGAGTCTTTGGCCGGTGGCGGCGGGCTGATGGGCAGTCGGCTATATGGCACAAATTCCGTGGCCTCTGTGTCGAGATTGAAGTGCGAGGGGAAATTGTGAACCAAAAAGGTGACAACGGCATTGAGGAGCACCTGGGATCCGTTGCCATACTGGTAGATCTCGTGAGAGCCCTTGTCCCTATAACCTTCCAGCGCAAACTCCAACACCCGCTCCAGGGTCTCCCAGGTCAAGAGATGAGTAGCAACTTCACAGCCACGTCGAACGACTGGGGTCCAGTCGAGTAGGTGGCCCGCCGCAGCGTAGGAGATGGCAAAGTCAAGCTGTTCATTGACAGATCCGGCGGCGGTCACGTCACCCGGCTCCATGCCAACGCGCCGAGGGGGAGGAGCGTGCAGCAATGGCAAACCGTACAGACGCTGAACAGCCATGTAGAACGAATCCGAGCGGATCCACTTGCTGCCCGTCTCGAGGAGAATGGTTTGCAGAGCTCGGTCGTTGGGGGACGCCTGGAAGTTCTGCTTTTGCAACAAGTTGTAAAGCTGGAGGCTGCGAGCAAAGACGAGTCGGTGGCCGGGGATCCTCACAGGTGCCGCCCTATCATCAGTGTAGCGAAGTTCAAGTGTGCAGTCGGCCAGCTCAGGAGACGCGAATTGCTGTTGCAAGTATCCAATAAATCCATCAGCATTGTCACCCTGGGCCATATGAGGAGGCAGGCCGGGGGTGGGCATCATTCGGGGGTAGTCTGGCAGCCCATACATTCTCCCCTGGTGATTTTGGCCCTGAGCCTCATCATTGGGCCCAACCGCCACGCCGTTAGGCATAGCCCCAGGGCGATACTGATTATACATGGCCGTCTCCTCCTGGTGAGCCGAAGACTGAGAGTCGTGGTAGCTATGCGGCGTCGACGGTCCTAGATTGTTGCCATACGGGGGGTAAGAGTCCATCGGCGCATAAGGCATCGGCCGGCCGTAGCCATCAAAGTTGGCAACGGGCATCATGTCAGCCCCATACGGCACCATTGGTGGGAATCCATTTCCGTTCGGAGGCATCATGGGATGCGGCCGTCCATCTGGCATTGGCATACCAGGTGGTGGTGCGATACCTCCAGAGTGCGGGGGCGCCGGTGAGGAGCTTTGGGAATCGTGAAAAGCCCCAAAGTGAATGCTACCGTTGCTTGCATGAGCTTGATGCATATGAGACGGCCCATTCGGCAAGGGAGGCCTAGGTCCATGAGACATGTCCCCGCTTGGCACAATGCCCATCGGACGATGAGACGGTTGAAAGGGCGGCGGCATCTGGTATCGAGTCGGAGACACAGGCGGAGGAGGCTGCGATGAGGCCAGCTTGACAGGGAGGTATTGAGCTATAGATGAGCATCAGCATTAGCTTCCAAGGCTCAGGGTATAGAGACAGGCGACAAGTTGAAAGCTTGCTTACCTGGCCTCTGTCTGTGTTCCTCCTGGCCAGCGTTCATGGCAGAGCCGTGAAACTGGGTTTGCATATTGGAAGAGGCTTCTTGTGCAACCTGGGGAGCAGAAGCTTCTTGCACATTTGTCGGGAGTACGGTGTGATTTGTCGAGCCCTTGTTCTTACCGGTAGCTTGGTTCGGTCGTGCGACGGGTTTGCTGCTGGCAATCACCACTTCCTTGGTCGAATCGAAGGCTACCATGTTTGGAGTCAAGAGTCAGCCACGCTTTGTCCTTTTTGCACCATGGTTGCGAACAAGACAGGAACCCAGAGTGCTGGTCCCTCGTCTTGCCCTGAACACCCCTCTTCTGTCCCCTCCCCTCCCAGAAGGAGCATGCATGAAAACTCACCTTCGTGTAACCCGGACTTGGCAGCGGACTTGAAGTCTGGGCTGCCCGCCGAAAGTGACTCGCTGGCGTGTGGCGTATCTGCGATCAGAGTGGGCGAGGAGGCCTGGTTCATTTCGGGAGCCCGCACTTCAAGAGAGCCGTTGTGGGCGCTGTCCTCCGAGCTGGCGTTGGCGTTGGCGTCGGCGCTGGTGTTGGCATTGGCATCGACGCTGTTGCTCGAGGGCGACGCAGTCACGGGAGCTGCTGCTGCTGCGGCCGCAGCCTGGCGTTTGACGTAGGGCAGAGGGATCGCAGGAACGACGGGCTTGGGCATCTGCTTGCTGGAGGGCACCTGCGGCCGGCGAGCCTTGACGGATCCGTTCTGCGGCGCCATGGCGAGTTCGAATCCGACGTGAAGGATCGAGCTGAGGCGGAGACGGGAGAGCCTATCGAAGCCCTTGAGCCTTGTTGTTGCTGCCCTTGCTCAGAATCCGCAGGTCGGCGAGGGGCAGGGGAGGCCTTGGATTTCCGATCGCCCGCGCGCCAGACCTGGACGACAAATCTGGAGATCTCGGCAAACAGGCATGAGTCCAGTCATGCGAGACTTGCGCTGGTCCAATGCCAGAAGCGTCGCCTTTAGGGGGGCCAAAAAGGCTGAGGCTGAGGCTGAGGCGGGAGAGCGAGGATGGGGGAGGGGGGAAGAGCAGCAGAGCAGAGGAACGGGATCTGCTGAAAGAGGAGTTTCTCTGAGTCCTTGGCAGCCTCCCGCGCTGGCGCACCAAAAATGGGGATCAATGGAAAGCCAGCGAGTGATGCCACTAATCAATCGTGCAAGCAATTTTTTCCCCCCGCAGCCGCAAGGCGCTGCACCTCATGCCTCCACTGCCCTGCTCCAGCTCTCTGTAGGCCCGGTCCTTGTACCGCCAGCTGCCACTGGACGACTAATATCGCCCGCCTGCTAGCATTAGCTGAGACAACCTGAACCGATCCCTACCAATTGAGAACCTGTCGAGGTTCGTTTGCCATTGGCGGCTGAATCTCGGACTCGCCCTGCTGTCACTTCATACGAGGACTCGAGAGACATTCTGGTTTGTTTCCGGCCATGGCTGGGCTCAGCTCCCGGCAGCGGCCCGAAGCGGGTGTGTTATCCATTGGATCCTTGGATTCTTGTGAAAACGTCAAATGTCTTTGGGACTGAAACTCAGTCTCGTCGAACGCATCTGTTCTCTTTAAACATTCATGCTTAGATACGTATCCTGGCTTATCTCAAGTGCTAAGCTGGGACTGCAGCAAGGTCATGTATGGCCCAGTACGGATTGAGGTAAGAGGTAAGCAGGCCTGATGTCGGCCTCTAGTTGCCTGTACGGAGTCGATGATTTGCATCCAGTCGTTGCTCCATAAGATTACCATCGATCCTACTGGCCGTAAGATGGCAATGCTCTGCAGCAAATGGAGAGCCGTGAGTAACAAACCCCGTGCATGGCCAATCTCAACCCAACGGCAGCTTATCATCAGGCATGGATTCACGTCGACAGCATCACAAGCCAAGACGGACCGGGCCACCAGAAACCTCCAGAAACGCTGAAGCATGGATAATTACTACCTATGTATGTAGGACCATGATGGAATGAAAAGATTCATCAATTGCAACCCGAACGAGCCCTTAAGAGCAATTACTGACAGAGTGTACCTAACCCATGAGAACCCTAAACGCCCCTCTTGTGAAATATCCGCCTACAGGCTGCCATCGGCGGTCTCCTCTATACCTTGTCGTTGTATACTCTGTAAATAACCACGCCAAATCGCAGCAGAGCTGCTCCAACGCAAGTATTCACATCCCCCTTCCATCATACCGTCCTCGACCATCATGCCAGGGTTTCGTTGCCGCTCACCAGCCTGGCAATCAGCACGTATATGAATATCGCCGCACCGGCAACCAGCAGCTTGTTCCGGTACAGCCAGCCTCGGCCGGCATCCCGCTGCTGGACAACGGCGTCCACCACAGCCTGAGCCTGGTTACTACTCGAAGCGGCAATGCCTAACTGGGGCCCGCAAGAGGAGCCGTTGTCGCCGTCTGCTCGGTTGCCGGTGACTGGGTCGACCTTGTGTTTCCTCATCCACTCCCAATTTTCGAGGTCCACCTCTGGCCACTCCGACCGGAACTTGGCACCGCCATCTCCAGCCTTGACGTTGCCCTTGGTGGCCATGTTTCCCCTTGCCTGAGAGCCACCACCAGTAGAGTTCCACCACCGCGACCGCGAAGCCAGAAACTTTCGCTCAGCGCTGGACGCCGAGACGGAACCAGTAGTCATCTCGTCGCTAGTCATGAACGACAGGAGGCCGATCAGGATGGTCGACACCTCCCATGCTGGATTAAAGGATTTCGGATGAAAGTCGGATATGGAGAGGCAGAGTCTGGTTGACGGCTGGAATCGCCCCGAAGGGGTGTGCATGCGGATTGCTGGGGGTGCGAAGGGGTAGTTTGGAGGGAAGATGAGCGTTCCCCAGTACTGGCCTCCGTGATACGGCGTATCTTCAGGCCCTGTGATTATGTAGTGCCATCTGCAGTTCGACGTCAGCAATGCGCTCGGATCAGTCAGGGCAGAGGGAGACATACTCGAGGATGTTGGATTCGGAAGGGTGGGCAGTGATGTATGGGGGAGGATTCTCGGTAATGGACTTGTACTCTCGCGTCAACTGGCGATAGCCGTTAGTATAGGTGCTTCCGAAGGTGACCAAAGTCGCGCTTGACGTAAACAAAACACATACCCGCTTGTGCGCCGCTTTACTGGCCATGGTCTCGACGTTGGTGAGAAGGAGAGGGATTGAATGGGGTGCTCTAAGGAGAAGGATGGATGGATCGCGTGCGCCGTGGATTCGTCTGCTGCGATGAAAGAAAGGCGGAGAATGGAAGCAGGTTGGAGAAATTGAGTAGTGAATACAGTGAGGCTGAAAATGGAGCGCTGGCGGCGGGAGGAAATAGATTAAACGTTGAAGAAGAATGGACGCAGACAACGAGGGACGACGATGATGAAACAGAGAGAGATTAGGCCGGATGACAGCAGCCCAGTTGAGTCGGCATCTCGGGGGCTGTTCGCCTTACTAAGCCGATAGTACATCAGGTACATCAGGTAAAGGCCCGGCCGAGAGAGGCGAGAGCGAGAGTTTCCGGAGTCCGAAGTACAATACATGCTGTGTACCTTAAGGTATGCGTCAGCCACATGCGCGTGGCTGGTGCTGGCGAGGTCGAGCCACAGGTTCGAGGTGAATTGCGGGCAAGCATCGCGACCACCGGACTAGCTGCGCCAAATCTTGCGATCAACAACGTGCATCCAGCGAGTGGTGCAGATCCGAGGCGTACACAATGGCGCCGACCTCAGAGTCCTCTGGGCGGCCGGTAAGCAAGCATTGGTTGGGACACGCTGTGTCCCGTGTCCGTCTGTCTGTAGAGCTCCCATGGCAGCTGCTGACACTCTCCAGCCCGCAAGCCACTTTAATAAACTACATGAAGACGCCGACGAGGTGCTGCGCGAGGCCAGAACGAGGCCCGAGTTCCAAAGTGCTGAAGACGAAGCCAAGGAGCAGAGGATAGCCCAATTGGTATTGCCGAACCGCGTCCTCGGAGGGAGTCTTGTTCTCGGCTGACCAGTTGCTTCAAAGATGGTGGACCAAATGTCGATGCCCATGACCGTCAATCAGGTTTCCGTCACCGGCGCAAAGAATATTCGACGAGGCTTCCTCGATCCCATACTGAATCCCTTGCTGAGCGACAGCAATGATCCTCCCTATACCGTTGGTGAAGTGCTGTCAAGACTACAAATAGCTACGGGAAAGCTCAGCGCGCTGCGTAAGAAGGGTCACTAGGACGCCGTTCTCGAGCAAATAGCTAACGGGGAGAGATGCAGAAATCCTGAGAGAGCCTCCGCAGGTCTACCTGTCTCAGTCGAGCCATGCGGATGCATCGACGAGTCCTACCGATGTAGACATCTCCATCGGTCTTCGCGAACTACCCCGCTTCAAGCTTCAAACCGGCACGGATGTTGGAAATGGCGAGGGGTCGGCATACGGCTCTCTGTTGTGGCGCAACATGTTTGGCGGCGCCGAGATGCTCACCCTGAATGCAAAGGCAGGAACTCGCACGCGATCCGCTTACAGCGCAAACCTCAGCGCACCCGTGCTGAGCAACCCGGACATGCGCATTTCGTTGGAAGCTCTGTCTTCTGCCGTCGAGAAGCCCTGGGCCTCCCATGAGGAAGTCGTCAAGGGAGGGGCACTCCGCTTCTCATGGCTCAACAGCAAACGAGACACTCATTCCGTCGAGTATTCAGGATCATGGCGGCAGATTACTGGCCTTGCGGCCGATGCCAGCCCCACCGTCAGGCAAGACGCTGGCGACACGATCAAGAGCGCTATCAAGCACACATTCTATAGAGAGAGGCGAGATAACCCTCAGCTGCCACAGCAAGGGTACATGGTCCGGACTGGGTTGGAGCTGGCTGGCGTTGGTCCGCTGGGTGGCGACGTTGCCTTTTCCAAGAGCGACTTGGAGGTCAGTGGCGCCGTCCCTATTCCTCTGCCTGGAGTCAAGGGACCGACGGGAATCTCCCTTGGGGCAGGATTCAGGACGGGCCTGCTCTATCCCCTGCCGCTCGGGTACGACTTTGGCGGTAAGGCCTTGCCGAGCCGCCTCAACGACCGGTTCCTGCTGGGGGGCCCGACAGATATCCGCAGCTTTAAGCTTGGCGGGTTGGGCCCTCACGACGGCCGGGATGCTGCCGGCGGAGACGTGTTTGCTGCTGGCAGCATCAACATGCTCTTTCCTCTACCCTACAAGGGACCCGACTCTGCTCTCCGGATGCAGCTGTTTGCAAACGGAGGCCGCCTGATTGCGCTGAGGAACAAGCTCAAGTCCCGGGACACGTCCCAGGGTCTAGACGGTGAGGCAGTTCGGAGCGGCATCGCGAATGCCGTTGGAGATTTGTTCAACGGCCCCCCGAGCTTGGCTGCTGGTGTCGGGCTGGTATATGCCCATCCGGTAGCCAGGTTTGAGCTCAACTTTGGCTTGCCAGTGATTGTCAGAAAGGGGGAGCTGGTCACAAAAGGGGTGCAGCTAGGAGTGGGCATCAACTTTCTGTGAGATGTCAAGATGCACGATGATACAATAGAAGCGTGCGGCGAAACTACAGCGTGTAGTGCCAGTAAGGGGCTCAGATGGCTAGTGTTATACGACATACCGCCAGCCGTTAGCGGACTGCAGAGTACATATATATCCACTCACCTGCTTCCTGTACCCATTTGTCTGCATGTTGAGCAAGTATCGAGATGTTCTGTCATGTCGTTTCCGAGACTAGCTGGCACTCTACTCAATGTCAAAACGTATACTGTAGCATCAGGTGTTTGCCTGTCCCCTGAATCTGGATCTACATACAAGCGCTTGCCTTGACCGAACTTTCTGACGAGCGAGAACGGCAGCGGAGAAACCAGTAGATATAGGGTAAAACGGGAGCCATTAGGGCGGTCCTCGAGCTCCCTGTTGGCTTATAGTGCAGTCATACATCGGCGAGGTAAAACGACCAGATACCCCGGAGTAGTATTACCATCCAAAGCAGAGTTCTGCTGGTTGCAAAGATACATATGCATATACAAACAATTTCACAGCTTCGTGGTTCGTGCTCAAGACGTTAAGGCGTGGCTCTGGTTAAAACATGGGGCTGTGAATCGTGATATCAAGCGGAATGGTGGTGTGAGAAAACCGGCATCTGATAGAAGCTGGACAGCATCGAGAATCTCGCGCCACAGTGACGCAGCGTGATCTCAGTCTCTAGTGACATCCATCTTGAGCCAAGGCGAGGGGGTCATCTGTGTTGCGTGCACAGATTCCGGACTTGGAACGGAAAATTACGTGTGTTTCTATACTTGGCTGCTTACATGTGAGTAGATAGGTACTAGTATGTCCAAACCAAAGTACGGGGTTACAGTGATCATCATACCCTACGATGCACCTGAAGTGTAAATGGGATCATTGCTTTGAGACGCTTGAGAGAAGAGTAGATCATGTGCGACTACTGGGGGATGTAGTTGCTGCGTGATGTTCCCCAACTGTGTGCTCTTGTTGAAGGGCTTGACGATCCTATTCCTTTCTGTGAGCATGCTGAGTCAGAGCCAAGTACGGATTTCGGAGTATGAGTGTCGAAGGGGCCTAGAAGACGGTCCCTTCTCATTATAAGTGAGATCTAGTCTGTGCATGTCGATCAGAAGCTCATCGTTTGACGGTGTTGCCATCTAGAAGCACCTGGTAGGTAGGTGAATAGGTAACATAGAGTAGGTCTCCTGTGTGCTTGGGAAAACACGTGTGTTGGCGGAGTACGAAGATAGAATCCCGGAATCTAAAGTAGCATCGGAACAATCTCGAATTTGAGATTGGAGAAAGTGCGGAGCGGAATTTGGGCGTGCGGACATGGCACGGCCTATCTCTGTGGGAGCTGATGAGTTACGAGAGGGCATGGGAGGTGACTGGCTGGGGGGGTCGAGGATTCGGCAAGATACCCAGATATGGGGTACAGCATGCGAAATGGAAAAAAAAGGGGGAGGAGCCGAGTTGACGAGTCAATGGATGCGGTCTATGGGGGAAAAAAGTCCGAAGGAGTGCATTTACTTGGTGGCTCTTGATATTGGCCTAGATGTTGCGGTCTGACACTGGGCATCACCTGTACGACGAGGCATCCACCATCGAGCCTACATCTCCTATTCAATACCAACGGAGTGCATACGTGTATCTGCTACTCATGGGTTGCTTGACATGGGGCATCGAATCAGGAGTGTTTGCATCCTCAAGCAGTTGATGGCGCCTCTCGCATGCTACTCTTCGGGAATGGGGGATTGAAACAAGAGCCCGTCGTGCGATTCAAAGAAACACGCCAAAGCTCTGCTGTTTCGAAACGGAGAATTACCTAGCCGAAGCTGGCAATAGAGAAGCATGACGATGAAGAAGCTGCAAGTGAAACTGTACACAATGTAAGACTGTCTCGGGAAAAAGCTTGCAACTTGTAAATTTCCAAAGGCTCTATTTTGAAAGGGTCTGAGATCTTGGAAGCAAGGAAGGGTTCGACCAAATAGCGATCATCTGCAATCAACGGCCAAGTCCTTGACGCAATGGGTAGATCATGCTGCTGCTGCGAGGTGAAAACTGTATCTGCATCAATATGAAGTACAACTGTTGGAGTCGGAAGGCTGCAGTGGCAAGAGGTAACATGTATCGGGGTCCGACCCGGGCCCGTGGCTGCGGTCCGTCACCCGGGCTGCCTTCTAACTTATAAGGATGGAGGCAGGCAGACAGAAAACGGTGGAAGCAAAAGAAGAGGCGTGATGCGGAGTATTGCGCACTTGTACCATCAACGCCGGGAAATGATGATTCAGATGGTGTTTTGCGGAGACCGGAATACTACCTACATCAGCAGCCTGCAGGCGCCAAGTTGTTGCGGAACTGCGACAACATGAAGGCATGTGAGTACGAGCATATGGATATTGATACCTGTATCTCAAACAATTCAACTGGGTGGGTGAAAAGGCAGGCATCGATATATTGTACCCCTTAGGTACTTGTACTACAAGTATTCCTCGACAGAGATGGCTTGGCGATGGTTTATGCTTGAAAGTAGGCGTTACCCGCCCAGCAGCCCTAGAATCATCTCCAGCAAAGAGCAAATGGCATCCTTCTGGGCCACGCCACCGCTTACCAGTGATCGATCCACGGTACAGGTACGAAGTACTTGAACGCAAAGAGATCCATCGATCCGCTGTGGCGTCTACATACAGGCTCCTTGGGCGGGTTGGCGGGTTGGCGGGGTGTCGGGCTGTTGCAAGACCCCGACAGCGATCCATGCCAACGAGGCGTTGCGGGCTGAGGGCCGGCAGCCCACTTTCGGGGTTTCGGTTCGTGGGGCTTCCAATTGCTTCACCTCATAGCGTCCCAGAGTGTCGGCCGAATGAATGCGCCCGGGCGCAGTTGGTGGGATTTTTTGCGTGTTGACTAGAGAGAACTAGTTTTCTTCGAAGGACTGGATCAATACGCGTACTCGTAACTGCTGCGGAGGCTAAAAGTGGTTGTCAACTCCTATTCTGTGGTTGATTTCGTCGATACGACAAGCGGCAGCCTGTTTGTTATTGTTGCCGTTGCCGTTGTCCTGCCGATGAGATTAGAGATGTGAGCACTGCAATCGATCCCTGGATGTGTTTTAACACTCGTAATAGTGCTGAGCTTCCACGATGGAGTGAGATCCATGAAAAGGGCCAACGCACACCCCGGCTGGTCTGATGCCCTGCAGAGTCCATGTCCCATGTGCCTCAGCAGTGGCCGCTTTGTATGTAGGTACATTAGTATGGCAGCGTCACGCCCTGACGGATGCGAGTGCACACGCGAGATCGTTGATCGTGCTCGCCGGAATGCAACCGCACAAGCATGTCCCCTCGAGGCAGCATGCACAGTTGATGTCATGTACTGTCAGGATTTGATGTTGGTACGAGGCTGTCATAGGTGTATGTATGTACTGGAGCGCCTTGCTGATCATGTTGCCTTGATGCCAGATGATGCGTATTAGTAATACTATAGTCTAGAGGCAGCTTCATTCGTGCAATCATTCACTGGCACATACAAGTACACGTATCGTATGCTCATCCCTCACCACTGCCCTGACTGCCTCATGCTCATGGATAATACGCGTATTGCCGGTAAGCCTCTAACCACGTCTGGAGTACTCCGTCTCCCCCCGGGCCGTTGCTCTTCCTCGTAAATGACCGAGGGTGTCGCTTATTTTGCCCAGTGAGCGTCTGAGACGGCGCCAGACGCTGAGACAAGACAACGCGTGGAAAAGGCCGCTGAGGAGGGACGGTCCGCCTGCTGTAGCCTCCAGCCTCCAGCCTCCAGCCCCCAGTGGACTTTGCAGAAGGTCGTGTGCCTGTATTGGATACTTGGACGCCCAGGAACTGCCAACTCCGTCACGGCGTGCGTGCGGTGAACTGGAGGTGTAATTAAGGCCTGGCCTCTCTGCTCAGGGACCCTCAGCCGGTGGAGTTGCTGCGGACGCGCTACGGACAAAGTACGAGCTCTATGTCCGGGTACAGGTACGTGTACCGGCACAGCATTATGTACAGGCTCAGGCACCCTCTCCGCCAGGCACCATGGCGGCTGGCGCACGAATGGCGCCAAGAATCGGTGGCCCTCCCGGGTCGGGCTGCACCAGAACTGCGAAGAATCGTGACCTGGCCGCCACAAGTGCAGGTACAAGTACAAAGATTCTTCACACGCCCCCCCGTTTCCGCCAGGCGTGGCCCGAGTCCTTCTGGAGACTTCAAGATCCTCGACGACCAACAAAAGGAAGCTAGAGCCTCTTTTCCTGCGTCCGCTCCCCTCGTCTCTTCATCCCTCCCGCCTCTTGTCGCCATCGGTGTCTGGATCGCCTCCTTTTCCCTTCCTTTCCATCTTGTAATCCGCCGCTTCATAAGGAGGCCTTTGTCTGGCTGCTGCTTTGGTGGCTTTTCTACCAACAGCTCTCTCGTTTCCCCTTCCTTTCTTTTTCTCTTCTTCAGCGACCCCAGTCGGCCTCAAGCGAGACCCCCCCTTGCGAGACAAGCCAATCGCGGCCGGGACACAAGATCGACGGCACGGCACCGAGCGCCTTCGACATCGCTAGCGAGGCTTCTCCCGAGCCAGTGCAGCAGCGGCTGAGACCGCATCGACGCCTTGACACTGCGCCGGCTTCAGGGCACCGCAGCCATGGCAACGTCCCATAGCGACTCGGACCTCACCACCAGAGAGCAAGGCTCCATCACCGACATCAGCACAGCGCCCAAGACGCCCGTTCGCGATGACGCTGCTGAAACCCTCAACGAGAAGGATTCTCCTTCGCGGACGCTGGAGGCGGATGGCGACGAAGACGCCTCGGTAGACCACACCAAGGAGATGCAGCGGAGGACGTCGGTGGTGGAGGCCCTGGCCCGCTCATACTCACGGGCCTCGGGCGTCGAGAACCCCTTCCTCGCCGGCCCAAATTCACCCCTCAACCCTGCCTCGCCCAACTTCAGCGGCAAGGAGTGGGCCAAGGCCATCGTCGAGCTCGTTCAGCAGGACGGCGGCTCGTTCCGCTCCGCTGGCGTCTGCTTCCAGAATCTCAACGTCTTTGGATTTGGCGAGTCCACCGACTTCCAGAAGGATGTCGCCAACGTCTGGATCTCTCTCGCTGGTTGGGCCAAGAGCTTGATCTCCTCCAGCAAGCAGCGCATTGACATTCTGCGCCAGTTCGACGGCGTCGTTAACAAGGGAGAGATGTTGATCGTGCTTGGACCTCCGGGCTCAGGTTGTTCGACATTCCTCAAGACGATTGCCGGTGAGATGAACGGCATCTACGTCGATGACGACACCTACTTCAACTACCAAGGTAAATAACCATGTCCCCCTTCTTTTGCTCGTTCAAAGAGTTTGGGTGGGTATGCGGGGAGAGGCTTGCTGTGGACAGACAACGGGAGCTAAACCTCCCGTTTGATGGCGGATGAGAGGCTTGAAGTTGGCAGTAAGACGTCAAATAGACTTCTCATCCCATCTTGGCCCACCGTTGTCGCGTCGTGGTGCCACAGCCGTTAGGAGATACGCCGCCGCTTACAGTCAGATCCTGCGATTTGGCGTACAATGCCGTTCCGTCCAGTAATGCTAACTCGATGTGCACAGGTATCTCGTCCAAGGAGATGCACAGCCACCACCGCGGTGAGGCCATCTACACCGCCGAGGTGGATGTTCACTTTCCCCAGCTGAGCGTTGGTGACACCCTCACGTTCGCGGCCCGAGCCAGACAGCCTCGTCAGCTTCCCCAGGGCCTCAGCAGGAACGCCTTCGCCGCCCATTTGCGTGATGTCGTCATGGCCATGTTTGGTATTTCCCACACCGTCAACACTCGAGTGGGTAACGAGTACATTCGAGGAGTTTCGGGTGGTGAGCGTAAGCGTGTGACCATCTCCGAGGCTGCCTTGTCTGGCGCGCCCCTGCAATGCTGGGACAACTCGACCCGAGGTCTCGACTCGGCCAACGCCATCGAGTTCTGCAGGACCCTGCGGTTGCAGACGGAGCTGTTCAACAGCACCGCCTGCGTTTCCATCTACCAGGCGCCCCAGTCCGCATACGACGTCTTTGACAAGGCCGTTGTCCTCTACGAGGGTCGCCAGATCTTCTTTGGCCGAGCCGACGAGGCCAAGCAGTATTTTATCGACCTTGGCTTTGAGTGCCCTCCCCGTCAGACCACCCCCGATTTCCTCACTTCCATGACCTCCTCCCTCGAGCGCATCGTCCGTCCCGGCTTCGAAGGCAAGGCACCACGCACCCCGGATGAGTTCGCCGCGGCATGGAAGAACAGCGCTCACTACAAGGCTCTGCAGGCCGAGATCGAAGAGTACAAGGTGGCCCACCCCATCAACGGCCCCGATGCCGAAGCCTTCCGTGCCTCACGTGCGGCTCAGCAAGCCAAGGGCCAGCGCGTCAAGTCGCCCTACACCATGTCCTATACCCAGCAGATTCAGCTCTGTCTCTGGCGTGGATGGAAGCGCTTGACCGGAGATCCCAGCATTTCCATCGGTTCTCTTATCGGTAACTTCGTCATGGCTCTCATCATCGGCAGTGTCTTTTACAACCTTGGGTCGGATGCCTCCAGCTTCTTCCAGCGTGGTAGTTTGCTTTTCTTTGCTTGCTTGATGAACGCTTTCGCCAGTGCCCTCGAGGTATGACCCTCCACCCCTTGTCTTCTGCTTCTGATTAACTGACACTTGAGCTAGATTCTGACCCTGTACGCGCAACGTCCCATTGTGGAAAAACACGCTCGATATGCCTTGTACCATCCTTCGGCTGAAGCCATTGCCTCCATGCTTGTTGACCTGCCCTACAAGGTTGTCAATGCAATCATCTTCAACCTCACGCTCTACTTCATGACCAACCTGCGAAGAGAACCAGGCCCCTTCTTCTTCTTCCTGCTCATCTCCTTCTCCAACGTCTTGGTCATGTCCATGATTTTCCGAACGATTGCCTCTGCCACCCGAACCCTGTTCCAGGCTCTGGTCCCCGCTGCCTTGTTGATTCTTTCCCTGGTCATCTTCACTGGATTCGTCTTGCCCACCCGGTATATGCTGGGATGGTGCCGATGGATTGGTTACATTGATCCCCTCAGCTACGCCTTCGAGGCGCTCATGGTCAATGAGTTCCACAACCGGGAATTCAAATGCGTCGACTTCATTCCTTCCAAGGACATTCCTCAGTATGCCAATGTCAGCTCCGCACACCAGGTCTGCAGCTCTGTCGGCTCCGTTCCCGGTCAGCCCAATGTCAATGGCGATGCCTACGTCAAGTCTGCCTTTGGCTACGAGTGGGAGAACCGCTGGCGCAACTGGGGTATTGTCATTGCCTTCACCGTTTTCTTCCTCGCCACCTACATGGTTGCTGCCGAGCTCGTCTCCGAGAAGAAGTCAAAGGGAGAAGTCCTGATGTATCAACGTCGCCACAAGCTTGCCGCCGTTGCCCATGCCGAGAAGAAGTCGCACGATCCTGAAGCTGCAATGGCCAACATCGGCCCCGTCCTGACCTCTGAGCGAACCAAGGAAGGCGTTCTCCAGCAGCAGACCTCGGTCTTTCAGTGGCATGATGTTTGCTACGATGTCAAGATTAAGAACGAAACTCGCCGCATTCTGGATCACGTTGACGGTTGGGTTAAGCCAGGTACTCTGACTGCCCTGATGGGTGTCTCCGGTGCTGGAAAGACAACTTTGCTGGACTGCTTGGCCGATCGCACGTCTATGGGTGTCATTACTGGTGAAATGCTTGTCGACGGAAGGCCTCGTGACGCTTCCTTCCAGCGCAAGACGGGTTATGTCCAACAGCAAGATCTGCACCTGCAAACCACCACTGTTCGAGAAGCTCTCAACTTCAGCGCCCTTCTTCGCCAACCGGCTCACGTCCCCAGGGAGGAAAAGCTCGCTTACGTGAACGAGGTCATCAAGCTCCTGGATATGCAAGAGTACGCCGACGCCGTTGTTGGTGTCCCCGGTGAGGGTCTCAATGTCGAGCAGCGCAAGCGTCTTACCATCGGTGTCGAGCTTGCCGCCAAGCCCCCCCTGTTGCTCTTCGTTGACGAACCCACTTCTGGTCTCGACTCCCAAACCTCTTGGGCCATCTTGGATCTTCTGGAGAAGCTGACCAAGGCCGGCCAAGCCGTTCTTTGCACTATCCACCAGCCCTCTGCTATGCTCTTCCAGCGCTTCGACCGCCTGCTCTTCCTGGCCAAGGGTGGCAAGACTGTTTACTTTGGCGACATTGGCGAGAACTCCAAGACGCTGACCAGCTACTTCGAGAAGCACGGAGGACATCCTTGCCCGCCCGAGGCCAACCCTGCCGAGTGGATGCTCGAGGTTATTGGCGCCGCACCCGGCTCCCACACCGACGTTGACTGGTTCCAGACCTGGCGCGAGAGCGAAGAGTACAAGGCTGTGCAGGCCGAGCTCGAGAACATCAAGCAGGAGAGGTCTCAGGTCGAAACCAATGTTGAAAATGACCCTACCAGCTACAACGAGTTTGCCGCGCCCTTCTCCGTCCAGCTGAAGGAGAACCTGCACCGTGTTTTCCAGCAGTACTGGCGATCGCCCATTTACATCTACTCCAAGACCGCCCTCTGCACTCTGGTTGCTCTCTTCATCGGTTTCATCTTCTACAAGGCGCCAAACACTCAGCAGGGTCTCCAGAACCAGATGTTTGCCATCTTCCAGCTCTTCACCATCTTTGGCCAGCTTGTCCAGCAGTCTATGCCCCAGTTTGTCATTCAGCGGTCTCTGTACGAGGTGCGCGAGCGGCCTTCCAAGGTCTATTCGTGGAAGGTGTTCATGCTGTCTCAGATCATTGTCGAGCTGCCTTGGAACAGCTTGATGGCGGTGATTATGTACTTTTGCTGGTACTACCCTGTCGGTCTCTACCGCAACGCCGAGCCGACTGGCCAAGTCTCCGAGCGCGGTGCTCTCATGTTCCTCTTCATCCTCGCCTTCCTTCTCTTCAGCGGCACCTTTTCGACCTTTATCATTGCTGGTTTCGAAACGGCCGAGGCTGGTGGAAACATTGCCAACTTGATGTTCACGCTCTGCCTGATCTTCTGTGGTGTTCTCGCCACTTCGGACTCTCTCCCTCGCTTCTGGATCTTCATGGTAAGTCACGCCCTCGAAACCACCTGTGTATTTGGGCAAGCAGTGGCCTTTGCTAACTCTCTCCTCTTTCAGTACCGAGTTTCACCCTTTAGTTATCTGGTCAACGGCATGTTATCGGTCGCTGTCGCAAACACAAAGGTGTACTGTGCCGACAACGAGTTTGTCAGGATAGAGCCCCCTGCCAACCAGACTTGCGGCGACTACCTCAAGGCCTTTATCGACATCACCCACGGCAACCTCACCAACCCCGACTCGACGACCGAGTGCGTTTACTGCAGCATCTCAGAGACCAACACCTACTTGGCTACTGTCGGCAGCCACTACTCTGAGCGATGGAGGAACTTTGGCCTGATTTGGGTGTACATTGCTTTCAACATTGCCGCCGCACTCTTTGTCTACTGGCTGGCTCGTGTGCCCAAGAAGCAGCTCAAGAATGCCAAGAAGCCCAAGAAGGCCTAATTCCTTCTTTTCGGAAACCGAAAGCAAAAAAGAAAAAAAAAAAAAAGAAAAATCCCTTAACACCCATCACCCCCCTCTCGGAAAAAAGAAAGAATACGCCATCATACTACTCACCTTATTTTATCTGATATCACTTGTGTCGGGTTTAGATACCATATACAGACGGAGTTATTGAATATGTGCGGAAGATGTGAAGAGAGATGTTGATTGATTTACGACGATTCTAGAAGAGAATTCGGTTGAAAAGCGTTCATGGAGAAACGCGGGTTCTTATTATCTGTTTATTCAATGGCTTGGCATGATGTTTATGCAACGTTTGAATGGGGCGGTCTCGCACATGCACATATACCTGCTGCTGCGCTGTTTTGCACTTATTTCTTGATTTTTAACCTATAGATGGCATCTAACCGTACTTTACCTTACATTTTATATTACTTACTTTGCCTACTTAACTACTCGGACTCTTTGTCTGTGAAAGGGGGGAGAAAGCCTTTGGGACCACTGTCCTTTTCCCATGGCGGCTAATAGACATTTCGGAGCGGCTTGCATAGGAGTGCTTGCATTGTATTGCGTTACTATTTGTTTTATCTTTTTGAATGGTGATACCTCTTTTGTCTGACGCTCGAATGTGTGTCGAGTTTGGAAAGGGGTAATGATGGATGAAGGTTGCTCGGGATAGTGGATGCATGCATCATATTCTGGAATTTTATCAAGGTACCCTTATTCCGCCATCTCAACTTCAATCTACGAACCACCGTCATGTGCTGCTTCTGAACATGAAGTTCTTGCCTACTCACTCTGCCAACAGGCTGTGGTTTGTCATGTTCCATGCGCGCATGAAAAGCCAGCAACATCATGTGCACGAAACACCATCAGGAAAGCGACTCGACTCACAGAATCCAAGTATATATATATATACCCACCCCAGCACAAGGGCCCTCTTTTCCAGGTCAAAGACTTCACACTTAGTAGAAAACCGACATCGTTGGCGGCAAGTCAGTTGACATGCCCCAGCCTCACGACACCAAGCCGAAAGAACGACATGAGCCCAAGCATCGCGATACGATACTGGTGAACCCGGCGAACTCTGGAGAACAAGCAGTACACGAGTACGCCGCGTTATGGGCCGTCCGTGGCGCTGAAGGAGGGGGAGGCAAAGGAGACACCCGAGTCACTGCAGGAATGGGCATCGTCCAATATGACTTAGTGAAGGCATGATGTTCCGGCCATCCACTAAGGTGCCATGGCCACGGGAAGACGTCCAATGGCGAACGCGTCATGTGATCAACTTGCTGAGGCAAACGGCATCCGATATCCTGAAATGCGAGGAGGAAGGTTAATCATCGACTTTCCCTGCAATAGCCGCTCGTAGCACATGCGGCTTGGGGTCGTAGACAGACGGGAAACTGTACGACTATGGGGTATTGGCGGCGGCTGCAATGTACAAAGACCTCATCTGCCGCAGCCAAAGATAAGAGTAGTTGCGTAGAGATTTCTCCCGCTCACAAGTTCCTCCAGTCGTATCAGATGATGCCAGCAGCGTCTGATATGAAAGCAATCTAGCAGGGGCTTCATGCATCACCGCATGTTCGACAGCGAGAACGTACGGCTATCAAAAGCCTATCAGGGCTGAAGAAGCAAGAGAACGTCCACAACTTTGCCCTGACTGCGTCACATTGCATCTCCATGTAACGGCAGCATCATCGGGCCACCAGCCTGGGCATCCGCCAAGCGCCTTGTCTTTCGCCAGGAAACTCTGATCGTGATGCTCCTGCTCTGGAGCCTCCTCAGTGGTATCATGGTGTTCATTGCGCTGCAACAGACGCGCGAGCCAGCTTGCGGCACTTTTGGTGCAGACAACGGCTTCTGGACTCTTCTCAGCCAGCTGTTTCTACAGGTAATCTCCGTCTTCTGCAAATTGTGTCCCGTCATACTCAATCGACAGCTGCATGGCGTGAAGAATGACTATGTGTGGTTGTCTAGCATGCAAGTGCCCGTTCGAAATGATCTTGGTTCGAAAAGTCTGCTCAATCGTGAGCTTGTAGTCTCAAACCGAGATCGTGGCTACGACGGGGGATGGCTTCCCGCCTTGGCTCCCTTGATGAGAGGTAGGTGAGATTAAAAGGAGTAACTGTCATGAGTACTTGTTTGTCTGTAACGGGTTTCTGCCGGTAAGTGTGTATATCAGGGACTATTACTCCGTACTTCGTATCCGGGACGCAATATAGTAGAGATCAAAACTCCGCTTGTCAAGTTGTTGTCCAGTAACAGACTACTGCCCCGTGCTTTGTCGTATCGGGATACGATGCATTGATGACGACAGGACCCAATATCAAAGGAGGAGTGAGCGAAACCATACCCGTTCTCTCGTCGTCTTCTTCCATGAAGAAACGCGGAGCTTATGCTCCTCAGCGGTAGCAGTACCCACGCGGACGCATCGACAGTAGCGTTCTTTTCGTTTGCGCCGGCCGAGAGAAGTAGAATGAATGAGGCCCCATCAATCGTCGATCGGACTAATAATTTAGATCCTGGAGTCCAAATTAGTCCAATGCCGCCCATCAGCACCGGCAAGAGAAGACGGAAAACCGTCTCAAATCGACGAGAACCGCAGCAACGGTGTGCTTCTCGAATTCCAAAAGATTATACTTGCCTGAAGGCACACGTATGAGTAGCACTGTCAGCTGCCAGCACGCGCTACTTTGACCCCCGTCGTGCCAGCATCGGCGAATTAGCAGCTGATGTGGCCTGCGTTGCTGGACTCTCGACATATGTTCCATATGCGATTCTAGTCTTGAGCGCCTGTCCGTACGTCGTATTGCTTCCCCTATCACATCTAGCCGCGGATGCAGGTTGGGCGCCATGCATATCCAAAAACTGACGTGTTGCCGACCGCGGGAATCTCAGCCGAGCCGGATGGAACCCTATAAACCGGAGATGAGAAAATACTACCTATATCGGCGGTAAATCTTGGGAGGCACGCGGCGCTGCCCATTAATTCGGAGCAAGTCTTGTACGTACTACCTTGAATCCTCGGTATGTTGATCACGGTGGAGGCTGATCGCCATCTCCGCTCGTATTCCTCGTCTGTACTTGGTAGAAGACTCAAGGAAACTCCAGCTCTGCGTCGCTGCTTCAGCGTCGCGCCTTGCTTGCAGCAAGCGCCGTGTTCGGTAGCATTCCGTACATACAGCACACTAGCGCAGCTCGCTCGGGTAAGAGACACGCTCACAAGGCCATACAAGCACTTGAACGAGGCCATGATGCATGCCCAAGAGTCAGCCCAACTGGCCAGCATGCCCTGCCCCCCGAGCATGGCACCCGCGGCGCACGGGTCAGCGTGGAAGCGCGGCCAACGTGGCTTTGCCGGGCTAGCCTTGCCAGTCGACCATTTCCGTGGAATTGGGGCTCACGGGGGGGCCACCGCGATGCCCTGGCTCTGGGCTCCCACGCCGGAGACTAGCGCTGAAAGGCTCCGAGAAAACACATGGCCTTTCCATTGATCGTTGTCGCTGTCGCTGTTCAGCAGGATGGCGGTGAGTTTTGTCGGCGTGGCCTTGCCGTTGCTTGATGCTCGTATCAGATCGGATGGCTGAATGGTGGGAACAGGCGACTTCCGTCCCGTTGACGATGGCGTCGTCATAGGTAGGCCTGTAGAGACGGTACCTTCCAGCTATCATGGGTAAGGTACCTTGGGTTAGTAACGACGGAGTTACTTCCTTGGAGCCAGGAAAAAGAATCGACTGCCGCTCATCTCCTTCCCGTGAACATGAACAAGAGCAGCCAATCAGGCGTGCCATGACATGATGCTCCAGCCCCAAGTCACAGCATCTGGTGAGATGAAGAAACAGCAAGTCGTCCGGGACCGCTCTGCGTGTTTCGGATTTTGGCGCGGCTGTCAAGTCCTCCGGCCACTGCGTTCTCGTGATTGGCTGGCTGCTATTAGTCACACCCCTGCCGTCCGTCCCCAACGCTCCTCCCCTGAACAGCTTGTCAGGGGGGAGGAATCCCAGATTTGGCTAAGCGTCAGGAACAGGTCATTGATTGGTCCGCTGAAATGGGGAGCGGCGCCGTAGCGTCGGTCAGGGGAGATTTCAGAAGCGGGGCTGCTCTCTGGGAAACCGCGTTCGTGGGTGGGTGTGAGATTGTCACCTTTCCGTTTAATTTCAACGTTTTCCTTTCTTTTCTTTATTTCCCTTTTCCCCTCCGCTTAAAGGTACAAGGCTGCAGGATCCGATGTGCCTTACCCGTTTCAAAACGGATTTCTTAGGGAAACTGCAGCCCATCAAGGGAACCACTGGCAGACTGTCCGTTGGAGCTGCTGCGAGTCGTGATGATACGATATGTATAGTCTCCGTCCCTTGCAATCCCACGCCTCAACGTGTGCGATGGGGTCCGTCAGGGCAGCGGTCATGGCGCCCGTGCTACTGGTCAGGTTGTCGTCGCCTTGATGGATCACGTTTGTGGGGGAAATTAGCCTCGGACTGAACCTGGTAGTAGTAGTATGCCGTACGAAGTACATACTTCGCACACATTTGCACACATCTGGTCACGGTCCTCATAACCCCCGGCTCTCGTGGGCCTCTTCGGGATTCCTGACAAGATCCAAACCGACTCCCAGCCCTGAATTCGCAATAGGGGACTGCTAAAGAACGGACGCAATGGAACGTCAAATGATTCCATGACCCACGCCTGCGCCCTTGGAGTCTCCGCCAAAGATTCGCTCTCCGTAAGAATGCCGGGTGAGAGACACCTACTATAGTATCCAGTAGTAATAGGTACATGCTAGAGCTTTTACTGACCCCCATAATAGGAACTGTCAGCTTCATTTGCCAGGTCTAAATAAGTTTGAACTTGAGGCTAATCGTGCTTTAGCAAGCTGTCAATCTGCCCTGCCGCTTTGGTAGCGTTGGGAGATGAGTGGTAACAGTTTCCGAGAGCTCCGTGGCGCGGCTTGCTGGTCACCAATCAAAGCAGTACAAGAAGAATACCGTGAGGAAATACCAATATGACTCGCCCGGCGAGCCCAACCGTTGGCGAGCCTTCCCTTGGCGATGCCATCGCCATGGCCACGTTCTTCCTAGCCTGGAGACGAAACCAGCGGGCCGAATTGATCGCCGGTTCGTCTATCTTGGGCATCAGGATAAAATTTGGCATGTGGTGGGTGGGTCGGCAGGGGAAAAAAAGCAAAGATGAAATGCCATCCCGATTACGAGCGCTGAGGCTTCGTACAACTATGGAGGACGCATCATGTCTCAGGACAGGACGGGGAGAATTCACGCACTTGGCATATAACGATATGCAAAGCGAGGCCTTGGCTCGGCGTTCCTCTCAATGTTCCATGTACCAACATGGTTATTGTAGGTCGGCATTGACACGAACAAGCCGTTGGCGTCAAGGTCGGTTACTTCGACGGGAGCGATTGATTAGCTTGTGTCGATCATGTGAGAATTGATGACACCTGTGCTGTCGAGTCCTGTTGAGGCTCGCGCCAGCAAACGGCCACGGCACCCCCTTTTAACGCAGTGTTTCGACGTGTCCTGCATATCCCGAGGTATTGCTTTGCCAGTCGGCTTTTTCGGACGAACAACGTCGACACGCGGAGAATCTTCCCTTCTATCTGAAGCGCTGCTGCATGGGCGATGGAGCTCAGATGCAATGTAGGCGCTATGGCCCGGGTGGAGATGCTGGGCGGCAAGCGGTTGGGCAGCGTGCGGTCGTCCAGGTACACGTACGACCGGCTTGAAGGAACTGGCGGAGAGGCTGGATAGCTATGCAAAGCGTGGCATCGTTCTCAGCCGCAAAAAAAAAGAAGTGCTGGCGAATCACAAGAGTGTGAGGATGGCCACAACTGGAGCGGTGGTGATACTGGTGCAGTTCTGGCTGCGATTGCCAGTGCCAATGCGCCCCCATTGGAGTCGGCATCTTGTTTTTGACCTGTCAGGTATTTGGCCGGCGAGCGTCGAGGTCGAGAAATGGAAAAGAGGTGTCCATCTCAGCTGCTGTTCAGATAACATTGCTTTTTCCCAGTCTCCTGATCTACAAGTGCTTATTAGTTGGCAGTACGGCATCCTCCGTGTAAGTACCTTATCCAAGTGTTGAGTGGTGGTGAGCCCCCATTCAGACTACTCACCTCCTTGCACATTCTCGCATGCTATAGGCCGCTCTAGGAGACCAATGCCATTCCGTGCTTTCTGTTGGATGAAGCAACTGATGTGCCACTTCGTACGATAGGCGGGCGTATCTGGGGCACGTCGCTTACAGCCGCAGAGGGAGCATTTTCCGAGCATTTGCCACTACATGCCTACCGGACCGGCCCTTCTGCAGGTGCATGTCGGCTGTGAATGCGGAGCTGCGACAGAAGTTCTCGTGGCGACAGAGGCGTCCGGGCGTTCCTGTTGCTGAGTGGTGACGAATATCGCTTGCATGCATGCTGTGGAACGGGCGCATCACCAATTGAACCGACCGCTACCATGCCATCACTTCGGTCGGCTAAGCTGTGATTGGGGCTCGAATCGCCCATCAGATGACAAGGTAGGCCGCGATATACTTTATGTTTGAGTTTCGTCTTGCCCGCTGTAACAGCGTCTGTGGTGAATGATCAAGGATTGACGGGGTTCCATGGTGACGGCAGATGAAGTGTAAACAGGCAATAACGCGATGCAAGGGAGAGATTGGTCGTATAAATTAGCAGTACGAGAGGCAGGACTGTCGAGCCGTGCTGTGTGGGAGGCGGGCAGCGCTAGACCAAGCTGAGACGCAGACGTTTGCACCCGTCCTCGATCCCTGGAAAGTTAATCTCTGAGAGTTTTCAAGTCTGACCACGAGATACAGAATAAGGTAAGATGAGTGCTATAGAGTACATAGTAGTACTATAATATAAAGAAACTTTCATCGCAAGTTGAGACGGAGAAAAAAGCAGCGCCTGAGCCAGAGTTTCACGTTGCATCACGTTTGTCCATGTCGGTGAATCAGGGGAAAGCCGGCTGTCTAAGACACGCAGCTGGTTGACCAACGTCCCAGAACCCTCTCCACCAATCAGGCGCTCGCTGTACTTGGACGGAAGGGAAGCGTACAAGCTTTTGCATACATTCTTCTTGATCTTCCATCATCATAACCCGCGAGTCCGGACATAACAACAGCAGCAACAAGGGATCAGCATATCAACAGAAAACCCAGAATTGACCAGAGACAAAAGTCTGGTCGGCCCCTGTCCCCAGCCGGTCCACAGCCCGCAAACCCCCCTGCCGTGGCCGCCTGTCCCTAGTACTGGGCGCTAGGCCGTTGAGTGGCTGCCAGGCCTGCCAGGCTCTGAAGTTAGTGGCTCGCGGCCTGTGGTTAGTGGCCCGCCGCCCAGGCACGAGAGGTGCTAGGCAAGCTACGCTCTAGCACGGCGGATAGAGAGCTGGACTCGAGGCCATCGCCAGCTGCCGCCGAGCTCAAGCCCCTTCTTGTCATCGCCAGCATCCTGATCCCAATTTCTTCTACCCTTGCCGGGCTGGCACGCTTCTCTCCACTCTTTTTTTTCTCCTCTTCATCCGCTCACGGCTCTTGCCAGCGACTTCTTTTTTCCCCTTCTTCTCTTGTCCAGCAGGCGAAGTCGTTGGTTTCCCGCTCCTCCGTCCGCCCACCGCGCCCACGCTCATTCCGCCCAGCAGCTTGATCAGCTACCAAGATACCGTCCGCCATCGCCGCGTTTGCAATCGACGACTCGACTGCGACTTGTCGACAGCTGCCGCCCCGAAGCATGCTCTCCTGCGCGGCTCTGTGATACCCGACACTCCTTATCGTGTTCCGCTTCCTGGTCTCACGACGCTTACGCCCAAAACCCCCTTTTGCGTGGCGAGTCCGAGCTGCTGCTCCCCTGCAGCGCCATTGACGACCAACGCGCAACACAGCCAAGGGCCATTTCCAGGTACGCATTTTGCTGCGAGGCTGTCCTGCAGGTACCCGTCGAGCGTCACGCACAGCGCCAAGTCACGCTGCACCTATCGAAAAGGCAGCCTGCATTTGACAGCGCCTGGGGGCCTCTCTCAGTCTCTCCGGCAATCGGATTCGCAATTCTTTCTTCTATTTCTTCGTTTCTCTCTTTTGCCTTCTCGTTACGAGGCTTGGCGTCTCATTCTTCCGTTGGTACTTCTTTCCTGGTACGTCAACACTGGTCTTTTTTTAACACCCAACGTGTTCGCCTTTGAAGTGAGGGCAACCTGCGACATATCGAGACACAAAAAGGAACGAGAAAAGGAGCAAAAGAAAATCAGAAGAGTAGCGCAACCTGCTGCAAGAGGTAGAAGATCAACCCTGATTTGGTCATCTCCGAGCCGCTGCGCCGACACCCTCATCCTCATATTCACCACATATACTATGCTTTGCCTTTGGGCTTGATATCTGACGTCTCTCCTGGAAGTTCAGATTAGCACGCGACATCCACGAGACGCAGTGGGCGAATTCATGACACGACATCCGATTCTCTCGGCCTCACACACTCACTTTTAAGCGCTACTGCCAGTTTTTGAGCGACCAAGATGAACGTATTCCGAAATAAGAAGAAGGGCAAGGATGAGGCCGAAAGTGCCCGTCCGTCGATGGAGTCCGAGTCCTCCAGCCCCTTTCGAATGTTTGGCAAAAAGAAAGGCCAAAGCGAAGAGACCAAGCCCGAACTCGACATCAGCAGTGCCCTGCCCTCCACGGACGACTTCAGAACTAGCTTGCTGATGACTGGTCTCTCGGCTCGGTTTTCAATGCTGCGCGAGCAAGACGACCCTACCACCAAGGTGGGCAAGGCAAGCGATGACAGCGTACTCTTCCCCCGCGGACAATCAAACTGGAATCTTGGAGGGCTACAAGACATAGCCGAGGTGGAGTCGATTAGGTCGCCCTCCATCTCCCGTCTGGAACCCTTCAACATTGACGACTCCGGAAGCGTCATGAACCGGGCAAAGCCTGTGGACGGAAACACTCTCTTTGGCGGCCGGCAAAAAGTCTACAGGCTCCCGGCGAACGGCTCTGGCGCGGGAAAGGACGGCCCCATGTCCAGCCGGACGCTACTCGAGGATGATGTGGGCATGTCTGCCTTCCAGAAATGGCGGTTGGCAGAGAAAGAAAGGCAGATGGCCGAAGGAGGCGATTCCTCTTCCAACGAGGCGGCAGACCTCGAGTCTCAGTCAGACTCACACTTGGAGCCGCCGCAGGACTCCCAGTCGGAACTGCTGTCAGAGTCCCGGTCTGAGACCAGTCGGCGACGAGAGACAAGCTCAACGGTTTCGTCGGTTGCCGCTCGCTACTCTACTGCGACGTCGGTTACCTCTCAAGGCGCAACGTCCGTCCGGGATTCCCAGTTCACGTCGTCGACCTCGTCGTCTTCTGCGGAGCGGAGCGTCCTTCGGACACGACGTCTCTATGAGCAGGGCCTAAGCCGCGACCTTCAAGACCAGCAGTCGTCAGCCATGTCCAGGATGGATCATCTGTCCAAGGGACGCCCCTTTGCATCTGCGATGCCTGATGGGGCCTCGCCAACTGCCAGTGCCTTTGGCGATCGCATCCTGGAGCGACGGCCGATCCTGGCAAAGGCTAGTGCCCCCAACCTGCGGTCGTTCACTCCCTCGGCCACCAATTCTGCATCCGCTTCTCCTTCTGAGACCAGTTCCAAGTTCCCGGCCGCTGGGGTCTCCAAGTCAAACTTTGGGGCCGCGCCCATCAGCCCCCCTATGAGCGAGCCAGAAGATCATCCGATGCTTGCTATCCAGCCCAACGACAGAGGCAAAGCCACGGCCATGGGCGTTTTCGAGAGGCCAGCTGAGAAGTACGATGACTCCACCTATGCGCAGCGGCAGCTACAGCTTCAGCAGGGACGAGAAACGCCGGTGAACCGCCACCGCTCCATGGAATCCAGCGTCTCCGCCACTTCAGATATCAAGTCATCGTCAGCGATGCAGCAAAACAAGGCCGAGCCTGCGACAGCCAAAGCAGTGGCCCCGGAGGACCCCCCTTCCTTTTTCGATGACAGCGACGATGATTCGTCCATGCTGAACGGAGCCCCGAATACCATTAAATCGCCAAACCCAAGCCTGTCAGTGGAAAGGCCCAACGATGGCGATCATCCAGCCTTCAAGGGGTCTGCCATCCCTGCCCCCCTCTCGCTCGGTCCCCGAGGCCCATCTGGCAACCTTTCGGCCGCGCCCAGTCCTGTGCCTGCCGCCCCGCAGGACTCTCCAACTCTGGGGCCAAATACCGGCTTGAGTGGTATGGTGCGGGCTCATCTGCGTAGCGACAGCAACGCCTCCTCGGTCTATGGCATGCCGGCAGAGGAGTCGGAGCCGACTCGGGCACAGAGCGGTCTGGGCTTGGATCATGACCGCAGTCCCGGCTCGGCACAATCGGCCACCCATGGACGGCCCCCGATGTCCCGGTCACCTTCCCGCCCCAGGGCTTCCAACGACGAGGTAGAGAGGGAGGAGGAGGATGCATTCGCCCGTCACCTTGCCGATGGCGCTCGACGCGTCCGCGAGAAGCTGGGTTCGATGGTGGATGCCGAGATGGACAGGCCGTCTCCGATGACCCCGTCCGCCTTGGATAGTCCCAAGGACGTCCCCCCTCCTCGAACGAATGCCTTGGGCATTCTAAAGTCCAAATCTAGCCACACCTCTCTGTTTGACCGCCACGCTCGCGACCAGAGCCAGCCGAGGTCCATGAAGATGGTCATGTCTTCCAACGGAAGTCTCCCGCCATCTCGGAGAGGATCCACGGAGGCCGCAGATGACTCGCGCCGAGGGCGATCAACGCAGGCCCGAGAGCGACCATCAGACAGGGGCGTTTCGACGGACAAAGAGGACAACGTCCCCGTCGGCCTCAAGGCATTCCGCCAAGCACGTCTCGAGCTCCAGAAGATGAAGGATGTGGATACAACGCAAAGACCCTCGGAACGACCTCCGCTGAGCGCACGGTTGGCGTCGCACGATGCCGGCGGCCCTCCACCAGCCATGTTTAACAGAAAGGCACGTGACGAGTCTCGGCATGGAAGTGGTTCTCGCGCAACCTCACGAGCAGGCTCGCGAGCTCCTTCTGAGCGAGAGAGGAGCGGATCGGAAACGAGCAACACAGGCCCCCCTCCGCTTCGACCGATGCGGCTAAGGAACGGGTCGAATGCGTACGACGACCAGTATATGCCAGTTAGTCCACCAGGCAGTGCCAGAAGCGCCCCGGGTATGAGACACGGCCCTCCCAGTGCTCGACAGCGCCCTCCCTACGAGGCGGGACAGCCCTCCCCGATGGCCTCTCCCGTTGGCATGGGCACGAGGTCCAGAAACGGCAGCCTGCTCGGAGCGACGGCGTCGACGCCGAACCTGTTGTCGAATGCAGCAGCCCCTCCACTGCCACCGATCAACCCCCGGCGCAAGACCCTGGGCCGGGGCAGCGAGGATGGCGGCATGCCATCGCCGCGAGTTCCCGGGGGCTTCCCCGGTCAAGATGAGTCGGATGACGATACTCTGGCCCAGCGCCGGCAGAAGCTGCGCAAGGCCACAAGCGAAGGCACCAGCCTGAGATCGAGAAACGTTCCTCCTCCCAGCAACGGCATGAGGCCGCCAATGCCTCAGGGTGGACTTCCGGGCGGCCTCATCTGAGGACCACACACTCGCCCTCTACTGCCTTTCCTCTTTTCTTCTTTGAGGCGTGACTTGCGCACATTACGCTCCTCATTTTGCCACTTTCTAGGTGTCACGCCCTATTGAGCTTCCTGGGGCAAAGGGAAAAGAACGACAAAGACACTTCTGCCGATACCAACATTGTAATACTATAACGGCTGTACCGTAGCGGACATGACATGGGCGCTTTCGAATTTGTTTCTAATCCCCCTTTCTCTGACATTTTCATGCAACATGTTCTTTTCTTTTCACCCTGTCAACTTGCGCGTGGGTATATATGGGTTGATCCAGGGATGCAATATCTTGGGAGCGACTCTTCCTTTCTCCTTTGGTTTTTCTTTCTCCTTTTCTCTGTACAGAAGCGGTTTACTGGTGGAACACCTATCAGGCGGGACTTGAAATCATAATCACGGCGTCGGGATTTGCTCTTACAAAACAGAGACATGCGTCGATGGCAGCTCGGCACACAGGGAATCGATTCACACGGCAAGGGAACTGGCGGGTGGGGTTGTACGTGGGGAGAAGTTCCATTGGGAGCACAGATGGTGTAGATATGAAAGTAGTGTGATCCGTATCCCGAACGAAGACTTTTGGGTGAATTGAAGAGGAGACCAAGAAAAGGGATGCGTGCCCTCATTCTGCCTGTTTGGCGTGAAGCCGCTGCTGCGATGATGCTCGTCGTCGGAGTTTTAGCCGTTGCTCGCCGAATTCCTATCACTCCGAGCTGTATATAAAGTACCATATGATCAATAACATTGGGAAAACAGGAAGACAGACTATTTAGATCGTCCGCAAGTATCGTCCGAGTTGGAAGACCAAAGCTTGGGGCTAGATCTTGGAGGCTCCCCGAGCTGAGCCCCAGAAGAGGGCGCACAAGTTACGTTACTTCGGGGCTTGTCGGCCAGCTCTTATTTACTTAGCTGCGTTTTCGGCTTCGGTGTGTGACACGACAGGGGGAATTGAACGGGGGAAAAGGGAAAATAGGGCGGGATTGGTTTCTTGTGTAATCGTCTTTATTCCTTTTCCCCCACGTAAGGTCAGTGAATGGGAACTGGGGAATGACGGAGCTGGGAGTGGTTTGGACAGGGAGGATGAGGGGGGAGGAGGAGGGGTTATTTCTCCGGAAATCGACTCTTCCAGCTTGTTTTACTCTCTCGTCAACACCACGGCTTCGAGACACCCCTTGTGAAGCTGAAGATAGAAGAATAAGTTTGAGTTCCTTTTGAGGTGTCACTTTGTTGATTCGACAATCTTGGCCTGTTTCTTGTCTTGTCCCGTATACTTTGTCCATTTGTCCACACGTCTCAACTGAGGAGATAAAGAGAGGTACGGCTGAACTTGTAAGGCGGGGTTTGCGTGAGAAGTGAAGCTGCAGAAGCTGAGGGAAACAACACACAAAAACGGCTGACGAACACCGATTCTGACGCTTCAGTCTAGACTCGTCTATTCTCTCCCACCATTTCTCCTCAATTACGGGGTTATATAAAGATTTTTAAAGGGTAAAATCAAAAGCCATGGCGTTTATTCGACAGTATAAGCCCTCCGACTTTGACGGCATGGCTCACATTGTAAGTTTTCGCCCTTGAAATAAGAAACTCTGTTCCCATTTGCCTTTTTATTTCCCCCAGCTTTTCCCCCCAGATGTCATCGGATACCCCCGCTTGGCTTGTGTGTTCCGGTGCCCGAATCTCACGGTGACGACAAAGCCTTCCGCCCTTGCCCCTAACACACATCTTTTCCCATCCTCGTGATCTGTTTTCTCACTTCTCACTCTCCACCCTCCAAATCTCACTCTCTCACTCCCTATACAGTGCCGCGAAACGCTCAATCCCGCGCTCGCCTCGTCCGTGCCCGGCCGTCGCCTGGCCCCCTACGTCTGGACGCACCAGTACACGCACCTCTCGCCGTCAACGTGCTTCGTGCTCGACGACGGCGCCGGGCGTCCCGTGGGGTACTGCATCGGGTGTCCCGACATTCCCGCCTTCGTGGCCGCGTACGATTCATACACGACCGAGGTGCTTGACAACTCCCCGGATGTGACGCGGCCGCAGGACCTCGAGGCCAAGGAACCGCTGTTTCTCGCCGACGGCAGCGTCAACGAGGTAGTTTTGGAGCGACTGGCGTATAACCCGCATCTCCTGCTGGTGGACGGCAACGACGACCTGCTGGCGGAGTACAAGGCGACGATGCACATTGATCTGCTGCCGGAGGTGCAGGGCAAGGGGTGGGGGCGCAAGCTGATCGAGGCCTTTGTCGGGAGCGTGCGGCACGTCAAGATGGCGGATGGGAGCGAGAGTCGGGGGATCTGGATTGGCGTTGCGGGGGATAATGGCAAGGTCGTGCCGTTTTATGAGAAGCTTGGGTTTAGGATCAAGAAGAGGCCGGTGGAGAGTAAGACTTTTCTCATGGTTTGGGATTACTGAGAGGCGTTTTGTGTTCAGGTCGTTCGATGGCGAGAGTTTTATACTGACGAGTGCTTTTGTGGTTTTGAATAAGCTTTTTGTATTGATTTTTTGTTATTTTGAATGTTAAGCTATCCGGCCTGTCCCAGTTTCAATTCGAATCGATCCAAACGGGGAAGGGAGGAGATGGAACAGAAGAGAAAGCAGTCAATCTGCTTCCATGGTAATAGTACAATATTGCCCGCGAACAACCACTCCGTAGCCCATAAGAGAAACCCAAGTAAGTGCAAAGATGATGGCAAAAGTGCTTTGTCGTAAAAGAGAAACAGGGTATCGCACAGGAGGTCCGCTCCGGAAGGGAAAAAAAAAAAGGGAAGAGAGGAAAGGCGTTTCGGTCGTTGTTGTTGAGGTCGTGTACAAGAGCCAGCCTTGGTGGCTACTGGCCGCTGGATGGAGATATCATGAGGGGCCGTGTTGTGTTTTTGTGTGGTGCTGATGAGAAGTGTGAGTTTATGGTCGTCGAGAGATCGAGAGCAGGGCGGTCAAGACAAACATTGGTCAATCGAGACATTTGGTCGTCTTGACGAGGCTTGTGCAGTCGTCTAGCACATGGGGCAGTGGGAGCATTGCTTGTGGCCGCAGCAGGTGCAGGTTGTGCTGATGACAATCATGCCACCGCATTGGCAACAGTACTCGTAGGCAGGCATGATGGTTGTAGTAGAGGTGGGAGTAGTTGGGAAGATTGTAGATTTTTGGCTTGCGGAGTGAAGTTGTCGTGGAAGAGAGTGCGTGTAGACAGGAGAGAGGTGGGTTGAGGAGGGAGAGACGAAGCAGGAGGAGGGAGAAGAGGAGGAGGGTCGACTTATTATAGTTCAAACAAGGCGGCTGTCTGAGAATGGGTGGGCAGAACTAAGAAGAAGAAAAATTGTGACGGCACAGCATCTATGGGAGCTTACTAGTCAGTTAAGGTTGCAGCCAAAGTATCACCAGTTCAAGACGACTTTTGAGACATGCTATGCTTAGCAGTATGGGGCACAATGAGGACGTCTGGCCATAACCCGGCTGGCAGCTGTGGCTTCACGGAACCGGTGGATCGTGTAGTAGTACTACTATCCGTATTCACCAGAGGAGAATTAGCAGGAGGAGGAGGTGGGATGAGATGGAGGTCCGCACTTTGGAGACAATGATTGGCGAGTGTCTAAGACGGGCACAGCCCAGAAGACGGCAAGCCTTTCACACGACCATCTCCGAGACCGAGAGACACACACACCAAGAACGACTTATCGGGATTCTGATGACGCATTTCCATCTGTCATGTACCGCATCAGGGCAATTGGGGCGCTGCCATAGGTGGGATTGGGGCTCGGCGGGCACGCAGACAAACCAAAAAGAACAAGGACCGGATGCGCAGAAAGTGGCGTCGACGCCAGACAGGGATATTGCGATCTGCCTAGTTTTTTGTTCTGGGGCATCGGCGTGGGATCGCTGATTGGGCCGCGGGGCCATCGGGATTTGGTGCAGCTGGAGGGACCCCCAGAATCGATTTGATGTTTTTTGATGTCGTTGGATTTTCCATGTGAAGTTGTGATGTGTTTGCTGGTGTTTTGCTGGAGGTGAGAAGCATTATCAAAGGTACGGCGTAGGTACGGACAGCCAGTGTACATACGTCACGTCACGGGCCGAAGAGCTACCGACAGAGCGTACATGCTGTGACCACCGCCTTCTTTTCTTTCTCTCTCCGTCATTTTCCATCAAGAATCAAACAACTCTCTCCGATTCCTCCCGAACTCTTACACATTACCACTTCTACAAATTACCAGAGAAAAAAGGGACGCAGCGTGGGATGCCGTGTCTCTACCGGGTCTTCCAATCTCGCTTGCATCGCATGACTGCTTGACAATCAGCCCATTTTCCATCTTCCCTCAAACTTCACCTTGGCTCAGCAGGCAGAAGCCGTCAATCCCCCACGCCACCCCCAGAGACGACAACGACGACACCACCTACCCAGGACAACAAGCTAGTACTGCGAGTACACGAACATGTAAGAAGCCCACCTACACTACACCAGAGAAACAGTTTGATGGCTGATTTTGGCTGGAATGGTCAGAGTTTAGGGTCGGTTTCTGGCCCGGCTAGCAGGACGCGGACTGCGGCTCGACGTGCGGGGAAGCTTCGCATCTCATGCACAGACAGAGTGGCGGCAGGGATTGCCGGGACAGCCAATATTTGCTGCTGCAGCTGCAGCTGCATGCCCTTTCGACCACATGCAGTAATATTTGGCTGCGTCCAGACCTTCTCTTGCCGGGTCTAGTCTGCCCGCGTTCGACTCATATCGAGTGCATCCTTTTCCGTCTCAGCCGGCATATCCTTGGCTGGTGTCTCTTGTTGCTCACGCATCGCAGGTGGTAGATGGGTCATCACGCCGAACAAGCAACTTTGGCCTCGGCCATGACTGAGTGCGCAATGCGTTACAAAGCAACCTTGGTATCAAGTACAGTGCCTTGAGTGCCTTGAATCTAGGTACTTGAGAGCAGAAGGAACTGGAGGCAAGATCCAAAACACCTAGCAGGATGCTAGGGATCGACGACTTGGCAGCAGCCGTGACGGATGCTCGCAACCAAGTCCAGCTGTGCTCGTTCAAGTGTGTCTCGTTTCGACCGAAAAGGCTGGCTGGATGCCCAACGGGGCTGTGGTTGTGGCGAACCGCCCTCCAGCGCCATGCGACCCTGCAGACTTCGCCTGTCCGTCGAGATTGTTCGGAATGCCAGCCTGCTTGGCTGCCGTCGGGCTGGACCGGGGTACGTACCCCGTCCATTCCAGGCCGCGGGGCAATCCGGGGAAGCGGTCCAGCTTCTCCCTCCTGTTGTCCATCGACGTCACTGAAGCCGCCTGCTTGGCTGCCTTGGTCGTGATGCTTCCAAGGGGTAGGACCTTTGACAGCTGTGCTCCCTGAGTGGCAAGCTGGCAAATGACAAGCGCTCGTACATGGCACGTAGCCATCTTGCCATCGCAGCTCAGATAATACATCCGAGTACGCGGGCGATGATACCAGGCAGTTATTGCATGGCAACATGTTTGCGGTGGAGGTCCAGGTAGCTGCACATCATTACCATGTTACGAATTAAGCCCTGGTCATAAGCTGCTTCTTGGCTTCGATGGTGGCGGACTGGCGCGCACATCCTGCTGCTGCTGCTGCAGGTCAAAGAAAGCTTGGGCGAGCTCTTTCTGCTGCGAAGCCAACTTGTTTGAATGCATGCGGCAGTAATCGTCGCTGTGCTACAAGTGGTGCTCCATCTACCACAATATTGCAGGAGTCCATGTCCAAGATCATCGCATATCGTTACAAAAGCACCTCTCAAACGGAGATCACCAAAGCAGATCCCGATCGAGGCATTGCTTTGTCGTATTCTGCTGTTGCCATCGAATAAGCAGCGTTGAGCGACCTTGGCGACATCCCTGGTGAACAGATGCAGAGTCCGCCTTCAAGATCTGCCGTCTGGGGTCTCCTCGTTCTGCGCTGGCTGGCTTACGCGGGCTCGAATGCTACATCGAAGCGCCTCTCGATCAGTTTGGATGTCGGCTTCGGAGCGAGACAGCCTTAAACCCGAGCCCGTGGTACACATAGAAGGGTGTCGAGTCGCGTATGTCTCCCGGAGCCAGATCGGAGAGAGATCATCTTCCTTTTTGATCACGGAACCATGCGAGGACCTATGCTCGTCTTGCACACCGATTTAATTGGCTGGTCCTGTCCGAACGGACTCAGAGGCACCAGTGACATTTGGTAAGTAAGAATTGAAAACTCAAGTCGGCATTGTGTGATTACATTACTTGATATCATTAGCGATATATATCTGGTCCTCCATCGATAATCTTTATTACACCGGCGTGACTGCTGCCCCTTGAACCATCGTCTTCAACTTTCCCACGTCTACCCCGTGCAGGACACGCGCATTCACTGGATGAGCTGCGCCGCCTCTCCAATATGCTCGGCATGAGTCTTCACTCGGTGCCAGTACCTTGTCACCAAGGGGCTGAATTCTGGTGCCAACACCGCAAGTGCGGCAGAATGTTTTACTCGCAAGACCGTCCGCGAACGTATAGCTGCCAATATCGTCTTCGGATCCCGAGAGGACCGTGTTTTCAGGCTTCGGAAATAGCCAGACATATGCGTTCTGCATTGTTGTGCTTAGAATGGTGGAAGAGCGACGAAGCCAACTGATGGTGGAGGACGCAACTTACCCTCTGACAGATACGACAATTGCAGACAACAACTTCCTCTTGATCCAACTCATTCGGAGGTTTGCTTGAGAGGGCCACGGTTACGGCACCGCAGTGGCAGCTCCCAGTGTATAGCCGGCTACTCTCAAGATCACGCGGGATGTCCCCTTTGTGCTCTGGAGGCTGATACGGGGCGCCAACTTTGGAGTTGAAGATGCTGGGCGCGGTTACTTCCGGATACTCTTATACGCCTTGTTGTCTTACTTACTATTTCCGTTCCAAGAGGTCCACGTCAATATCTTGCAAGGCTCGGGCCTAACCGCCTCTCGTGAGCAACGGTATCATAACGAAGAGACACGCTGCTGAGAACTCACGTTCAGCACTAATCTCATGTGCGGAGGGCCGTTTGGCATTCTCGACAACATGCTCGTTGCGCATATCGGACAGAACTGCACCAAGTCAACAGCCACCCTCACCTTATATCCTCCAATCCTTTTCTCGATCACACTTTGCATACCTTGTGAATCTTGCTCCCCGGTCCGAAGGTGTAAGACTTGAGGTTTTCTTCTTCATTTCCATGGACGACTCTGAAGTTGGCCTCCTCGCTTGTCGGGACGTATAGGTTACCCGTGCGGCTACAGAGGCTGCAATCGCATTCTACGACGGTTCTCAGCTCGGGAAGGTCGATTTCGTAGATGAAGGCGCCGCAGTGGCAGGACCCGCGGTATGTGCGCCGACTCGGCTGGCTCTGGGTTGGTGTCATGATGGAATTGAATGAGGTGAAATGACCGGCTGAGTTGCGGATGGAGAATGCTGGTGTGTAGTATATGATGAGGTACAGGAGTGAAATCGCTTCTCTTCTATATAGATTCGCATCACCTGCTGCTCTGCGCTCTCAATCCCTTCCCCCAACAAAGCACAATTTGAGATGGACTAGCGTCAGATGGCATCGGCGTCCCCCTGACTACAGCAGACCGGGAATCTTAAAATCAAGGTGACGGCCGGTGGGCCAAGAAAGACGGCCGGGGACGGATAGGCCTCCAAGTGGAGATGGAAGTCGGACTAGAGTTGCTGTCGATACCGGCGAGGGTCCGGTATAAGGCGAAGCTGACGTCGTTCGTTGGGGTTCCCAGGAGGGCTGATGTAGCAGGCTGGAGAGAAGATAATGCATAGTGGTGTATCTGGCTGATTGTAAGCTTGGAGCCTTGAATGATAGACCGCGGAACTATCGTAAGTCTAATTCTGCATAAGACTGTAACGTCTAAATCATTGGGTTTGTTCTCACCACCACGTCTTGATATCGCTAGCCCAGACACACAACACCACCCCTCTGTACCAAAGTGAGATATATAGGTATGCAATATCACAACAACGAAACGGTCGAGCCAAAGCCAGCAAAACAAGAACTAGAAAACCAGGCATATCTCTTTTTCCTTGCACATTCCTATTCCATCGGACAAAGGTTTTGTTGACTCAACAGGTAAAAGAGATGAGACTTGTGTCGGTTCCACTTTAATGTTCAGTAATCATTTATGTGTTGAAGTTGGGATTCTGTTGAGGTGGGAGGCCGACGCTTGGACCTGTTCTTTGAGAGGAGAGAAGAGTGACGGATATGACTTGGTGTGAGTTTGGAAGCTTGAAGGAGAGATTTTCATTTTTTTTTCTTTTCTTTTTATTGTGGCTATGTGTTTCGATTTGGTCTGTTTGTGCTTGTTTGGCTTTGTGACTAGCTTGATAACTTGATACGTCTGTGTGAAGTATAGGCAGTTTATAGGTAAGAGTTCCAAGTTGCACGATCTCAATCATGCTATTTTGCTGTGGTGCGTGAGGCTACGAGGTCCTCAGTATAAATCCATCTTCCATTGACCATCGTTGCTGTGGAATTCAAAGGCTGCTTTTCGAGGTTCGTTTACGAGTAAGATCTGATCTGGCGACATTCCCATACCCGATCCGTAATTCAGAACATATTGGCAAGCTGTGAGGCCTCTGCTACATGCCTTGTGGAAGCTCACACCGAATGCCGAGAGCTGCAGGGACGTGACGAGGCAGGTATAATTTGCATTTGGGTTGTTGAACGCCGTCACTGCCTCGTCACGCTCGGCCTGACCATGCCGCGACATGTAATGTAGCGTGCTTAAACCAGCTGCGACTAAGAGTGCGTTAGGATTCTGTGTATGTATATGTTAGTGCCTCGTAGTCGACGGCGGCTTCTAGGAATGGTCGTTATGCGTAGGGGCACATGCGGACTTCTCGGAAAGACCGTTGGCCAACGATCGTTCCTAGAGGGCGCCGGAGAGGGAAAATGCAGCAAAGAAAAGACTTACTGTGAGGTCAAGGGGTTATTCGCGTAGATCAAGAACCTTTCGCCTTTCTCTTTCGCATCCAACGCCTCTCGAAGGACGTAGATTATTTTGGCGAGTTATACGCCGTGTATGCAATATGATGAGGCGCGGAGTTCATGAATCTCACGCGACTGTCTTCCCGGGTATTGTAAAAATACCATTCGAGACCGCCCGTCAGGTCGACGAGGGAGATCTGATTAATCTCCTTTGTCCCTGCTGCCGGATAGAGAAGAGATCTCGTGTGTTTCTTTACTTCTCCTGTACATACCTAGTTTCTCAAGGTCAGTACATTGATACAGCTTAACAGTAGGAAAGGTACACACACGCAGTGGGTTGCGAACCATCAACATGGCCCGGGATTGTGATACGTCGTGAGCTCAGCGGGGCGTTGTGTGAAGTGTGGTGTCTGTACTTCCAATATAGCTGCGGCTCAGAGGAGGTATATCTTGGCTGGATGTGACGGCAGACACCGGACGATCAGGTCCAGACAAGCCTCGTTGTGTAAAAACATATTCCGTGGTGCGAATGGATAACACAGCAGGCGATCCTTGATGACTTGATCGTTAAAGCGGTGCAGGATGTATCCCCATCAACGAAGTTCGAGTGATTGGCTTGCTAATTTGTTCTGACAGTCCGCGTGAGACGAGCATATGCAATGGAGGCGATGCCAGAATCCGCGCTGTGTTGCTTTTCCATGTTCCGAGGCATCAGATTGAGTGGCGGCAGATTGCATCGATCATATCGAGTACTGCGACCTGTTTCGCGTCAGTACGAGTTGCCAACGACACCATTATGAACTTACTGGGAGCACGACATCGGCATGCATTGAGAGAGCGCCCATCTCTCACATCGACAGCGCGGGGATACGTCATCAGGTACTCAAAAGTATCCCTTGCATGGAATCGTGTTCCTACAACAATCAGTACCATATCGCAGCGACATCTCCTCCAAACAACAAACAAAAACATGTGAACTTACAGAGCGCCAGATTGAGGAGAGATGTCGGGGATTGAGTTCTGTATCTACTATTTTCCAACTGGGTAAGGATCGTTCGAATCCCATTTGACCCAGGTCGAGGTAGTAGTCCTCTATGTCTTGATCATACAATGGTGATGGTGATAAGGGTCTGAGTCGTAGAATGACCGCTGAATCTGTTGGCTGGAAGGCTTCGTTGTAGAAGCAGACCTGCTGGTGCTTCGGCGGCTTTGTGGCCGATGTCTCTTCACGAAAAGGGAGGAGAGAGCGTGAGAGGACCTGTCTGTAAAGGGGGCAATTTGTAGGCAGGTTGGCTTTTGGAGACATTCGTAATCTGTCTCTGCATATCCTATCTGCTGTTTTGTTCCAAGCAACTAGGATGTGATTTTGCGTAGTTTCTCCTGGGGCCACATGGGTTGGCTCTTCGGGTTGCTGATCTGAGGGCGAAAGAAGGGCTCGAGGTCAGAAAGAGAAGGGGTCGGGAGAGGAGATGCTCACTTACGTGTTCTGTTCAACCGCTTTTGCGGAACTTATCGAGGGCGTTGGCTCCTCAGACAGTCTGTGCCCGACATTCAGTAGTTCGATCAGTAGTAGAGCCATAGGCGACGTCTTCGATGACGGATACGGGCTCTCGCGGTAAGGGAAGATGTTAAACGATCATCTTGCTGTCAATGTTGTATGATGATGCAAGTTCCTGTTATCCTTGCGTTTCTTCTTCATCATGTGTATCTGTGTGCAAGGCGTGGTTAAGGAGAAAGAGGGCAAAGGACAGTGCCGGCCAAACGAGGGCATGGGGGGTCTTTATGTCTTCCTTGACGCTCTTGATGCCAACCTTCTTTTGTTGAGACAGGAAATGACGACACGTAATAGAAAAGTCGGTCAACGGGTGACTACATTAATGATGATCCGTGATGCTTGTCATGTCCGTGGCCGTCAGACATGAAGCTTATCGCCTTGTGGCTCTCTCTCACAGTGACATAAGTCAATCTCCGTCTACAGCACCCATCTTTGCATTCTATCGAAGTTTTTCTTATTCTGAAGTCCCTAAACTGCAACAATCGAAGAACTTTTAGAAGAAATATCTCTCTGTCCCCTCTTATTGATGTTGCTGCTCGACGAAGGCCGTCGGTCTAAGCCATCACAAGGGCTTACATACAGGTAGGCAACCGGCAGATCTGGAGAGCAGCTGGCCGTGATATGCCGGCAAGTGGAGCAACAGAATCAAATCCTGGCCGGTTGAGTCAATGCATCAGGAAAAACTGCATGAATCTGGTAGGTGCGTACTGTGAAGCCTAGCTGGTTTACATTGATGAAGTTGATAGAAGAGGTAGGCTTCGTTTATCTGAGGCATTAGGGTGGACATGGACTGTGTGTGGCTGCAGCTAGCCCTGGCCTCCGTGGCTGTGTAAGGCACCTTCACCAGGCAGATCTCAAATCGATCCAATTCTGTGCCAGACAGCTGCAGCTTCAGCCAACCAACTGCCTCAATTGGCTCAATAGCTCGACTTGTCAATGCCAAAGTGTCCCCTCAGCCTCCAATGCGGGAACCGAGATTTCATCTTTCAGCCAGATCGGCCCCTTGCTAGCGCTGCTGCACCTCCTCCGTTGTTGTCCTCTTTCGGCATCTGCCTATTGATCCTACGGCAGGGCCTGCCGAGGAGATGGACGGTGAGCACAAGATTGATCAGATTGATGCCTTGAGAGATGTGACGATGAAATCGACATTGACCAGCGGTCTAGTCGAGTCCTGGGCCCAGGCCGGTGACTGCCTGAAGTCGACGGCGGCTGAATCATTGGCCGCGTCTTACAAGCATCCAAGCATCCAAGCCAAGGTGCCGAAGTGGAGGCTCTCCAGCCCAAGAGTCGCTGCGGCTGAAGGGCATGGACTGGTCCCGAGCAAGGTGAATTGGCCAATGGTCAAGGCAACGGCATCTGTATTGCATATAAGTACCGTGGATGAGTTTCTCAGGCGAGCATGACTGGAACTCTCTGTACTTGTACACCTAGAGACCTCAGCTCAAGCTCGCAGCCATGACCAACCTCAACAAGCAGCATCAGGCCATCGGCGTTCCGGTCGTCCAAACCCAGCTAGAGCAACTCTCCATCGACGAGGACAGGCCCAACCAAGCGGCAACGGATCCGCCTCCCTACGATGCTCCGTCCATCCCCGTCGACCTTCAACTCCATCACATCCCCTCCAAAGACGCTCTCCTCGTCAAGATCCAGCCTCCCAAGGAGCCCCCCAAGCCAATCAGCCATGTGGCCTGCGACATCGTCCTGGTGATTGACGTCTCCGGAAGCATGTGCGCCGCGGCCCCCGTGCCCGGCGAAGGAGGCGAAGAAACCGGCCTGTCCGTCCTGGACCTGACCAAGCACGCCGCCTTCACAATCATCGAAACCATGGACGAGAGAGACCGTCTGGGCATCGTGACATTCGAGACCGAGTCCAAGCTGGTGCAGTGGCTCGAGCCCATGACAGACAGCAACAAGGAGCAGGCCCGCGAGAGGGTCAAGGCCCTACAGCCACTGGGCTCGACCAACCTCTGGCACGGCATGCTGGACGCAATCAAGCTCTTTACCAGAGAGCAGGGCCGCAGCCATCGGGTGCCGGCCATGATGGTGCTGACGGACGGAGAGCCGAACCACATGTGCCCGCCCCAGGGGTACATCCCGAAGCTGAGGGCCATGCCGCCGCTGCCGGCCACGATCCACACGTTTGGCTTCGGCTACACTCTCCGATCCGGGCTGCTCAAGTCCATCGCTGAGTTTAGTGGCGGCAATTACGCCTTCATTCCGGACGCGGGCATGATTGGGACCGTCTTTGTTCACGCCGTGGCCAACCTGCAGGCCACGTTTGCAACCAATGCTTCGTTGACCCTCCGATATGCGGCCCCGATCAAGATCGAGCAGACAACTGGTGATGCTGTCGACAAGGAGGCGCCGGTTGAACTCGGCCATCGGCAGAAGAAGCTGACGATACCCTTGGGGAACATTCAGTACGGACAGTCACGCGACCTTTGGCTTCGGTTCAGGGGCACGGCACCAGAAGAGCAGGCGTCAGACTCTGTCATGCTCGAGGCCACTCTCACCTTTCAGGAGGCGGAGAGGCCGTCATCAGCATCCGTCTCAGCACGCCTCGGCGGAAGCGATACATCCTCTGAGCTGGTGACTCTCTCCGCCGCCGAGGCAGCCTACCACGAGTCGCGAGCCCTCGTCCTCAGCTTCATCTCGACCTTGTTCCCTCTCGCATCCGACGGAGAATACAAGTCGCTGGCATTAGCAAACCAACAAATCAAGAAGCGGCAAGAGCTGTCTCAACTCATCGAATCCCTACCCAGCGGCGACTTCACCGACGATTTGAACAAGTCGCTGCTGGAGGACCTCAGCGGAGAGCATCCCAAGGGCCAGATCAGCCTCGCCCTGTCGACGCCGCACTTCTTCACCAAATGGGGCCGGCACTTTCTGCCGTCGTACGCAAACGCCCTCAGCCGCCAGATCTGCAACTCGTTCAAGGACTCGGCGCCGCTCCAGTTCGGCTCCCAGAGCCCGCTCTTCATCGCCTGCCGCGACCGCCTGGACACCGCCTTTGACAGCATCCCGGCCCCTGAGCCGTCCAGGGTCGTCTTGAGCCACCACAGCAACAGCAGAAGCGGCACCACAACCTCTCCCGTTCCGCCTCCGTCCATGGCCAGATACCGCAACTCTTCGGGCGTGTGCTTCGCCGGCTCGACCGCCGTGGAACTGGCCTCGGGCAGAGTCACGGAAATCCGAAAGCTCAAGCACGGCTCCCGCGTGCGCACCCCTCTGGGGCCGAGGAAGGTGGCCATGGTGCTCAAGACAAATGTGGCGAGCGAGGCGCTGTGCCGCATCGGCTCGCTGCTCGTCACGCCGTGGCATCCCGTCTCCATGGATGCTGGCAAGAGCTGGGACTTTCCGGCCAACATGTCGGGTCACAACAACGCGGTGGTGCTCTACACCGGATGCATATACTCGGTCCTGCTGCAGCCTGACAGGAGGCCGGACGCCCATGCCATTCGCGTTGGCCATGATGCTTGGGGCGTCACGCTGGGACACGGCGTCACGCGAGGCACCGACGCCCGAGCCCACGAGTTCTTTGGCCACTATGCGAGGGTGAGATGTGGATTGATGAAGCTGGAGAGTGCGGGCAGGAGAGGCGTCGTCAAGGGACGAGGTATCGAGCGAGATGCCACGACGGGGCTCGTCAGGGGCTTCAGGCAGACCAGAGACATGAAGGCAGCAGCACCTATCTAGTGTTTAGAAACAGTCTATTGACACGGGGTTATGGATTATAAAAGTACATGACGATAGCTACATACGAGACATCACATCTTGTTTCTGGGCATATCTACTCCCGCACAAACACGCCCGCCATGCCCATGCCCGTCCCAACACACATGCTCACAACACCAACCTGCCCGCCCTCCCTCTTCAGCCCATGCATCAACGTGCTCGCCATCCTCGCCCCCGTCGCCCCCAGCGGGTGTCCCAGCGCGATCGCGCCGCCATCAGGATTCACCTTGCCCCTCTCCCACGCCTCCATGAGCCCCAGCTCGCGCAGGCAGTACACCACCTGGCTCGCAAACGCCTCGTTAATCTCCCACCGGTCCACGTCCTCCTTGCGCAGCCCCAGCCGCGCCAGCAGCCGCGGGATCACAACTGCCGGCCCGACGCCCATCTCGTCCGGCGCGCAGCCCGCCGTCGCCGCGGCCACAAACTTGCCCATGACGCGGTGGCCCAGGCCCAGCTCCGCCGCCGTGCTCCGGCGCATCAGCAGCGTCGCCGCCGCCCCGTCCGAGACCTGGCTCGAGTTGCCCGCCGTGCTCGTCCCGTCCTCCGCAAACGCCGGCTTCAGGCGCGCCAGCGACTCCGCCGTCACGCCGTCCCGGATGCCGTCGTCCCGCGCCACCGTCACCTCGCGCGCCTCGCCCACGGCATGCCCCTGCTTGTCCACGTCCTGGAACCTCGTCCGCACGGGAACGACCTGCCCGTCGAACCATCCCGCGTCCCGCGCCCTCGCCGCGCGCACGTGCGACTCCGCCGCCACCCGGTCCTGCACCGCCCTCTCCACGCCGTACCGCTTGGCCACGTTCTCCGCCGTCAGGCCCATCGGCATCACGCAGTCCCTCACATCCTTCTCCGCCGAGTCCCGCAGCGCCGGCCAGACGTTGACGGGGATGGCCTTGCTCCCGTAGTTTTTCGTCATGCTCTCCATGCCCGCCCCGATGCCCGCGTCCGCCATGCCCGTCCTGATCTGCGCCGCCACGAGCGCGATGCTCTGCAGCGACGACGCGCACGCCCGGTTCGCCGTGAACAGGCTCGTGCTCGTCGGGTAGCCCGCGTGGTTCAGCGCCATGCGCGCCGCCTTGGAGCCGCCCAGCTCCGAGAGCACCACGCCCACGCCCACGTCGTCGACCAGCGCCGGGTCCAGCTCCGGCACGGCGGCGCGCGTCGCCGCGAGCACTACCGACAGGAGCTCTTCCGGGTAGGCATCCTTCAGCTGGCCCTTGTAGGCGCGGCAGATGGGCGTGCGGAGGGAGCTGAGGATGACGGTGTCGGAGGGGGATTTGGTGAGGATGGCGGCGAGGCCTTTGGACATGGTGGCTGTGCTGTGCTGTGCTGTGCTGTGTTGGTGTAGATGGTTTTGCTGATGAGTTTGGGAAGTTCTGTGATGAAAGTTGATGAGAAGCTACAAAAGACAACGGGTAAAAAAAATGAAAGCTCATATAAAAAGATATGACAAGGGCAAAGTTCACACAGAATCAACTCTTAAATCCCATCCGATTTTGCCATCGGCTTTTCATTTATCAAGGCATTTACACACGTTCGACTTACATCTCCCCGGCTCCTCCCCCCGCCGCTAAACAAAAAACCCACCTCCCCGTATCCGCCGCCTGGCAATTGCTGTCGGCAATGGGGCTGCTAGTATTCGTCCTCCAGGCTCAATCAATCCCTCAGCGTTTGCCTGCGGGGAAACCGGCCGGAAGTGAGAGCCGGCAAAGACGCCGCTTCCGCCCCCCGTTGCCGGCAAAGGTCTTATCCCCCTTTCTCATCATGCGCGGCTTCCACTGGTATCATGTAACCAACATGTGTGCCGAAATGCCTCTTTGTCTTTACTGTCTGATCGCCTGCTGCTAATAAGGCTTACCATCTTGGTTCCCTCATACTCCGTATATACTTTTTCACAACCGCTCCAGACACTGATATGCCCGACAACACCGTGCTGTTATGTATACCGTGACCCCTTAGCCGATCGATCCCGTGCCGACCATTTCCGCCCCGCCTCCATTCTGTCTGACCGCTTCAAAACAACTTAAACCTCCCAAACATTCAAGCCAAATTAACAAATGGTGTGTCATCATTCATCAGAAAAGAACAAAAACCTCGAGATAAACCGCATGGCACACTCAAACACACAATCTCAACACCGTCCAGCCGTGACTGTGCAACAAGGGAAAAAAAATAGAAAATCATGTCAAAGACATCGCTTCAGCCTCAACCTGTCCGAACCGAGTTCAACTCAAAAACCGGTTCTCTACTCTTTTCGAATCAGAACCCTGTTCAATGTCCGTACTGAATCCCCAGCCCAACACGACGATTTTCCGACGCGCTCCCACCGGCCCTCAATTTCTTCTGCGGGCTCTCGCCATCATCGGCTCCGGCTTCACCGTCAACGGCCAGCTTCCGCTTCTCAGCCCCGGTTGCCGTTCTGCCGCCGGCAAACAGCTTGGCGTGCATGGCTGCCGATTTCTCGGCCGGCCCCGCGGTGCCGTCCCGGACCGATGATGGCGCCGCCCTGTGCCCCTGTCCCGGGTGCCGACGCAGCAGCTCAGCCGCCGCCTGACTCGCCTGACTGTCCTGAAGTTGATCGTCGTCTTCTTGTGAGCTGACCAACTCCCCAGCAGGTGCCTCTCGTGATGATAGCGACTGTACTGCCTTTACTGATTCCAGCGCCTGCCGGGCAAGCTCCTCGGTGTCCTCCACCGAGATGGTGCTCTCGCGTCTCCTTCGCCGCGATGACCTCTGAGAAGGCGGCGTTGACGGCACAAATCGTCGCTGCGAATAGCGAGATCTGGGCTCCGTCTGCGCAACCAGGTTCACCGACGGCAGCAGCCCGCCACTGTCGCTGCGTAATCTGCTCGACGGAGTGGTGGGGAGCGAGGACATGGATTGGGCATTGCGTTGGTGCCGTCTGACCAGCCGAGAGGCAGGTCGGGCCATGACCATGGGCGTTGACGGCGCGCTGTTGTTGCTGTTGGCTGCCGCCGCCGCCATCGCGTTGTTGTTGTCCTGCGTTTGGCTCTGGCTCATGGCTTCCAGCAGGGCCGAGAGCCCGTGCTCTCTTCCGTCGGTGTCATCCCGGTGCAGGGCGCGGGATGTCCCCATATGATGATGCTGTTGTTGCTGGTGGTGATGATGGTGTTGCTGCGGCTGCTGCGGCTGCGATGTCGACGCCATTGCTGCCTTGGGCGTCAGGGCGCCGTGAAAGATACCGCCCGGACTGCACAGCATGTGAAAGTGCTCGCGATTCTCCCGGATGCGGTTCAGCAGCATCTCGCGCTCCTCGACCAGCGTCATGGTTTCCTCCATCTTCTGCTGGATCACCTTCTTGGCCAGCTTGAACTTGTGGCTGAGCGCCTCCTTCTCCTCCAGCGCCGATTCGTACCACATCTTCATCTGCAGGTACTTGTTCTGCAGCGACTCGGACGCGGTGCTGAGCTCCCGTTTCGCCTGCCGGGAATGCTCCGCCATCCGCAATGCGTCCACTTCGCGGCGAACCATGTCGTGCTCGACCGCGGCGCGCTTGGACTCCTCGTCCGCCTGCAGACTCAGGAGGTTATACTGCAGCTTGTGGTGCGCCGCCTCCATCTTGAGCTTCTGGTTCTCGGCAATACACGTCTGCAGCATGGCGCGCAGCTCGTCCGCCGACGCCTCAAGCACCTGGTGCGGCGCGGGCGGCGTGTAGTCGGACTCCAGGTCTCGCTCCCGCAGCGTGTTCAGTATGGTGGCCGGCGGCGAGAAGAGGGTCGACTGCTGCGAGTTGGAGTAGGTGCGTCTTGAGGCGCCGTTGCCGGCCGCGACCTGCGTGGACGGCGGTGGCGTCAGCGACGACGGGATGACGGTGATGGCCGGCCGGTCGTCCACGGCCTCCGTCTTGAAGGATCGGCCCGCGTCCACGGGAGACCCTGGAACCTCTGTGGACGGGAGCGTCGTCTGTGACAGCGAATGGATGCCTGCGTCTTGGGGCGTCGCCGGGTCAAGGCTACCTGGAGCAATGTCCTCGACGCTGCCATTGACGCGAGGAGCGTCCGCCTCGGAGTCAGAGGCCATCGTAGATAGGAGTATGAAGCACGGTATCCGTGATCTGTGTAGAATCGAGGGGAAATCGAGGTTCGAGCGAGTTGGAAGCGTCTTTTAGCCGGAACCCTGTCCCTTCTGGCTTCACCGTCAAAAGCCCAGCAGCTTTACAGACTCCAAGGGAGAGAAGCAGAGAGAGAGATGTGGATCCGAACAGGCACGACTCCGCCCTCAGTCTCCCTCGAAGCGAGCGCCTGAGCAATCAAGAGACACTCTCAAACACGCCTCGTGACTGAAGAACCGCGACCCGCGTGTCGTAACCCGTGAACCGTGAATTGTCGAACCCTGAGCCGAGTCCCGTAGAAAGAGCGACAAGAGCAGATCCGGATTATGTCGGGTCGAATTGGCACGACCTCTACGACCGTCCCAGCGTGCGAACGAACAAGCAGACAATCAATGCGTCTGCCTGGTATTCTGGAGTAGTAGTCTTATCCCATCGATTGAACCGCGTCGTCGCTGTACAGCTGCTGTACAAAGATGCTCGTCGTCTATATCTTCTCCTAGAAGCATCCGTGCCGGTCAGCAGAGAGGTACGGCCAGAGGGAGTCGAGCTGTGGTGGTCGATCGGGGTCGTGCGTCGATGTTGCGTGAATGAGGAAGAAAAAGAGGGTGGTGCAGCTTGTACGAGGTACCTCACCCTACAATGCCTGCCCGCTCATTTCGTGCAGCCGGCAAAGTACAAAGCAAAAGTACCGGGAACGGGAAAAACAAAATCTGGGATTGAACAGGCGCTAGGCCGAGTTCAGGGTCTGGCCCAGGAACCAGCATCTCTTTATGCCTCAAATCATTTCTCATCATCTCCTCTTTTCTCTCATTGACCTCTCACTTGTGTCAATCAATGTTCAATTCCGTGATGCTTGCTTCCTTTTCTTTCCCATCAGCATAAACACACCTACAACCTTCCCTCTGCACCCTCATGCCGCCACAAGCAATGCGCCAATATCCATATCCCCATCTCCACCAAATCACCTACCCTATAACCGACCCAAAAAACCGCCCTAGGTCAACCAAAACACCAAAACTCCCCATATCACCACACACCCTCAACCTCCCCCTCAAACCTCCTCCTCCCCCTCCCTCTCCCTCGGCTGCAGCATCCTGGCCCTCCTCCTCTTAACAATCCACTTCTTCACCACCCTCACCACCTTCCTCACAAGCAGCATCGGCAGAATCACCGGCCACAGCACCATCACCGCAACCCACCACAGCACAACCAGCGCCATGTCCCTCCGCGTCCCCTCCGAGTCGAGGTACCACTCGGGGATCCACCGGCCCGCCTTGCCCCGGCCGTTGATGCACAGGATGCAAATCACCCCGAACAGCAGCCACCCGGCGATCGAGACGGGGATCAGCACGCGCACAATCGCCCGCGGGTCGTACGGCGTTCCCTCGCTCTGGAAGTCGTCCTCGGGGTGGAGGCCGTGTTCCGCGTCGTCCCATGGGTACGGGTACGGGAATGGAACTACTGGTGATGTTGTGTTGACATCGCGGCCGAGTCTCTGGCTGTGCGGCGCTGTTCTCGGGCTGTGTCCGTTGCTGTTGCGCATCGCAAACTTTGTGGGCGATGAAGCCATCGTGACAAATGATATGTGATATGTGATACGTGATCTGTGGCGTATGCGATGTCAGGCTCCCGTCTAAGATACGAGTATGAAAGCCTTCACCTCACGCATGCGGGCGATGGTATTGAATGTTGATATTTGCAGCAAATGGTAGAGCTGTTGATGTGGTTCGAAACGAAGACTATCTACCTTAGGTCATGTACTTGGAAGCCGCCACGGCCAAAGTAAGCTTGGGCGTGTTCATGGACGGACTTTCCTTGCTCATATCATCTCCAAGCATGAGAAATTGTAGCAGTGCCTGCCTTACCTTTCCTGCTTGACACGTTCATTCACATGGTCAAAGAGTTGGATGAATGCCGAATAATGATAGACTGTATACTTCTGTAACTAACTTCTCCCTTGTAGATGCATCCCAGCCCGCAACTTCAGCTGTTCAAAGCTAACAAATATATACATTACTGATTAATCAATACTGCTTGCGCCATCGCGCAAGCCCAGGCGGTATATCTACCTATGCTGCCGTTCCCTAATATCCATACTCCATACATCGTTCTACCATGTCTATGCACACGCAATCCACCAATATGATAATATACAGCTCTGACCCCGATCAGGGGCAGATGAAATAATGTAAATAGTAGAAAAATAAGTATAGACCCCCTGTTGTAGCAGTAGAAACAGCATCGGGTAAGGCGAAGGGTGAAAGCGAACCCCCGAGCTTATGCATACTAGTCCAAGTCGGAATCGTCGTCCTCCCCATTCTCGGCTCTCCATTCTTCCATCTCGGCAGCCGGAACGCGGCCCCGGAGCCATCTCATCGTAGCTGCCGTCCCCTTCTCCAGGACGTTCCACTTGGGCACCTTGAACCGGTTGCCCGCCACCTCGAGCCGCTCGAGCCCGTCCTTGCCGCCCAGCAGACCGAGCCGAGGATCCAGATGAGCAATGTCGTTGCTCGACACATCAACAACTTTGAGGCCCTTGATGGTAGCTGGATCAAGCTCCGTTAGTTGGTTGTTTGACGCAAGCAGTACCTTGAGGCTGGGGAAGCTCTGCTTCAGATCTAGCGGGAGGGCGGTGAGGCGATTGAGCGAGACGTCAATCTTTTCCAGTGCGGGTGCTTTAAGGAATTTTGTCAACGGACCTAGGCTGGTGATGGTATTCGAGCTCAAGTTCAGTTCCGTCAGAACCGGCAGGCTCAGCTCTTCAGTCAGGTAGGCCTCGCCCGAGAGCTTGTTGTGGCCCAGGGACAGGGACGTCAGAGTCTGCGAGAAGAACTGCAGCGACCCGGGGAACGCACTCAGGAGGTTGTGGTGAAGCTGCGCCTGCCGTATTTGATAGCTCCTCGACAGCTCGGCACACATTTCGGGGCTCAGGGAAGACGCTTCGGTGCGGGAACGGTCCAGGAGTCCGCCCGGCTTGACCTGCCAAGTCTCCTTGACTACGGTCTGAGCACGGGATCTGGTGGGCGAATGCGGCGCAGACGTGGGAGGCGTGGCAAAGTCCTCGTCACCCTCCGACCTATCAGTATCCTCGGCGGCAATTGTAGAAACCTTGTCCGGCTGTTGCTTCTTCTCCGCGTCTGGCGGCGTGATAATGGTGGCGATCGGTGCTTGGGAGACGGGCTCCTCGTAGGGAGGAGGGGGCTCCAGTCGCGTCGACAGCGCTTCCTTGATCTCATCCGTCGAGGCCGAAGCAAACTTCTTGTCGCGGAGCGGATTGCCGCTCAGTCGCAGCATCGTGAGGCTGTCCATTCGAGAAATCTCGGGCGGCACGACTCGGATGTCGTTGCTGGAAAAGTCGGCTTGTCGCACTCTTTCGAGGCTGGTAAAGCTCAGGGGAATGCTGGAGATGTTGTTTGCATCTGCTGCAAGGGTAATCAAGCTTGTCCATGAGGTCATATCCGGGAGCTCTTGCAGTCGATTCATCGAGAGGGTGAGGGTGTGGACGACGGGAAGGTTGATGGAGGCGTCGGCAGGCACAAGTCGGGTCAGCCTGTTCACCGAGATGTCAAGCGTTTGGAGCATCGGCAGGGAACCTATCGGCTCCTCAATCAGAGTCCCCGAAAGCTTGTTCTTCTTCAAGTCGAGCTCAGTAAGGGGCAGCTTCGAGAGCCCCTCAAAGGGGAGCGACTCAAAGCTATTTTCGCTCAGGTTGAGGACGCGCAGCCGAGACAGCTTTTCGACGCTGGGCGGTAGGGAGGAGACTTGGTTTCCGTGGATATCAAGCACCTCTAAAGCGCTCAGGTCCGCGAGGCCGGGATACAGGGTTCCAGCGAGGTTGTTCTTGGCCAGTTTGAGGTCGCGGACGGCCGTCATCTGCGAGATGATTTCAAGGCATCCATTTTCTAGACGGTTGGACGACTAAGAAGTGTGAATAAATAACGCCAACCAACATCAGGGCCACGGAGAGACTCACCAGATTGAGTGTGGTCAACTGGGTGAAGCGGCGGAAGCCCATTGGAATGGATACCAGCCGATTGCCGTGCATGTCGAGTGTCTCAAGGCCCCCGAATATATTACCGCGGCCCTCTTCGTCGTTCTCAAGCTCCTCGGGGCTGAGATCAGGGAACGCAGCGTCGTCCAACGATTCTATTTCGTTATCCGCGGCAATCAGCCTGGTCAACTCAACGCTCTCTGCCCAGCTTCCACCGGCTCCAATGGTCTCCAGGTCGTACATTTTGAGGACTTCGCCTGGTATTTCCTTCAATCCTAAGGCTGCAATGTTCAGCTTTCCACTAGTTCTTGCTGCTCCGATACGTTGCTTCAGGACCTGTTGACCGGCGTCCTGGCCCTTGTTCAGGTTGAAGGGGTCATCGAACGCGGCAGCATAATCGAAGCCATTGGTGGATGGGGCTGCCACATCATCAGTCGTCGACGCAGCGCTGGGCGCCTGCTTCATTGCCGCTCTCTTAGCAGCCTTTGCCTTGGCGATCTGATCTCGAAGCGCCGTCGAGGACTTTTGAGTGGGCTGCTCCGGCTCAGCAGCAGATTCCTTCGCCGCTGGGGCAGGTGATGCAATAGTGCCATCCCACGACGAGGAGGAAGCAGCCGGACCATCACCCGCACCAAGGGCCTGCATCGATGTCTTCTTGTTAAGGCCATACACTGATGTCCTCTTCTTCACAGATGTGGCTGCAGGCTTTTGAGCCGGTTTTGGAGCGGGCTTCGTTGGAGTCTTGCCTAGCTTAGTGGGACTAGGACTTCTAACATCCGGCATGGAGGCGGATGGTTTCGAGACGGCTCCGGACGCACGACTTGCTGGGCGCAGTCTGTTGGAGGCAGCAGCTGGCACTCGATCAGAGGTGCCGCTGATGACTGAACGACGCCTCTGGAACAAATCGGCCGATGACATTCTGGGATTCGAGAATCCCATGTCATCAGGCGCTCCGCTTGAAGCCGGGCGAGACGAATGCCCTGCAGAGCCGCCGGAGGTGTAGCTGGAGCCCGGCCTTGAGGTTGAACTTTCGGCACGCGATATAGGCCTTATTGAATCAAAGAAGGAGGACGACTTTTTGCTCAGAGCAGGAGACGAGGGCAGCTGCGAAAGGGTCTCGACTGTACGCTCGGAAAGAGAAGGCCTTGGCGAGGTGATCTGAGGCGTCGTGGCCCTTCCTGGGGAGGAAACTGGAGACTCGTGATTCTCCAATTGATCCAGAACGCCTGCAGAATCGTTCAGATATGAGGTGAGAATGTCGTTGGATGGCTCTGTCGTGTCCGCCTCCTGTTCGAGGGTATCCCTATCGGATTCCGCCGGTTCTGCCCAAGGCTTGTACTGCGCCGCTGGGGCGTTGGTCATGGTGCTCCATCTTCGATTGGACGATGACACGGCCCGTACAGGCTTCGACACTGGAGCGGCAGGCTTAGCAGCGGGAGTGCGAGAGGAGCTGGATCGGAGCTGGGTGTTCGACGTAGAGTTTCGCAGAGCAGGCGCACGTCCGTTGGTAGTGCTGGCGGAGGGTCTCAGCTGTCCACGAGAGGTAGAAGCTCGCAGCTTTGGGTTCTGGATGTCTCTGCTACTGGTAGACGCATCTCCAGCCAGACTATCGCGGGACGGCCTTGGACGGAGCGAGGACGTGGAGCTGGTAGCCGGCGATGGTGGTGCCGGTTGAATGATACCCGAGACAGGGCGAGGCAGCCGAGAAGGGCGCGGGATGCCGCTCACTCGTCTCTGAGAGGTGTCCATCTTGACATGAGTCCCTTGCAGGTGGTGTTTGAGCTGTACTGGAGAAGCGGCCTGTTTGAGCTGGGGTGGGCTTCGGGATGTCGAGCGTCGATGTGATCGGTTCGATCTGTGTGATGGATCAAAGCAAGGGCGAGCTGCAGAGTCGATGACGGCAAGAGGGGCAAAGCTGGCCTGAACTTGTCTTGTCAACTTGGAGATATCACGGCAACAGGTGCCAAGGGTTGGAGATGTAAGGAATGTACTCGTCAACAGAAGACGGAATGAGGCGAAACTTGTCGAAAAGGAGCGACTGGAGAAGATAGACAGGGCGCGTATGAGGAGGAGAAAGAGGGAGAGAGAGAGCACCGACGAGGCAGATCGCAGCTGTCAGAAGCGTGTTGCTGCCAGATTACGTGCATGGCCACACCCATCAATTTGAATCCCGGTCAGGGGAGTGACAAGGAGCTGCCCATCACGTGGGGTTAACCTGAATTGATGTGGTGCTAATTTACGGCGGCTGGAGGCGCTAGAGGCGGGAGGCGAGCCGTGGCCAGCGCTAGAGAGGGCCGGGAAGGGCGCTATAATACGGAGCAAGAGGTGCTAACCTGACCTGAGCCCTGATCCTGAAGTCCACGGGTTGGTGCATGTGGCTTGACGTGTGGCGGACAGGGTACGTGCATCGGTAATTGGTACCCTGACCCCAATGTGCCCTCATTTGGATGCTCTCCACCCTGGCTTTGATTGATGATGGAGATTCGAATAATGAGATGCACGTCACTCGATCCCAGAGAGCAAGGTTCTATTTCTATCCCACAGTTTCACGATAAGGCACAGAGGAGACCCTCGTGGTGGAAACTCCGTTTAAATGTTCAAAACCTACCAGCTCTCTAACCAACCTGTCGCTATGCCCAATTACACGAGACCAAAGACAGAGCACAGCTCCAGATGCCACCAGACCTGCTCCGTTTATAAGCCCACAGCCTCAGCCAGACAGCCAGTCGCTGTCAACCTCGTAATCTCCGTCAGAATCCATCGCGTCGGACAGCTCATACGAGCCGTCGCCTCCTTCCTGCCCTGATGAATCCTGGTACTCGTCCTCGGAAGACGCCCGACTTGCCGATGCGGTCTCTTCGGAGCCGTCTCCATCATCGTCTTGCGTCAAGTCGATAACCACCGGTAGCGGCTGCGGCTGCGGCTGCGGCCGTGGATGATGTCTCCGAGAGGGCCGAATCTGTCTCGGCGGCTCTTTGACCTTTGACACAGACGACCTGCGTGCAACAAGGCGTTGAGTCGTCCGGGCCATGGCCTTTCGAGGTGCCCGACTCTTCCGGCTTTCTCTCATCTCGTCGCTTGAACCCACGTCCCTGTTGCCTCCTGGCTTCACTGCTGCTGGCTTGCCACCCCATTCGACCAGAAGCTTGGACACCTTGTCTCGGATAGCTCTCCTGGCCGCCTCCCGGTCCCGGGTCTCCTTGGTGAGCTTATCGTAGTCCGTGTGGCAGTGCCGAACGTGCGCCTGGACCGCGAGATGTGCCTTCTTGTCCGAGTCGAGCGTTCCCGTACGGCCAACCCGGCCGCTGCGCTTTCTGAGGGTGCGCTTGAGGATCGTCGTCAGATCCTGCTTTGGAATCTTGGGGAAGCTCTTCAGAATGGCCGCCGCAAACGCATCCTGAGTGGCGGCGTCACGCCTCTCCACGGCCCCTCGTCTCCTCTCGCGGCTTGCCTTTTCTTCGGAAAAGACCTGGTGAATGATCCATTTGGGTGCCCTGAGCCCCTGTTGTTTGCCGCGGCTTGAGACGATGTATAATGTCTTTCTGGCCTCGTGCGTTTTTCGGCGGCAGAGCGCCGTCATGAACGGATTGCCCTTTTTGAGGAATCCGTAGCCCTTGGGCATTGGTGTGTCTGGGGAGATGGTTGACTCGCGATTCATCCTCTCAGAAGGCTGGGCTCTGCGTACAACGTTACGGGAGAAGGGATGTGGGAAGCCTGGAACGACGCTTCATTTATCGCAACGGGCGTTGCAATGACCATGGCGGCGGACAAAGAATGCGCGCATCTGTTCCTGTTCTTTGATCCTGGAATTCTTGCATCGGCCGCAATTGATTTGATGACTGGAGGAGATTTCAGTGAATGGAACGAAATGGATTGAGTGAGTACATGCACTAACAATGGCGATGTTTTAGCGCTGCAAGCCACCCGCCTCAGGGCAAGCCACTCAGGTACAAAGTTGAAGTATTACCTCGATTCACCATGCCTTCGGCTTGCTCATCAACCACGATGTTGGACTACAAGCTAAATTGAGTCAAGTCGTCTAAGAAACCGTTACGTCCAAGCTCCCAGCAGAAAACGCGCCGGTAAACATGTCTGGATGCCCCTGTCGCTGCCCTTTCTCCAACATCTCGACAGTAACATCCTCCTTCTGCCTGCTCCAGACCATATCCCACTTGCCCTTGAGAACAACAGATGCCTTCTTCTCCAGCTGCGATGTGATAAAATCTCTGAGGACAATCTCCGCAGAGTGACTCTTGCCAGGTTCAACCTGAATCAGTGACTCAGGCTTGGGAGGCCATTCCCTGCGCAGCTGAATCCGGGGCAAGTCAAGAGGCTGTGCCGCGCCATCAGGCGTGATGGTCAGCAGGCCGATTGTTGGCGCGGCCGTATCCAACGGCGAGTTGTATAGCAGGATAGTGACGGGATATTCATTGTCGTTGAAGACAGTGCTGGTGATGGTGAGAGGAGAGGACTCGGTCTGCTCAATCGTCACGCGGAGACGGTCGATTGGACTCGATTTGCTGCCGAGGCCCTCCATTGAGGCAGCCGGCCAGAGAAAGAATGTAGCAAACGTAATGAACAGGCTCAGTCCCAGAATATAGCGGATACTCGGGCTGTGTGCGAAGCTCATTTGAAGCTGTCGGGGGGGATATTGAAGGTGTTGTAGTTCTGCACTATCGAGGCGTGCTCCTCAGAGAACAAGCCTATGATCTTGATGAATGGAAGCTGTTGCTTGAATGCGGGGTTTTGAATAAACCAGGTGATTCTAGTCGATTCTACATCGAGCTCTGTATCTGAATGTTGATGATATCAGTCGTCCCTGTTGACTGAGATGCTCCCCTGCTACATATACGTACGCGAGATGTGTGTGACTGCTATTAAACAACGCCTGTCATGGATCACGTGCCGCCGCACCTGACCTAGACTATATAGGTCCTGACACTTGCGCTTATGCTTTAGTAGCTAGCTTAGTTTCTGCATCTTACTTTTATTTATTGCATTTACACTTTATTATTTATTATAACACCTAAGTCTAGTGCTTTAATTATTTATTTTAATTACTATGTTCTTTAATATAGTAGTAATTGCTTAAGCAATACTAATATTTTTATAGATCTTTAATTATAGAAATTTTAGTATAATAGCTTTATTATAATATTAGCCCCTAACTTGCTTAAAATAGATTTATTACTATGCAGTTAGTATGCTTATATATCCCTGCTTAAGATAAGGGTTACCTTAATTAACTTTATTATTTTATAATCTTATAAGGTGTAGAATCCTTAAATTCTATGCTTTATAATAAATAGTAGTCTTTTTTAAAAGTGCTGTTAAGCTATTCTAGCTCTTTTAGTGTTTATGCTAACTATAATACTAGTTATAACTCCTTTAGTAATTATCCTGCTTTATGCCTAGCTGCTAAAAAGGCATTTAGCCCTTTTCTAACTATAAGCCTCTTAAAGCTGCTAATAGATGCTTTATTTTTAAGAAAAAAGCCGCTTGCCTTAAAGCCCTTTACTAGGCTAATTTTATAAAATTACTAACTGTCTTTTATAAGCCTTTTATATTAGCTTTATAATTAATATATTTTATGTATTTAACTTTACTCTTTTCTTACTTATTCTACTTGCCTGCTTTTATAAATATAAGCGCTTTTACTACCTTAGTTTTAGTAAATCTTAACTTACTTTACTTAAATATAGCGCCTGCTTAGTTAAATCTAGCACTGCTTATAAAGGAAACCCTGCCTGCTATATTAAGGTATTAGACTGTATTAGCATTATTATTAGCATTAATAAGTAACTTAGTAAACTTTATCTTAAGTTTATACTTAACTTTTAAATAGCTATTAATAACTGCTCTAGCTATAGTAGTTTATCTGCCCTTTAGCTAGTTAAGAATATAACTGCTTTAGATATGCTATTTATAAACTGCTTATTATTTAAGAGCTGCTTTTTATTAATTAGCCTAGTTCTTAAATAGTTTAGTTTAAGATATACTAAGATATTAAGCTAAAGACACTTTAGTAAAGTCTCTTAGCCTTTATACTTATAAATTATATACCTCTGCTAACTTATTTATAATTAAATCCCCTGCTAATTCTTATATTAATGCTTTTTATCCTATTAAAAAGATGCCTTTAAAAGTCCTAACCCTTTTAGCTTAAATAACCTATTTTTATATTAATTCTCTAGTAGGCCTATCCCTTTTCTTAACTTAGATAATCTATTCTTATATTAATTTTACTATGCCTTACTATAATAGTAAATAACTAGTATATATTACTAGTCCTTTTTTAAAAGAGGACCTAGGCTTATTCTCTATTAAACAGGTGCCTTAGTATATAAGTACTAGATTTATAAAAGTAGCCTACACCTTAATTATAAACCTCTTAAAAGCCTATAAAAAGGACTTAGGAGAGGGCCCTGCATTAATAGGCAATCTCTTTAATTTAAACGCCTTATATATAGTATATAATTTTAAAAAGGATACTGCCTTCTTACTATTTGCTTAAGATAAGATTAATACTAGCTATTTTATATACCTTAAGCCCTTTCTTTTATAAGCAGCCTTATTAGCTGCTAGGGCTATTTTATATATAACTAGTAATAAGGACTGTTAAGTCTAGGATATAGCCTTTACTAAAGACCTTTATAATTAATTATTACCTTTAAACTAGGCGGCTTAATTTACTAAAGTGGTTTATTACTTTATAAAGGACTTAGTAGTAAAAGCTAGCGCTTTATAAACTCCTTCTATACTTACTCCTTTAGCTTTATCTCTTAGCCCTAGCTTAGCTAAATAGCTTAAATCTTTAATATATTCTATAGAAAATCTAGCGCTAGTATAGCTATAGCTGCTATATAGCTAATATACTAGTACTACTTACCTGCCCTTTTACTTATATTTATAATATAAATACCTTAAACTGCATACACTGCCTTCTGCCCTTTACTAAGACTTTTATAAACCTTTTATACTAACTCCTTCTACACTAGCGCTTATAAGACTATATACTAAAGATAATATAAAACGCTAACCTTAATTTAATAATTCTAGCAGATTTTAACTATAGTTATAAAATAACCTAGTAAAGGATCTTAATAACTATTTAGCTTGCTAATAATTAGGCTATAGTAATACCTATATTAGGTTATTTTATAACCTAAAGGACTATTTTTATATATCTTATAATAACCTTCTAGTCTTAACCTTTACCTTAGATATTATAAAAACACTTATTTAAGCATATATTAATATACTTTAATTCTTTTAAAAAAAATATAGTAACTTAGCTATTTTAAAATGCCTTATCCCTAGTTTAATAAGTATACTAACTTTTAATAGTGCTAAATAGTTTTAATCTTTAAATGCCTAATTTAAGAAGCTCCTTATTAATAACCTTAACCTATAAATTATTATATTAAACTAGCGATTTTAAGATAATAAAAGAGTAATTCTTATTAAGGTAGATAAACTTAAATACTTATTTATAGTAAAGGACTCTCTTTCTTTTTAAACCTATATAAACTATAAGATTGCTTATTATACTAAGGCAGGAGATATTAATAAAGACATTATAGCTTATTACCTAGTAATAAATACTAACCTAGCCCTAGCTAAACTAGTAAATATTAATAGTAGCTAAAATACTATTATTAATATTTAATAATAGCTAACTATATATAAGTTTACTATATAATAAGACTAAAAGCTAGCTTATAAGTAATTTATAGTTATAGCTAATTAAATTAGCTAACTTACTAAGTAAATAAAAGAGCTATATAACTTAACTTATAACTTTTATAATTACTAATTTAATATAGGCTATAGTAATAAAGGTTATAATAATAATAAGAATAATTAGCTATATAATTATAATAAGGATAACTAGTATAATAACTAGGATAACTATAGTAATTAGAATAATTATAGTAACTCTTATATAAGAAATAAGTCTAGATATTAAGATAATAAGTACTGTAATTCTTATATAAGAAATACTAAGTTTAGATAAGACTGCTTTTACTTTTATTTAGACTAGAAGGATAGCTATAAGATTAACTAACCTGCCTAGCTAACTGCTATTAAGGCCTTTTTAATAACTATATCTTTTATTAAGACTATTAATAATCCGCCTTAAGATTTAATAAACTTTAATAATAACTGCTTTATAAGTTCTACTATTAACTTTAATAATAGCTTTATATATTTTAGCTCTTCTGCTAAGAGCTTATTAAACTAACCTAGTGATTATATACTAGAATTATATTACTGTTTAATATACTACCCTAGACTACTTATATTTTTATTACTTAATTAAAAGTTACTAATATTATTAATTCTTTTAATATTACTTAGTAAACTATAGATTTAAAATAATTAAAAAAATAAAAGACTCTTTTACTAAAAAAATAAAAGACTCTTTTACTAAAAAAATAAAAAAAACCCTTATTAAAAAAGTAAAAAAAACTACTACTATATATAATGCTAGTAGAGAAGATTTTAAGCCTTGCTTAATAAATTAAATTTAAACTATAGTCTTTTATATAGCTTTATGCTATTTATTACTTGCCTATTAGCTGCTATAATAAGCTAGTAGTAGACACTAGTTCCTTTATATCCTTAGTTAACTAATTATATTTATTAACCTTTTTCTTTAAGGCTAAGGAATATGCTATTTATTATTTTATAGATATTTATAGTATTAGCAGTAATTCCTTTTAAGTAACTACTATAACTAAGCTTTAACTTTATTTTTAGGCTATAAATAGTATAGTTATAAACCTTAAAGTTATATATTTTATTATAGACTTCTTTAGCTATAGTATGCTAGTAGGCAATTTATTCCTTTAAATATACTATCTTTATATCCTTTAAGGAGAAGGCACTAGCTATAACTATCTTAATATAAGTAAGGGCAGACTAATTTCTGTCTTATGCCTTTTAAATATAGCACCTTTTATTAAAGACCTTGTTATTAAGGCAGCTTATTTAGTAATAATTAACCTAGGATAAGGCTTTAATATCCTTATTAAGTATAGCAGCCTTTTTATTTATGCTAATAGATATTACCTTACCCCCTTTATTTATACTAACTGTTTATATTATGCCTATGCCTGCTTGCCTTATATATTAGTAACTAGTAATAAAGCCTGGCTCTTAATTTTAAACCTTAGCCTAGTCCTTATTTATATTTATAAAGGCATGTTCTTTAATACTTTTAAACTAGTAGCAGTTATTATATAAAAGTTAGTGTTTTAAACTAGTATATTTATAGCTATCTAGCTGTTTAACCTGCTTAGACTTAATATAAAAGAGGAACTAGAATACCTTAACTTTTTAAATAAATACCCTTTTTATATTTTAGACTTAGTAGAGCTAGATATAAAAGTAAGTAAAGTAAATATTAACCTTAATTTTAAACTTATAAATAATATCTATAGCTTGCTTTATAAGTATAAATGCCTTTTTTAGCTTAAAGTTAGCTATTTTAATAATAGTATAAAAATGCCTATTAACTTTAAGCTAGGCGTT